TGCTGATTGGGTAATGATTCAAACCACTGGACCTGCTGTGGTTTCTAGCAGTGCTACGGAGTCAGAGTCGGAGTCTGATGGAGTTGGCAGTTCTGGCCGGAATAGGAGTCCATTTTGGAAGACAGAGCGGGAGTCCGAGTCACTGAAAATCCGTTAGACACCGCATCCTTGGTTCCTAACACAAGTGACGTCAGAACAATTTATGTGATGATTTGGGTTCGAATACACGACAGCTTTCAAACATTTCATGACTCATGCTGGAATGTTCCTCAACAAATGACAACACACGTGAAGGTATCACGAGGGTATCAGATCCCTTTTAAGGAACATTTTTTTTACACCTTTTGAAGTGTTGATGGTTTAGGGTGTTTGACACCCGAATGGATGTTGGTGTAGGCAGGGCTGCGGAGTCGATGGATTTTCAGTGACTCCGACTCCGACTCCGACTCCGGCTTCCAAAAAACAACTCCGACTCCGACTCCGGGTAGAACTATCGACTCCGACCGACTCCAACTCCGACTCCCGACTCCGCAGCCCTGTCAGGTCTGCGGAGTCGATGGATTTTTCGGTGACTCCGACTCCGACTCCGGCTCCGGTTTCCAAAATCGACTCCGACTACGACTCCGACTCCGGTCAGAACTGTCGACTCCGACTCCGACTCCGACTCCGCAGCCCTGGGTGTAGGACACCCATTAATGTGTCGTTCTGAATCCCACGTGTGTTTAAAAGCGCGTTGCACTTGAAGGTTGTCATCGTGGTGTTGTACACCTCCATGATTCCCAAAACAACATTTTTGACACCAATCTGGGCGTTATATATGACACTGCAATGATGTCCGACACCCGTGAGACACCCCATGGGAATATTTTTCCTCATTTTTTTCACGCTGTTTTTGGTGTCAGATCCTTTTGCAAGTGTCAATGTGACACCTCTAGCAGTGTCGGACACTTTTAACATTCCGCTTTAATAAATGGCAACACCTGTGAAGGCATCATAAGGGTGTCAGATGCTTTTAAAAGAACATTTTTGACACCTTTTAGGGTGTTTGATACCTTAGAGTGTTTGATACCCGGATGGGTGTGGGTGTCGGACACCTATTAAGGTGTCATGCTGAATCCCATTAAGGTATATCTAAACGCTCGCATGCGAACGAACACTTGAAAGGGTGTCATCGTGGTGTTGTACACCTTAATGATTCCCTAAACAGCATTTTTCAACACCAATCTGGGTGTTCGATGACACCTCCAATGGTGTCTGACACCCGTAAAACACCCCTGGGGAATAATTTTTTTTCTCAGTGCTATGCGCCAATGTTCAGTTTCCAGTCTCAGCATTTTGTACCCAGATCTAGTTATGCACACATAATTAAGATATGTCTCTGGAATTTAAATTGCAGCATATGCACGAGTGAGCGAGGCAGTATGCGAGTTGTGCATAATGCATAGCGCTCCCAGCTCATTGAAGCGCCGCTCTGCCGCTACTCTCGTGTAGCTGACAGACGGGTCCGTCTCTCTCTAGTCACGTCGCGTCGGGCCGGGCTGGTCCGCACCCCGGTGAGCCTCACTCCGACCGTACTGCCTCTGCCGGCCCCGGCCCGAGCCACGCTGGGAGACTGAGTCGTGCACGTCATCAATAGAGACTGCCAGTCTGATCTATTCTACAGTCACGGCTGAGCTGGACTAGTATTGGGTCAGATCGATGCTATTTGATGGCCGGTGGACAGTGGATTGGACGTTGACAGCACCCGTCGCCGCTGGTCGGTGAACGGTGGAAGTGCAATGGTCTGGTGGGCGCTGGTTTTGGCGGTCCGTGGACGATGAGCTTTCGTCGGACGGTATGGGACGGTGCATACCGAATGGTGGGTTGTATGGTGGGAGGGCAGACGTAACTATTGGTATGCAAGTTGTGGACTCCGGACGGCGCGTTGGATGAATGTCACATCTCAACACTAGCGCCTAAATAAGCCCGATCCAGTGTCATACCGTACTACATACGCTACGACATTCTTAATGCACTATCGCACACGATAGCCGCTGACCTATACGAGTGACATGTATCCCGGATGCCAAATAATTAGCATCACAATGGGCCCTGATCTGCTGGCACTCTCGCCGTGTCGTCCTCACGTATCCCCGCACAATTTATGAGTCATGTGGCACTCTCGCGTCCGTGCTGGTCCCACCCTAATCTTGAGTCACCGATAGTTATCATCCCCCGTTGGGCGTTTTTCACCCACGTGTCTGTCACCGTTTCTGTCTATCTGAGTTCCTGTTGGGGTGACTGCAAGCTACAACCGCGAACCCTGGATGGTTGACGGGTCACATCGCTCCGAATCTGCCCCGGATTTCTCACCACAGACGTAGCTCCCATCCGGTATCACTCGTGCATGTTCCGTGCAACAGTGGCGACTGCGGCGACGGCGGCGGCATGCACCGTATGGTCAGCTCAGCTCACTGAGGGAGTGGTCAGTGTAGGCCTCTCAACAGGCATGTGGGGCCGGGGTGGGGGGGGGGGGGTGGAGGCTCACTGCAGGGGCAGATGCCGGTCTTGCACGCTTGTGAGAGTCGGCCACGGCCGAGTCGTGTTTGCATGTTTTGGGCGCATTTTTCAGGAGTGGAGAGACTGCAGACTTGTCCCTGTGTGCAGCCTTGAGCGCTGGCCCAGTTTTTGGTCCGTTCGAGCATATAACTTGCCTCCGTTGGGAGTTGAAATCCTCTCAAAGCTCGGTAGCCCTACCGACTGCCGGGACGATATTGTCTGATGTCGACACGTGCAAGTGTGCAGGACACCCGACCCGCGCATGGCTACCGGTGGTCATGTGATACCGTTGGCCTGACAGTGGCAGGAGAGGGGGGGGGGGACGTGTGTTGCAGCCCATGACGGAGGTTGTAGCGTGGCGTTGCAACGCACACGAAGCAGCTCGCTGCTGCTAGGGAGGGTGAAGTTTTGCGTTCTTGACCATTTCGAAGGCGGATGGATACTCATTCCCATTATCTGTTATCTAGGTTGACTTTTTTGCTGCTTTTGGGGCCACGATGTGATTTCTCATGAACAGCCTCGATATTATTTACGGTTCATACGATAAATGTGCTTTCAAATTCCCCATTTCAGTCGTTACAAAAGTCAACATTCGCCTCCCATGACTCATTGCCACGTGGGCGGCCGTCTGTCCAGTGCAGTCGTCAGTCTGATGTGTTACCACCCCGCCCGCCCGGCCCTGGTGGCCCGTGGGGCTCCGCACGGCGTCGCCTGTGTCAGACGCCTCAGCCGCGCTCTGCCGAGTCAGACTGGGCTGGGGGCCGCGGTCGGGTCTGTGTTTAAACCATCCGGCGAATGACTGATCTGACAAGCCAAATGCCAGTGGCACGCCGCGGCTCGCGGCACGCCGCGGCGGCGGCGGCGACAGGGCGGCAGCGGTGGTGGTTATGGTATGGTAGCCCAGGAACACGTGTATGCAGGCCCGCCTTTGGTCTGACACGGCACCTGTCTCTAAGGGCAGATGGTTTTTATCGACTACAGTCGCGCCGCACGCTGCTCTGTCCTATAAAGTGACGGAGAGACAGGTTGATATGAGGTCTGGCGTGTGTGTTTTGCTACCCCTCCCCTCGCTAGGAAAACTGACTGTCTGGGCTACGACCTGCGCCTGTGTTGTCCGCTTTGACAGGATTGGATTGAGACCAGGCTCGAGCCAAATGGGGATCATCAGGATCAGAGGATTAAATCCGATTGCCCCGGATCAGAGCAGATTTCAGTCGTTCGGTAGCCGCGGCGCGCGCACAGGACATCCAGCCCCTGTCCGTGGTTCGCGTCGCTCCGATGACTCAGTTTGTAAACACTGTGGTTCGTCTGGAAAGGGACAAGCCGCGCTACTCTCTGAAGCTCGACCACTATCTCAAACCGCCATAAAATGAAAGGCCGGGACTCTATCAGATTATCCGCATAGCCACAGTAGCAGAGAGCTAACCGGTCGGGATCGTATTTTGCAAATGCAATCCAAAGAGAATGATGATCGATGTGTTGTTTCAAGACGTGATCCCATTAAATCTGTTGTTTTCGTCATCCTCCATCGAATTTGACGGTCCCGTAACGAATAGTGATGGCCGGCGTCTGGGGAGTTGCTCACTGGTTTGGCCATTGGTGTAATGATGTCCGATTCCCATTGTATGGTACTCTTATCTGATCTCTGTGGTAATAATGCCCGATGTATCCATACTAGTTACTCGACCCGTGTGGCCAGAACAGCACGGTCAAAGTCTCCCCAGCGCCGGGCGAACGACCCATGCCGTCCTCCCCGTGAGCTGAGCAGGACTGGCTGCGCAGGACTGAGTCAGCCTGTCTGTCGGCCGGCCTGCCGGTCTCGGTATCACGACACCAGCCAGTGATCGGTGGCCGCCCTAACGTCCCGTTCATCACAGAGATGAAATGGCCAGCCTCGGCTGTCAGCTACAGAAGGATATGTGAGATGCAGTCCATTCATTCGGTGCCGGCATACGAGCTGTGCTGTCGATGCTGTCTTTCTACGGATATCCTTGCGCAGTGTGCAGTGAATGTGTACTCGAACTTCGCCGCTGTTGTGTCTTATCGTTAGATATCGGTAATAGCAGAGTTCGGTGTTTTTGTCCCGCGTCTGTATCGCGAGCCGCTGATCCCTTCGTCTCAGTGGGCGCGCGAGATTTAATTTGAAGACTGATAAGCGATCGGCGCGACTCCTTATATGCTCACGCATCTTGAAATTTTATCAAGGGAGCGATGGATGCGACTGACTGGCATAAGCTGACCTCTGATGGCACGATGCGCTTTTTGACCTTTTTTGACCCGCGGAAAATACAAACCTCTCTGGTCACCGTTGACTCCTGCTGACATGACACAGCTATCTGACCCATGCTGACCCTGCATACCCATACCGACCAGTGACCACTGAACCATGCTGACCTCCACTGAATCATGCTGAGCTGAGCTGACCCCTGCTGACCCCGCTGGCCCCTCCCCTCTGCCCCCAGGAAGAGGAGACATTCAGTGGCGAGCGGAACGGCCTGCAGCGTCTGCCGACCATCACCCACCACAGCGTCATGTACGCACCCAAGGCGCTAGTGCTCGTCTCGCGACTGGACTACTTCGTCACATTCCGGGTAGGTGTCCGCCTTCCCCCTCCCCCCGGCTGTGGCCCCACGCTGTGCCGTCCCCCTCCTGTGACCCCCGCGGTGGGGGTGGAGGACTAGGCACGCGCCCTTCCGGCCCCCGCCGCGTCGGACGTGCCGGGTGGACACGGCTGGTGTTAAAGGCGCATTGCGTGACAGCTAATGGAGGATTTATGACTTCCTCGCACTGTGAGGGGTTGTGCTGCATGTCGCGCTTGTTTAAATGGAGGGATTTAGTTCACTTTGGTGTTTGATTATGAGCTTATTCAAATTGAAATATGCAAATGTTAAATCTCAGTGATTGCTGCAGTGCCCCCAAGCATCCGACCGATAGTACAATTTATCGATGGCATCACCGAATGAGTTGCGCTCCAGAATCGACGTCAATGCGACTTTTCCTCACACCAGAGCTTATGAACGCCACAACTCGCTCTTGCTGAGACCGGCAAGTCGGGTCGCATGCTTTGAAACATGAACGTTTTCGACGCTAAACCAAAGCAACACTCAACGCTGGCTTCACTGGCTGAGGTTTGGCACCTTAGTATCCAATCAAAATGTATTATCCATTCCCCCAAAATGTGCCTTGTTTTTTATGACACTGTCGTAGACAGAGACTCGGCGACCACGCTCGCGTCTCTAGCGACTAGCACATGCCTGTTGCCGCCTGTCTCCCACCAGTGAGTTGCTGGGTCAGTCGACGGGCACGACGCCTCCTTGGGGACAGTACGGACGGCAGCCACTTTCCGCGATGGCCCGACGGTGCGCCTGGTTTCCTGGTCGCTCCCCTCCCTCTCCCCCGAGTGGGGTAACAGACGGTCCCAGTGGACAGGCTGGCGAGTGACGTCACTGATTCAACGCCAGGCGGCCCGACTTTCCTGTCGAAGCCATTTGGGCTGATTGTCTGGTACAAATGTCTGTACTGGGATGTGCAGTCTCTGTCGCTAGAGCTGTTTTAACGAGATACTGGAATGGTGGTTTCGTCCAAGCTGCTCACTGCTCATCATTGTTTAGCGTCTGAAGACGTCAGTTAACATTGCTACTCCCACTTTTCGTTACCCATTGTTTTACTTTGCGTTATAAACAAGAAGTCATTCGTTGCTTTTCCTTTCCTTCGTATGCCTCAGTATGTCCAGCCTTTCCGGTCACGGCCGATTCAGCAAGATAGCAGATTTTTGAAATCTGAAAGCACCATCTTCAGTTCTCAGGCTTCACTTCAAGTTTATTTGAAGATAATGTCATACAACGTCAAATATGAAACGCCTCACGACATGCGAAAGCTCGCTTAGCCACATGTTGTTTTGTCTTCATTCAATTCCTTTTAATTTCATTCAATTCCATTAAATTTCACTTCCATTGCGAGGCAGTTGCTATCGGGTGCTCATTCTGTGGTTGTTTGCTGAATGTTGTGAGAAAATGTTTTAGCTAGGGCACTTTGTAGATTGCATAGCAGGACATTCTAGCCATAATGGTTCTGTATACGGCCGCTGCTTATCACAATAAGTCTTCATTTTTTCATGGCTTCCGCTGTTAGCGTAATTCGTGCATTGTTGGGCATGCAGTTTGGTAAAAAAAAACTGTTATTGCTCTGCATGCTCTGATAATCGATGAAGGCGGTTGCGGCTCCTTTTCGAGACCAGTGACCGTATGTTTTCACAATGATATCGACATGGACGGTATTATTGTGATAGCGGGCCATCACACACCCATATGTGTTATCCTGCTGTCTGGGGATGCTTTGACGATCTGCAGACTTTGAGCTCCCGCTGAACCTAAGAACACATACATACGTTGCCTTCTTAGTCCACCGACAAATGCTATCGACCATGGTAGCAAAGCAGATGTCGATGCCACGATTTTTATTTTGCATACTCGGAAATGATGTACCCATTCATGAAGGACTTGGAAATCTGCGACAAATATGAAGTAAACGTTGCACTACAACTGAAAAGTAAATTCTAACCGTGTGGATTGTTGTAACCACACAGTTTTCATGGCATCAACTCTCAGTCTCTCGCACTCACGCGAATATTGATACGCTAATGACATGCTCGAATGTTTTGTCTTACTTTCGTTTTCCTCTCTTTCCAGAACTGTTTGGGCATTTTGTACGCGGTCTACATGGACAGTTTAGGTCCCGAGCTGGAGGCGCTAGTAGGCAATATTCTAGGCTGTGTTCAGGTGAGTTTTCCGCGTGCGTCAAGTGTCGGGGAACCGTTAGCGACCTTCCCTCGTAAGAGGACAATGTCGCGTGATGGTGGTCGAGTGCATTACATTCCCGACTCAGCCGCCGTGGAGCCGCTTACAGGTGTCTCGGTTGAGTCGGCCGGATTAGTGGGAGGGGGGGGGGGGGGGGGAGGTCGCGGTATGACAGGGAGCGAGGGACGAGCGGTGCTTAAACTGGATTGCGTGCAGCGATTTGTTTGTGACGATTATACACGGAAGGGTACAGCACGTGGAATGCGGCCTTGCTTGTAAGGTGCGCCTTTGATTCCAGGAGATCGGTTAAATTACGTAAGTGGTTCGTTTGATAAGTGATAGTAGGCTGTGTTGCAGCTATCGGAGCTCAAATGTAGAAGTTCTGCCCGCCGCTGTTTGTTGTTTGAACTCAAATATCGTTTTGGAGCTGGTGGTGTCATATATCATCTGATGACTCTGCCATAACGTCTATCAACATTGAGCGCCAAGGTTCACTGTGTTCAAGTCGTCTTCAAATGTACCGCTGCAATATGCTCGAATCTTGTGTTGCAAGTCCCGTGCCCCCAGTAATTCAGCCCAGTATGCCCTCACCACCCCCATGAACACTCCACGCCGATGTGTACCTTCCTTTATCTTCTCTTGGAGACTGATTGCGATCTGTCTCCTGGTGCTTCCCCTAGCGTTACAGTCTGTGTCCAACTGCTACCCTCCCCCGCCCAAACGTCCCGCCTTCGGCTGGGCCCTAGCCCGGCCTAGTATGTCTAACTATCTGCTCTTTTCATGCAGTCTGAGTTTGACATCTTTCTGCTTCCTCTTCCGTGCTCTGATCTGACCAGTCTCTTTCACCGCCCACAGGTTCCCCCTCCGGGCGGCCCGCAGTTCAGTTTCAGTATCGTCCATCTCCTCTGTGTCCTAGTCTGTGTCTGACCCCCCCCCCCCCCTCTTTCCACAGGTTCCCCCTCCGGGCGGCCCCCAGGTGCGGTTCAGTATCGGTGCCGGTGACCGACAGGCGCTGCAGCCGCCGCTATCCCCCTCCATACCGACCACGGGAGTGGCGGTGGCACAGCTGTTCGGGCAGCTCGGTAAGGGGGGATCTCAGGGGGCATGAGGGGTCGCTATGTTAGCTCGGTAAGAAAGATATCAGGTGGTCGTGGACTCGTTGCACAGCTGGACGACCTCAGGGGACACAAGGGGTCGCTGAATCAGCTCGGTAAGGGGGATTCAGGGGACACAAGGGATCTCTGTGTCAGCTCGGTAAGGGACGATGTCAGGGGACACGAGGGGTCGCTGTGCTAGCTCGGTAAGGGACGACCTCAGGGGACACGAGGGTTCGCTGTGCTAGCTCGGTAAGGGACGATGTCAGGGGACACAAGGGGTCGCTGTGTCAGCTCGGTAAGGGACTACCTAAGGGACACGAGTGGTCGCCGTGGCACAGCTGTTGAGACAGCTTGGTAAGGGAGGTTTTATCAATAGCCTGGGACTCGTTAGCTGCTATGGTATGTGTTAGAACGGCCGATGTTGCCTAGGACTTGCAGTGAGGCAGGTCGGTAAGAATAATATCGTGGAGTGTAAGGAGTGACTGTGAGACAGCAGTCGTTAAGAGACATATGGTTTGCTTTGTCGCAGTTTGTTGAGTGTTTTAACGGTTACACAGCGTTGGCATGGGAGAGCTCGGTAGAAGCAGCATCAGGCATGGGTTTGGCTTTGACAACTGGTTAGTAACGGTCGCCGCGCCTTCCTGTATTTTCTGGGGACGCCCTATTGAAGTATCATTTTTGGCAATGCCTTACACGGAAAGTGAAGCTTTTCAGCCATTACTTATACAATATACAATGTTTCATAAAACATCCGAATCACGAGTTATGTAAAACCCGGTATCACTATGTTTTGTAATGCTCATTTTATCGTTGAGCACATTGATAATGCAATATTCCACTTATCCATGTCGCAACAGCTTCGCGATTATGTTGTGCACTGATGACCATTGCATAATGCTTACCAAGCGGCTGCTATTGAGAGTAGCACACGGTGTGCGATCCTTGTCCATCCATGCCACCAATATCGTTAGTGCGTCTGACGGGTCTTTTGGGTTTCTTCGACAGGCATTAAGAACGTAATGACGCTGTTCTGTGCGGCGATGACGGAGCACAAGATCCTGGTGCACTCGACGGCCTACTCACGGCTGACGGAAGCGTGCCACGCGCTCACTTCGCTCATGTACCCCTTCAAGTACAGGTATGGGGAACTGGGGTATAGGGAATGGCCGAGGAATGTGGCTGGGGGTACTGGTGCTCTAAACCTTGTGGTGCAAGAGTTATGTCCCACATCCATATTCCCAGTTTGGCTTAGGGTACTATGGCTGAAGCGTCCCGGAACACCGAGCTGACGGCATTGTCTGCCGTCGGGTTGTAGCTTTATCTCATTCGAAAGACTGACAAACACTTGGGCTGTCTGCAAGGTCGGCCATGCCTTATCTGAAATGCTTTCTTCCGAATATATCCTAGTCTGATATAGCGCATTCAGCTAAACTGGCTGGAAACTGTAGCGTTTTAGGGCAGTCAAAATGAGACCATCCCATCTTCCTTGGCGACAAGCCATCTCAGTGGTCGAAAATGTTCACCACCCACCCCACCATGTGGAACCTCTGACGCTAGCCTTTTGGTCATACGCTGACCTAACCGTTCTCTCGTGCAGTTTCGTGCCTACTGCAGTGCACACCCCGGTGTTGCCGTCGCCTCTGCAAAAGCTGGTGATTGTTTGGTATTTGTCAACATATGCCGGGTGTGACTGTCCTGTGTTAACTGACATATACCGTGTGCCTGACTCCTTGTTGTTATCTCCCTCAGTTACGTGTACATCCCGGTGTTGCCATTGCCTCTGCAAAAGGTGGTGACTGACTGACTGACATTGACCGACCTATACCGTGTGTTAGGCGGTGACTGTCTAAGCAGTATTTGCCGACATAATGTCTTGTGCTAACCTTGTCGTCGTCTCCCTCAGTTACGTGTACATCCCGGTGTTGCCGTCGTCTCTTCTGGAGGTGGTGACCACGCCGACTCCCTTCATCATGGGAGCGCATTCGTCCGTACTGCACGGCATGCCAGACCTGGTGAGTGGCCGAGACTAGGGAATAGGGACGGAACACAGAGCTAATAGGGCTGGTGACTGAGGTAGATAAAGGGAGGAGGGATGAGTGGTCGATCCGGAAAAGGGAGACAGGGATGTCTGGTGCGTTTTGTGAGGTGGGCGGAGAGAGGACGTGAAGGCTGTCGTTAGGCACCGTGTGGTGTGAATTGAGCCAGGATTTGTCCATTGGACCAAAATATGACAATATTAATGTGCGTGTGGAGACAGATCTAGCTGGCAAGACACACATTAATTTTGAAACCTCTGGATGTAAGGCTCTAAACTAGCCCACCCGTCCGTCTAAAACTCTTTGTCAGCTGGCCGGGCTATGAAAGGCAGCGGCCTCATTCTGTGCTGCCGTTGTGCTCCAACATAGCTTGACTGATGGATGGGTCTCAGTGGGTCCCCAGTGACGGCGCTATCTGGCCATTGTTTGCCGGCCGTTTGGGGCCGCCCGCCCGGGGGTCGGCCGGCTGAGTCGATAGGCCGGCGGGCTGTGGAATCAAATGGCGTCGCTGACGGGGTAGAGAGGGGACGGGGCAGTCTGGGGAGAATGATGGTCTGGCGAGAGGCGATGATGTAGGAGATGGATGAGCGGATAGCAGGCTCTCAGCTTCACACGTCATCGAATACGGATTCTTTTCTCACTCGCCAACTAGACAAGAAGAGTCCTCCCCTCCACCTTGGCCTAGGCCAGATCTGGACATAATTAGGACCTGTGTATTACATGACATTTCTCGCCAAATGAGTCCCCTCTGCCCTCTGTCTGTCCCTATTCTGAGTCCCTTCCTTCTCCCTCTGCCTCCTTTCTGTTCCAATTCTGCCCCTTTCCGTCCCCTTCTGACTCTCTTCAATCCCATTCTAACCCTGTCTAACCCTATCTCCTCAGATGGACGTCATCGTGGCAGACCTGGACGGCGGCTGTGTCAGCGTGCCCGAGTCGTGTATGATTCCCCAGCTGCCCGAGCCGGTCCGCTCGCTGGCACTTCACAGCCTCTCACAGGTGCTGCATCCCGAGCTGCACCGGTCCGACTTCGCCTTCCCCACACCTGTGCGGCCCTCGGCGCCCATGGTAAGTGCTGAGTCATGAGTGGATGTGTGGGAAGAACAGAGTTGGGTTGATATGAGAGGGGTATGACTGGATTCAGGCCTGTTAGTTGTTCCTGTCTTTGTGTTGTATGTGTGTTGGATGATTCTGAAACTGACATCGCAGTGGTTGCATACACATTTTCATGTTGCGCTTTTAAATTTGTGTTTGTTGTTTTTATCGCAAATTGGGAATAAGGTTTCAGTGCTAACATAGATCACTACATATCTATGACCAGGTGGTCTGTGGTGCTAATTATTAACGAATTCGCCACAAAAATAAATGCTACCAGGATAAAGATAACAGTAACACAGTGACACTAATCAGGGGTTTCCCCTAACCGACATCGGCGCGCTGTCTCCGCCAGATCCTGGACAAGGAGATCCGCGCCGTGTTTCTGCGGATGTTTGGCCAGCTGCTGCAGGGCTACCGCAACTGTCTGACGCTCATCCGGATACACCCCACGCCAGTCATCACCTTCCACAAGGTGGGTATAAACTACACCACACCCCTGGGTATATAATGCACTGCACACCAGTCATCACCTTCCACAAGGTGGGTATAAGATACACCGTTCACCTGGGGTGAAGGATAACTCCACATCTTTGGGTACGTCATGAGATACGCCCCGCACCAGTCATCACCTTCCACAAGGTGGGTACTAAATACACTCCACGACTGGGGTAAATGATACACACCATACCCTTCATCGTCCCCATGTTTTATTCGCTAGGACATGTTGGCGCCCTCTCGATGTTGGTAAAGCTAATCTCATTAATTTCCTGATACCGTAACCAGTAATTGCACCACACGATAGTCAACGTCTTTCTGTCAACCATCATTCTACCCTCTCCAGCTGACAGTCACCTGTAACGTCTCCCCTTTCCCGTCACAGGCATCGTTTCTAGGCCAGCGCGGCATGGTGGACTGCTCCTTCACGGCCCGCCTCCTGGACTGCATGTTCTTCACCTCGTTCATCGCCGAGCGCGGCCCGCCCTGGAGGCCGTGTGACATCTTTGACGAGGTGTACTGCGGCGTCAACGAGATGGTGCGGCAGGAGACGGCTGACCGGAGTTTGACCGTCACACATGTGCAGGTAAGTGATGTTTGGGAGGCTGTTAAAGAGCAAGAAGGTTAAGTGAGAGCAGCAGACAGTCACTGACGTGCATAGGTATTTGTTTCGGGAGTCGGGTATATTCGAACGGGTAAGTGTCAAGGGAGACTTCTGAAGACCGTCACAAACTTGCAGGCAAATAGGTGAGAGGGGACGTCGGGCTGCTCGTTACACTTGTCATGTATTTGGGGCGCAGATGGTTTGACATATTATTTAGGACTGATCGAAAGCGTAACATATACGACCACTATGAACATTTACAACCAAAGTGTGTCCATTGCTTGCGGGTTCATCGCTAAACTCCATCTACCCTCTTGCAGGAGCTGGCGCAGAACCTGTACAACAACGAGATCCCCAGTCAGCAGCCGTACGTGGAGAAGATCCCGCGGCCCACTGAGGGCTCGTTCCGGCGTATCCACCAGCCCGTGTTCCCCACGCTGAACGTGCACGCTGTCCAGCAAGTCATCGAGGAGGGTCGCTCCAAGACCAACCTCAAACAGAGGTCAGTACTGTGCTGCTGTTCAAAATGGACGAAATGGGAGGTTCAGTAACTTTGCTGCCTATAAGATGAGGGCGTAGGATTTTGTTTGGTTGTGGCGCAGGCTGCAGTGTGTTTGATTAGTTTTTTTTCACGTTTTTAGTTTGCGTTTTTAGCAGGCTCTAAGTTTTTACGAGCTTGACTCGGTTTAGTTTGTTGTGTGTGGTCCCGTCTGCATTCTACCATGAACTATGATGTGTGATAAGCTGTGTCCAGCAGTGTGTAACTCTGTGTATTGCCAGCAATTTACCCTTGTGAGCTCAAAGTCCGTGCGTGTCCGCGTTTCAATGTCCCGGCGGCCGCTGCTAACGGGGCTGCGGTGGCGGTGTGCGCACTCACTGTCCCTCCCCTTTCCCAGCCACGCATCTGGCGAGCGGTAAGGCGGCTCCGCCCTTCCCACTCCGACGGGGTATACTGTGTGTGTGTGTGTCTGTATGCGTCTGCCGGTACCACCCCGAGGACGGGTCTGTGCTCTGTCGCTCCGCCGCGGGGACGGTGGATGGGTGGCCTGTGACAGTTTAAACCTTCGATCGGGACTGGAGTGTCCCTGACCGGGTTGTTTTGTCTATCGCGTGGTGCGGATGGCTTCGCTTACTACCAATGATCTCTAGAGCTGCGGGCTGTATGCTCTACGAGTATCTGGTCTGAATCTCGGCCGCCCTGTGCTCACCTCGCTCGACTGACGATCTCTATCGACTTCAGCGGCTGCACCTCGCCCTCATCCACCCTCCTCTCCCCTCTCCCGCTCTGTCCTGGGCCTGCTGGCCTCTACTGGCTCCCTCTTGCCCGTTGTTGTGCCCTCTACCCCAGTGCTGCCCTCTTCCTGACGCGCGACCGAGCCCTGACGGGATCAGTGGTGGTAGAGTGCTGACTACTGACAGCCTGCTCTGAGCTACGCCAGCCGCACGGAGGGCCTGATGTGTCTGATTTTGTCTGGGTCTTGCTTTGGGATCTGGTCGGGCTGGCATCATTGGTCTTCACAGTGCTGGCCAGGGAATGCTATAAGGGAATAATTGCTGGCGATGTCGGAGCTTGGGAATGGTTATTACTTAGGGTGAAATGTAAGCATTCAATTTTTAATTGAAACGATTCAATGGCTTTGCGTGATTTTAGGTCATGTATTCTCAGACTCTTGGCCCTACCGATTTCGGGTTCATTTCTAATCGGTCTCATTCCCCACTGTTAGCATTTTGTTTGTCGTTGATTTTCGTCCCATGCTGCGCGCTTACCCGGAGTTCCTACTACCTGGCTGTGTATGGCCTGTGTATATTATTTTTTGCCTCTGTCCTGCGCAGGTTGGCGGCCATCAAGCCTCAGCCGAACCGGATCGTGCCGATGGGTCCTCACATCTCCACCCTGCAGCAGGATGGCCGACAGATCGTCAACAACTCGGCAAGGCGGCTCGAGGTCCGTACCGAGGGGTGAAGGTGCTGCTAGATTCGTCAGATTGGCGCACTTTATACGTTATACACCTTCCGTCGCCTCTATTTACGATAGTAGGGACTGGTAATGAACTATGAAGGCGAACTGGCGTACTTGTCACAAATGTTCTGATTGATCTGTTTGACGTTTAATTTTTTTTTGTCAACGTATTTTCCATGACCATTTTCAAGTCGGTACGGCGCACAGTCCGCTGCATATGTAAAGCTTGACTCTCAGCTAAGCTATCAGCTCTGCCCTCAACATCCCCGAAACTGCTAAACTTTAATCTCTCTCTAGCGGGGGCATCTATTCAACTCTGATAAACCCTAAACCTCGGTGTCACTCTACCTCGCCAGGTGCTGCGAAACTGCGTCAGCTGCATCTTTGAGTCGAAGATCTCGGACGCACGCAAGTCTTTCCCGGCCGTGCTGCGTGCGCTGAAGAACAAGTCTGCGCGCCTGGCGCTATGCCACGAGCTCTCGCAGCACGTGATCGGCAACAAGGCCATCCTGGACAACGAGCAGTTCGAGCTGGTGGTGCGACTGATGAACTGCGCCCTGCAGGTCGGTGTGTCACCTTTGGTTTCCCTTCAAAACTTAGGTCGGTGTGCCCTTCTCGTCTAGTGAACTGCCCTGCCGCTCCCCCAACCTGATAAATTGTGTTCTCCAGGCTGGTTTGTTGTATGTTGTAAGGGCCTGTCGGTCTGCGTGCCCTATAGCGTCGTAACTTTACCTTTACCGGTATAAAGACCCTGATGGATATTCCATACGGGAATATTCTGACATCATTGCAAGTGCTGGTACTAACAGGTTAGGCATTTGTCACTCACCAACTATCTCGACCCCGCCACCCATGACCCCATCGTGTCTCAGCATCCGCCAAAGTGCGTGACAATCTGCCGCAGGTGTAACCGTCCATCGTGAGTGTCTAACCGTACCTCCGTCCACCCGACAGGACGACTCTACAATGGACGAGCACGGTGTGGCGGCGGCCATCCTGCCTCTGGCCACCGCCTTCTGTCGACGGCTCTGTACGGGCGTCATACAGTTCGCCTACACATGTATCCAGGTGGGTGACAACTGACAGGGCGCGGTATGGGAGCGGGGCTCGACGACTCTGCACGGGCGTTATACGGTTCGCTTACACATGTATACAGGTGAGTGGGTGTCGGACAAGGCACCGTTTGAGGGTGAGACTGTGAATGCAGTCCAAGGTCTCGGCGAGTCTTGTATTGTCTGATGCATTTGCTGGTTGTTGTTATCGATGTGCCATCGATGTGCTGTGTTGCAACTTACCAATAACTTAATCGAGTTTCCGGCTAACTTAACTTGCTGTCAGCTGTAGTTGGTCTTTCAAACTTTTTAACTGTTTTTCCTTTTGGTTTTTCGTTTCCATGCGTAATGAGCGAGGTCAGTTTAGGCAGTCTTATCGAAAGCACATGAACTATCTGGTCTTTTTCGTAAGGCATGCCACATCGTACCACTCACAGTCGTCCGTCCTATGACGTTTAATGATGCGATCACACTAAGGATAAGATGTAACCCGCCACCTCTCTCCCCCGCAGGAGCACACGGTGTGGGGTAACCTGCAGTTCTGGGAGGCGGCCTACTACCAGGACGTGCAGCGGGACGTACAGAGGCTGTACGCGCCGCGCCACGAGGGCCGCTACGGCGTCATAGACGCCACCGGCTCTCAGTTCGGCTCACTGGAGGGCGACAGGGACCCGGGCGCCCCCGGCTGGCGGCCCGACAGGAAGACCGCCGAGCCGGCTGTGCTGGAGCTGGCGGCCGACCAGCTGCGCATGAGGTCACAGCTGGAGGAAGGTACGCGAGAGGAACAACCTAGAGGAAGGCTGGAGGGTGAGGGTTGGCTTTATGGGGGGGGGGGGGGGACTGAGGCGGCAATGAGAGGAATGATGAATGGCTAGATTTTTTTTCTGAACGATCAGGCTTGAATGACGGAGGATATTGAGGCGGAATATGGGAGCTGAAGCAACGTGAACGGTTTTATTGAATTCGTTACCTACTGGTGGACATTTCCTGTTCTTGTATGCCATTTCTTTCCTCTAATATTTTGAGTCAGGTTTTACAATAATATTCCCTTCAAATATCGTTTGACATCGCGCCGGGGTACGTGCCAGCCCTTGTTTGCCCACATGACGAGCCGACAACGCCCTTCTCACTCCCCAGCCAAGCTTCAGGAGCTGTCCAGTACCGAGGAGTCCACCGTGTACAGTCAGGCCATCCACTATGCCAACCGCATCGTGTACCTGCGCGTACCTCTGGACGTGGTCTCACACCGGCAGCGGATGAACAACTACAACGAGCGCGGCGAGAGCAACAGCAACAGTGTCACCAACAGGTATGGGACGGGAGATTAAGTCGTCGGGGTGTTAAGTGTGGGAAACTGCTCTTGCGTAACGGAGGGAAGATAACTGTGGCTGGAGTGGTGAGATAGCGTTTTGTACATATTTGCTTAATCTATATTAATGATGTTTTACCAAGACTGACAGAATAACATGCATTCTTTTCGAAGACAATAAGACGTCATGGCAAAACCAGCTTGTGACAAACGATTTTTCTATGACTATAGTTGAGTCGTTACGACTGGACATTTTGAACAGCTGAACATCTGGACATATTGTAGGTGCCATCGTAGTCTGCGTCACTCTCCTCTTATTGAAGATTCACGATTCGGTTAGCGCACTTATCTTCAAATGCTGTCGATTTCTCGTAACCGAGTGGTATGGCCAACAACTGACTGTGCGTTGATGTCGGTTTTAGGACGCCTCGGCGACAAATGCCATTTGAGACTGACTGTGCGATAGCCCCAGTCCTTAGCTGACCGTTCCCCGTCCCTATCGCCAGCGTGGCGGACGCGGAGACGGACAGTCTGACGGCCGAGTCGGGGTTCGAGGACCAGGAGGTGACCTCTGCTGGCGTGGAGGTGACCCGCTTCGTGTCCCGCTTCGTCGACAAGGTCTGCACCGAGGGACACGTCACACAGGAGCACATCAGGTACGCGGCGCGCACGGGACTTATTGTCAATTGCTTCTGAAGGAATGTGGCAGAACGTGGGTTTTATGGTGGTAATTCTTGAACTTGACTGGGAAAGTTGCTGCAAAGCTAGATAACTTTTGCACTGGTAAGCTCATGTCTTATCAGATTGAAATGTGATTTATTGGATTGTTAAGAGCCGAACTCTGTTAATTGTACATTTTAAACATTACTGGCAGCAAGCGTTCTAATATGAACACTGAGTCTAGTGCTGATATTTAATCTTGTGTTCTATTTCGCGAACCGTCTCTAACGTTCTCTGTTTTCTGGTTGACTGCAGGCAACTACATCAGATGGTGCCCGGTGTAGTGGCCATGCACATCGAGACGCTGGAGGCGGTCAGCAAAGAGTCCAAGCGGCTGCCGTCAACAAAGAAGGTGCGTGTCGTGTTCATGCTGTCTCAGAGGTCGAGCCGTGTCATGGAGCCGCAGAATCAGAATCAAGAATCAACACTCGTCTTTTTGAGCGTGTGACGTTGATATGTCGCCTTAGAACATGCATTTCTTTACATACAACACACTTGAAGCAGGGCCTTGAACCTGATGATAGTTTTTTTTTTAGCATGGAAAGATGACTTTCATGAGCGCGCTGTTCTCTAATTGGATTTGAGTAATATACTACCTGTCTTGCCCCGTCAACCCGTTCATCCTCTGACGTGTCTCCCGGGCTGGCTCGAACTGGCGGTCGCTGGTGTGTCTTGCCGGTGGACGTCACCTGTCTCTCCGCACCCGTCTGACCATCCGCCACCTCCCTCCCGCAGCCGAAGATCCTGATGCCGTCACTGCTGCCGGGCGAAGAGCTGCTGCTTGAGGCAGTGCGCTCCTACCTTCTCCCCGACGGACGGGAGGAGATGACGGGAGCCCTCGGTGGTCCGGCCTTCCTGCCCGCCGAGGGAGCCTTCTTCATCACAAACTACCGGCTCATCTTCAAGGGCGCGCCCTGTGACGCGTTTGGTAAGAGAGGGGGGGGGACTTACTTACGAGTTTGGTGTTGTGGGTGGATATTGGGAGATCGGGTGTGATAAAGAGTGTCTAGAAAGAGTAAGAAATGGGCACGACCACGTGGAGCGCGAAACTTCCGGCACTTCTTTGGCCGCGGGACATACAGTCAGGACTGTCGTCTGGGTTATGATGTGCATTTTTTAGTTCGATTAGTTCGATTTTTCTCTCCACTTAGTCGCTAAGCTTGGATTAACTATTGTGAACGCTCATTGTGTGTGATGCGCTACCATGATTGTAGTACCAGCGCTGGGCCAACTGGGCTGACGATGACCCCCTGTGTCGGCAGCGAGCGAGCTGGCCATCGTACGATCGCTACCCATCTCCTCCCTGACCAAGGAGAAGCGAATCAGCGTCCAGTACCTGCCCCACCTGGACCAGTGGCTCCAGGAGGGACTCCAGCTCCGGTCCAACACATTCCAGGTGCGGCGACCTCTTGACCAGACAGGATATGTATTTGTTGTGATAAATCAGTCTGACATCTGAGGGTCCCGACTACCGCATCAGGCCGTCTAATGCGGTGATTTATCATGGCAGTCTTGTTCTTATATGGGGGGTTGCAGGCCCAACAACTTTTCTGTAAAATTGATATATTATCTATTCCTTTTCGATAAGACAGGTGATCAGAATACACCAAGTTGTCGATCTAAGGAGGTAAATTGTCTTGTTGGTTCTACTTCCTCAATTAATTACCACTCACACAGTGTCGGGCTAATCTAACCCTTTCCCATGCTGTTCCTCAGCTGATTAAGCTGGCGTTTGACGAGGAAGTGACGGCTGAGTCCATCGAGAGGCTGAAGAAGCTCATCCAGCGGTTACGCGCGCCGCCGAGCATCGCCGAGCTGTTCGCCTTCCGCGGCCAGCACTTTGTCGCCGCGTCAGCCGGCTCCAAGGACAAACAGAAAAACGCCACGCTACGGTAAGGTCACGCCCGAGAGAACTTGGGAGATAGTGTGCCTCTAGGGCAATTATGAGCCAACTATAACGGCCTTACTCGTTCACGAGCGTGCATATTGCATATTGCCATGTGAATCAAGAAGGCGTTTTGGCTTAGTGGGCGCTGCATTGTCGAAAAAGAATGAGCCTTGGGGAGGATAATTGCGGTGATTTTTTTAAACCAACTAAGGATATTCTGCATCTCTTGCTGCTCGTCATCCAATAATTTGCCACAAGCACCGGGAACAACCTGTTTGTTACTCCTGTGGTGGGCCGGTCGAGTCCCAAACCATTGTCTTTTGTGACCGCGAGTTCGTGGGCGGTGGTCCCCAGTCGTATCAGCCGACTGAGACGCTCCAGTCTGCTGCGGGGCTCCAGTCTCCTGGGTACACTGAAACGCGGTGCGAGCCTGCCCCTATCGCAGCGTTCCCAGCTGTCAGGTCAGTCTCTGCCCCTCTCCGCAGCATCCGTGAGGTCAGAGCGGTGGAGACTCGGCTTCTGTGGCGGCTTCTGCGTGCTCCTGCAGCTGGTCCTGCTGACAGCAGAGCCGATAGCTGATTTGAGGCGCTGACTTCTGCGGCGCTGACTGCTGACGGCAGAGCTGGCCGTTGACAGTGACAGTGACTTTCCTGACAGCACATTCCCGCCCGGCAACAGGAAGGACCTGACTGATGACATCTTTCTTGACAATGACACTCCTGGCCCACCAGCTACATTGCCGTCCTGCCGAAAGCGCGGCACTCGTATCTACCCAGGAATCGGACGCCTTCACATTATCTCATCTCTTCATCAGCAGTTTGATCAGATCTCGACTCCCCAGCTCTAGCTACCGCTCCTCGCTAAGCCCCGCTTAGCTCCAGCCTACCCTGCTTCGCTCGGCTCAGCGCGCTCGCTCAGCCTCGCGTCCCGCTCGCTCCACAGGGGGTTCGCCAAGAAGACCCTGCTACGCACGGCGCGGAAAGCGGGCCTAAAAACCAAGGCGTCCAAGCGGCAGAAGTACGTTCTGTCGGTGGACGGGCGCGCAATGACGTCACCGGGACGGATGAGTCTGCCGCCGGCCGACAGCCTCGAGTACCTGCCCGGACACGAGGATGAACTGTCTGGTAAGAGGGGCGCCGAGGTCAGGAGTGCGATGAAAGGAAGACAGAGAGAATAGATCTGACTGGGACAGACGGGTGTTAATTTTGGTGAAGTTATTTGATATTTTGTCCTTGAATGGTTAAAAGCGAGTGATCACATGCAATGCTAACGAGTTTGTCTTAATTGACCGTTTTATCTCCTTGCTTTCAACGGATAACATATTATCCGCTTATAGAGTGAATGCCTTTTTCCTTTTAGAATGCTCTGTGGTGGGTGACAGCCTAAGCTTACCAAGCTTTCATCGCTTTATGCTACTACTGCTTATTAGTACCAGTAAAACGCCTTTTGGGCGAAGAACGAGCGAGCGAGATAGTGAGCCTTGCAGGCTGCACGTGCGGAAGGGCGAGAGGGTACTTCCAACGGGCTTGCGCAAAGCACCCTTCTAACCGGTCGCTAGCGGTGTGCCAAATTTGAACGCAATCGGCCCAGCCGTTCCTGAGATCTGGAAGCGGCATTCTGCACGTGCGCACGTGCAAACGGGGTCCAAACTGACTTTTGCACGGCACCCTACTAACTGGTCCCCAACCGTGTACCAAATTTGAGCGCAATCGGCCCAGCCGTTCTCGAGATCTGGAAACGCCCCCTGCACGTGCGCACGTGCAATAGCACCTTAACCCGCGCCCTGCTGGGGGGGGGTGTTTGAACACCCCCCCTTGTGGTTTTTCGCGAATAGCTCAAAAACGGCGGCGCGGAGCGCCGCCGTTTTTGGTACACCTTATCATACATCAATTCTACACATGTTGTGAAAATTTCAGACCAAGGTCATTCAAGGTCAGGTCACCAGGTCACTTGAAGTGACCTCACCTCATAAAAACTTTCAATGTCTGTCATAGCTACACCGAGTGACCGATCGCTTTGAAACTTTCAGCGATTGCTAAGAGCAATAGCATGTACAAAATGTATATCTCAGAATTTTGATATCGATGACCTAAGGTCAGGTCAATTTTGCGACCTCCCCATTATAAGTCAATGGGAGAAAATTGAAATGCGCCTCTTTTGCATGGAAGACATTATAAACACTCCCAAACACCGAATTACAAGTGGTTTAGACACACTGAACTTGAAAATGGTGTCCGTGACCCTTGTTTATGCCCTGAGGTCATCTTAGGTCACGAATGGTATCTAACAGTTTTTCGCAAATAACTTTTGATAGAGGCATGCTAGAGCGATGAAAACGCCTTAGATGTGTTCAGCTCGACGATACGGATCGACTGATATGCAACATGACCCTTTCCGGTCAGGTCATGACCTTGACCTGAGGTCAAATTTTCAAGTTGACCTTTCAAGGTCAAGTTATAGTTCATTCGATGCGTCTTGACGAGAGGAACACGATGCCGGTAAAAGTAAGCTCGTACAAGGCTTGGGTCAAAAGTTATTGCAGAAAAACTGTTTTCGAAAAAAATCGGCTATTTTTGCAGTTTTTGCCCCCTGCAGGCAAAACCGTTGACGTTAGGTCAAATCTGAGAGAATTACTCAGAAAGGGCGTTAATAGGGCTATCGAATGCGCTTTTTCCCGGCGCTGTAGCTCTATTGGTTCCCAAGTTATGCGTTGGCTTCTTGGAAATTTTCGACATTCGACCTGGAAATCGGCGAAATTTTGCCTTCAATGACCTCTGGTGACCTGACCTTTGACCTGACCAAAAAATTGACCGAAGTGATTTCGTCATTATTTTTTACGCTCTTTCGAGCGCCGCCTTCCGCGTATCGCTACGTGGCGCAGGAGCCGAGTTACAAGGGGGGGGGTGTTCAAACACCCCCCCCCCCCCAGCAGGGCGTGGAAATCCAGGACCCCCAGCAGGGCGCGGGTTAACCGCAACACATGGGAATGCATTGCCTGGTGGATGCCTACCTGTATGCCAAGTTTCAGCGAAATCGCCCCAGTAATTACCGAGTTATTAAAATGGGAACAAATTTGACACCTCTTATTGTTGTATTTTGCACGTGCACTGGGGGTGACCCACATTCATCAAGAGTATCCTATTTTTGGTAGAAGGGATGTTGCTACCCTACAAAAATTACCGCAAGTCAATCGCCCAAGCGGCTGCTGAGATATGAGCCTCTCAAAATCACTACTTTTGCAAAACAGCTTGAACACCCTTGACGTTTCACGTGGCACGTGCCACGACGGTCACTGAGGTGTATCAAAAGTAGTCAATTACGGGGTAGAAGGGATGGGGCTACCCAGCAAAAAAGACCGCAGGCCAATCGGTCCAGCGGTTGCTGAGATATAAGCCTCTCAAAAGCGTTACAGGCCGGGCCGGGCCGGGCCGGGCCGGGCCGCTCATACTGAGATTTTTCCGTTATATGGAAAAGACTCGCTGCGCTCGCTCGCTCGTAACCATGTGCAAGGCTCTCTGCCGATGACTTTGTAGTGCTGCGTCTGTGCTCATTCGGTGACTGTCTGGTGTGGTTTACTCATGCTGCCATTAGCTGGACCCGAGCCAGATGAACCGGAAGGTATGATTATTTTAACGCTGGTTCTTAAATCGGTCAAATTGTTTTTTTTCACATTTGCTCATAACTGCATCAATAATTTTTTGTGCAAGTCCAAATGTGCGACTCAGCGTTTCATAAAAGTCCTTTTGTAAATGATCGCTTCAATAAATGCAGTGGTGTTTTGTTGTTCATGATTGCAATATATTTGGGGGCATAGGTAGAACTTTGTCATGAGTTGGGGCCCCCGAGCTCTCCCATTTCCACGCCGGCTTGGCTTTGGAGCCGCAATTAGACGACGGATGTTAAGGTTACCGCTAGGGTGGCGGCGGATTTGTTGCACCTGGGTACCCCCAGCTCGGCACAAAGTTCCACCTATCTTTGGCGGTCACCAATAATTGTGTGCAGCAGATTGCTTCTGAAAATGCTATCGGTTATGGGTGGATCATCCGTCTCTTATCTATACTTTTCTGCGCTGGTAATAGACTTATGCAGCCTACGTGCTGCCAGTGGTGGACGAGTCGGAGGTGTCCAGTGAGGCGGGCAGCAGCCTATCTCTGAAGTCCAGCCAGTGTTAGACTGACTTATAACCCTCCCGTGTGCGTGCTGCCAGTGGTGGACGAGTCGGAGGTGTCCAGCCAGGCGGGCAGCAGCTCGTCCCACCTGCAGACCACGCCCGTAGAGTCCGTCTCCATGGAGCGACTCACAGAGCGCAGCTACTACAGGTGGGTTATCCTACTACAGGTGGGTAGGGAATCGGCAAATTGACTGGCTGGTAAAGCCTTACTTTAAATCGTAGACCATTTTCCAATGCGAGTGCAACATAGTATAATTTTGGAAACTTTGCTTTGGACAGCATATGTCTCCAGGGTTTCTTAATCGTTCCTTGAACCTTGATCGTTCCTTGGTTCCTCGATCGTTTCACTTTCCAGTGTTCACCCGTCTCGAGTCCCGTTTCCCCATGTCACCGATCATCTTTCCTCTAACCCGCGGTTTCTCTCCGCTCCACTGTCCCCATGCCATGTGTGTTCTTTCTCACCGAATCTTACGCCACTATTCTCACACAGGGACTGGTAGCGGCTGGGTCTCGGGCAGCTGACTGGCTGTCTTTATCACACGTGTTATTATCCATCCCCTCAGGGCTCAGGGACTGGCAGCGGCTGGGTCTCGGTCAGACTCTGTCCCCTGTTCCCCTATATTCACGTGTCCTGTTATCCACCCGCAGGGACTGGCAGCGGCTGGGTCTCGGTCAACTGACTAGCTCCACATTGAAGAGGATGGAGCCGTTCAGGGTGACGGCCGCCAACAGCTCCTACACCATCTGCCGCAGGTGGGTGGTCCGCTGGCGACATGGATTTACTCTCAGCGGACCCCAAGGAGCTGTGACCTGAATGGGTTACTAGGGCCGGGTCACTTGCCGCTGATGCTTGTTGATAGGCGTGTCTTATACGGTCCGGCCCTGGGTCATAGCTTTAATTTCTGGGCCGTTTGAATATTGGATGCTTGATTCTTGTGTATTCATTCAAACAGAATGCGTTTTAGTAAGCGCTGTATATCGAGCACCCGTTCTGTTTGTATTTATTGATCACTTGTGCATACCAACATATACTTATGCAGTAACGATATTGATTTGGCAACATCGACGTTGTTCAATTCAACCATGTTGTATCTGTCACGACCAGTGCAGTTGATAACCGATTGTTCTCTGTAGACATATCCGCTTTACCAGAACAGCGTTATGGGCGCAAAATGACCACCGCAGTCGACGCGCCCGTAAACCCTAATAAACAAACAAACAGGACTGACCGCCCGTCGGTTCTCCCTCAGCTACCCTGCACTTCTCCCTCTACCGTGCCACATCTCTGACATCTCGGCGGCCAAGGTGGCGCGCTGTCACCGGCACGGCCGCCTGCCTGTGGCCACTTGGAAACACCCGCGCACCCGCGCCCTCCTCCTGCGCGGATCGACCTTCTACGGAAAGGGCGTCCGGGGAATCATCATGGCGCATCAGGCCACCAGTGAGTGGATGGGAATGTGGTGGGGTCGCTTGATGGGTGGGGTGAAATGAAAAAGTTTGCAGTTTAGGATATAGTTGGGATAGTTGATTGAACGGATTCATGAAACTGAGAAGCAATCTTCCACATTTTCTTAAAATATTTAGTATTTATGTACAATCTTGAATTGCTTTGTGATTAGCGCATGAATATTCTATTTATGCTTTTTTACGAGGAGACTTCGCTGCTCTACCATATATTCCGTGTGTTAATATATATATCCCAATACAACCGCTGTTAGCGCGCCATCCCGTGCTCAACTCCCTCCCCTCTCCGCATCGACAGGCTCGTCGAGCGACACCTCGGTGGCTCTGGAGCAGGAGAAGTACATGTCGGCGGTGGTGGCGGCCACGCCGCTGTCCGTGCCGCGACCGGGCTCCTCGTGGGCCGGCCTCTCCGACTCGTCTCTCTCCATCGACTCGCTGGTACTACAGGCGGCCTCGGCACAGCCGGACGCGGCCGCCGCCGCCGGCTACCCGACCCTCACCCCCGAGATGGGGAGGAAAGTCAACCCGTTCTCCAAGGCGATGAATACGCTACGGTGAGTCGGCGCCGCTGACGAGAGGCGCCGGGAAAGAAGGGAGAGGGTGGGTAGCGTCGAGGATGATTTGTGTAACTGGACGCTGAAGTCAGACAGCCGTATAAGGGCTGGTGTGGGTGGCGGGGCAGTAATAACAGTTGTTGGCTGATAGCGCCTGATGGGGTATTACGGACGCGGGATGACGCTCATTGTTTGCTGTTCCCTGTCTGTGCCGCCGCTGTAGGAAAAGCAAAGCCAGGTGAGGGGCTTGGGTTGTTGGTAGAGTGGTGTTAGTCCCTCAGCCGCAGTATAGGACGGTGGCTGCTGTTAGATGATGGCTTTTGTGTATGGTTTCGTTTACTTGTTTCGCTATGCTGTGTATGTAGACTTCTTTGTCTGGTTTACTACGAGTATTTTGTGTATATAGACTTTCTTAACTGGTTTGCATGCGCTTTGGCTGTTATAACTGTGGGCTGTATGTGGTTTGTCGGTGCATGCTTTATGTGCTTTTCTTGTAAAGTCTGTTTCCTTTACTTGCTCTCCCGACATCAGACCATATTAAAGTTTGCGCTTGTGATGTATCTGAGAGTTATTATTGGTAGTCGCTCACGACAAAAATACCGTTTACCAAAGGTCAATGAACGGCCCCGCTTTGGTACGCTTTGCCGACATATTGCCAAGGCCGTCCACGTCAAACGTCCATTTTTGGGACAAGAGGCTTCGCCTTTGCGGTACTTCCTCCGAGGGCTGATTTTGGACATAACTAATGAAAATTGCCTTCGCTCGGCACCATTTTCGTCTCGCTCAGCCATTCGGCTCGTGAATTGGCTCGCTGCTGATGGAGGGGTGAGGCCAGGCCGCACGTAACGCCCTCCCGTTTGGTAGCTAGGCAAACGCGAGGACTTCACGACGTTAACGTTATTTCGTTGGATATGCAATGGATTTCGTGAAAGATGGTTGTGATTCTCTTATTTTACGTTAATGCTAACGATCTCAGTAACAGTGCTTTGGTTTTGATGCCAATATACAGATATAATTATGTAGATATTCTTGGTTCTTCAATGCGTCAGCAAACGAGTATCGTTGCTACTGGTGCCTTTGTCAATGTCATTAGATTTTTCGCGGTTTCTGTTTCCGTTCGAAGGCCGAGGCTAATTGAGCCCTTTCCCGGCTGGTGAGTCGCGTCTGTAGCGTGTACCGCCGTGCCGGGTATTGACGTGTCCGGCCGCGGCGGCCGCGGCTCCATTGCGCTGTGACGCCAGAGTCGCCGGTTTAGCGGTCACTGCAGATCTGTGAGCCGTGTTGCCATGACGACCCAGCTGGCCGGTGATGGCTGGGACTGGTGTGGGGCGTACCGCTCCCTGTGGTCTGGGATGGGTGCGACGGGGTGTATAATGGGCGGTAGAGTCTCATAAGTGGTGTCCGTCCCCTTTCCGTCTTGTCGGTCACAAGTTCAGGGTGAAGGTGTCACGCTTCTGGGCTCGAAATGTGTATAGGGGTACTGGGGCTCACGTGGCGTTCAGGGCTTCACGAGGGCTTCAATGGAGTTTCGTAGCAGGATAGCCAGTCTTTGGGCACTCAGACATTTGCAGATACGGTAGAGCTTTCTGTTTAGTCGCTTTCCTGAAGAATATTGCTTCGGTGCTGTGCTGTCTGGTTCGTCCTCTATATGTCTTCGATGCGGCCAGACTCTGACTGCGGTGTTGGAGTTGAATTGCGTTAGAGGTTTGCGTTCTCATTTGTCATCCCTACGATTGATTCTGCGTTATTTGTAGAGAAGTATTTCATTCAGAACTAACCATAGTTAGACTAATGCTGATCGGATAGAAATTCGAACGACACTAACGCTAAGATAGAATTGCTTTCTAGTTTATAGATACCAATGACTTTCATCTCAGGCAGTAGACTAACTAAAATCGGCAAACACTGACATCACGTAGTCGCTGGGACGTCATAACGATTAGCTCATTTTAGCACCATTTGTAAGCTCCATAGTGTTTTTTTTTTGCTCCCTTAAGTTGGTTAGCACTCCAACGTTACCGTTTCATGCCCTCGGGGTCTCCGCGCCGGCGGCTGGCCGTTGACTGCCTTGCCGCCGGCGCCGCCGTGCGCCCGCCCCTCCCGAGCCTCTGTGTACGTGTGTGTATGTGTGTGTGCCGCAGTATGAGCAGCGGGCCGGGCTACCGCGGCTCGCTGCGCCGCGGCGTCGTCTCCGGCAGTGCCCTGCGCTCCTCGTCGGCAGCTACGCTCGGACAGATGATGCTCAGCGTGTACAAGCCCAGGTGGGCACTCCCCGGCCCCTCCCCACCCTCCCCCGGACGGTTTAGGGGGGACTCTGGCCCCCTAATGGCCCCCTAATGTGGTCCCGGCGGCTCCCGCTACACAACTGGTCGGTCCTGACGCGGTGGGGACCAATCTTTGCCGATCGCACGGCTGGCTGATCTACCGTTCCTGCTGTTTCATGTTTAATATTTCTTTACTTATTCAGGGCTGGTTTGTGGGTTCCGGTTTCTTCAGTCCATTTCACCATCACTAGCTCTAAGTTTACCCTTCGAAACTAGTCCCGCCTGTAAAAACTGATCAGCAAATCGCGCTTATCTGTCTACAGCACACTATCCAATATCAATAGTAGAACTTACATCTACCTGCGCGTCGTACGAATGAGTAGTTCTAACAAAAAGGTAATGGAAATCGTATTATGTTCAGATTGATTTGTCCTCTTCATAAGTATAGGCACCTCTTTTTGTAGCTGTTGTACGCGAAGGTAAAATAATGAATGGTATTTTTAGACTGGTTTGTCCTATTTGGGGTTGGGATACCTTGATCAATTTATTTGTTCAGACGGCATGAATTCCGATTTGCTGGCGGTCATGACCTGCGTATTTACATTGTCAGGGTGCATGCCAGAGCTCGGGATTTGGGACAGCTCTCTAACCCTGGCCAACTTTACCAGGGGTTGCGGTGCGGCGCGGGTTAATGGGTTTACTTACTTACCAGTTACCTCACAGCTGTCCCCGGCCCCAGACAATACCGGGACATTAATATCTCCCTCGCCTGGATACTCGGCCCTTGTCTGCTCTAATGCTGACAGCTAAAGTGGTTACACGGCCAGCCACCAGTGCCGCTATTATTTCGTTCGTTGTATAACGTATAGCTGTGCCCTCGCTCGGTTCTCAGCACGTGTTCTCTGTTGAACGTTTGCTTGACTTGCAGCTCGATCGATCTTTGTTTCTTAGTCAATGTTTCTACGCATTATCTGTTTTATTTGCTTAGTAATGCACTTCAAATTGTCTTCAATTGATCAAACTGTCTTTCTATTTTCTTGGCACTTGTATTATCTATTCTACGTTCTTCCATATCTTTATATTCACATATCGCATTTCACGTGTATTGTGATCTGCGTTATCTGTGCGTATGTAACCTACCATGTACCCCACTCCGTGACCTGACCTTTGACCTGTGACCGGTGGCGACGTGGGCAGCTTCTCGCCCCGTTCGCCCGACTCGGAACAGGGCCACCACCACCACCATCACCCGGTGGGGGGCTCAGACGGAGCTCACACCTTCCAGAAGGCGAGCCTCTACGTGTTCGGCGACCGCGCCCACATCAAGGCGAGTTTAGTGGGATTACGAGATGTTGTGAACGCTTAAGTGATGGTGGCACTAAATGTCCGCCAAACACTGGACTCATCACTCTTTTTGTTATAACGTTTGCGATTGTGTTGATTGCTCTATTTTGTGCGCTTTATTTCGCTACCTCGCATCAAGGACCGTGGGCGTTTTGACCGTCGCAACTGCTGTCAAAGAACGTTGTGTGCCTGACTGTCTGCTGACATCGCTGCTAGAAGAAGTAATTCGATAATCCCTTGCCCTTTGTGGCTAATTGAACGCTGAAACGACCGGCTGATTTCATCAGTGTGATTTCCACAACCTGACAGTGACAGTGGCGACCAGGGTGGCGACGACCTTTGTTTGCCTGCCGGCCGTCTCTGGTTGCCATGACGACAAACCTTACTGATGAAAGCCGTGATGGCCGGGCTGGCGTGACGTGTGTCCGGGGTTGTCTGATTTGCAGACGGACTCGTTCCCAAAGACCGACTTCATCCCGGTGGAGTACTCGGAGGTGAAGCAGGTCAAAGTCGCCTTCAAGAAGCTGATGCGCGCGTGTGTACCCAGCACGGCGGCCGCGGAACGGGATCAGACTTTCCTCAGGTGCGACTCTCTGCCTTTCGAGCTGGTTTTGTCGGGGGTTTGTGTCTAGGGGGCAATGGGAATCCAGTGCGTTCTCATGTAGTTGGGTCCCTTAACATTTCTTTTTTTCTTGGGTGTAATCATCAGGAGACTGTAATCATATGAAGACGTAGAAAGGTATAGGGTTTTACCGTAGCCATGATGATTAGGTGTGCTTGTTGGTGTTGATGCTGGTGATTTAAAGGCCCCCGGTGTTTTCGTGCAGGGCAGTGGGCCTGCGGCTGCGACTGTGTTTCGCCATAATCTATATTCCCGTCTGTTTGTATGTGTCTCTGTTTGTGTGTTCTCATGCCGGGCGGTGGGCCCTTGGTATCTGCCGCGGTGTGCCGCCATAACCTATGTTCACGTCTGTTCGTGTTCTCGCACAGGGCGGTGGAGGCCTCCGAGTGGCTGCCGCAGATCCAACGGATCATGCAGGTGGCCGGCGCTGCGGTAGACCTGATTGACGTCCAGGGCTCCTCCGTGATGCTCTGTCTGGAAGACGGATGGGATCTGACCGCCCAGGTGAGGACCCGTCAGTGCCGCCAGTGAGCGGTACAGTGGAAGGACGGGTGCGGTGTTAGAACTTAAAATCGGCCCAGCACCGCCGACGGGCCGTGAGAGCACCGCTATAGACGGGTTCAGTGTGCCGTGGATGGCAGATGACATCATCCCCGTCCCTCTGCAGGCCAGGCAGTGGGATCCACTTAGGCGGGATAGTGATATGCAGTCTCGCCATTCACCTCCGAGCTGTCCGAGAACTCTCCTCCCCCACCCCGCCTCCACACACACGCGTCTATATTCAATCGTGTGCCGGCGTGAAAGGTGCCTGTTTCAGTCGTTCGGAATTTCCCCAGATGAGCTAGTGATTGAATTCTATATTAGTAACTTATCATTGATAGATCGCCTGGTCTGAACCTGGTCACTGCTCAGCTCAATTCACATTCTCGCTATCAGGGCCTAGCCACGGTGACGGCCTAGCTGGGTTTTCGTGTTTCGTCACCCATGCAGATCTGGTACTATTTATATTGTTTACTACATTTTCGTGTCCCTGAATAGTGTCGGTACGAGTGCAACTGCTGGCACCTGAAATCGCTCCTTGTTTTTGTTCCGCGCGCCTTCTACCCTTTTTCATTTACATCTCATTTCGTCTCTCTCCGCATCTCGTCTTCTCCATTCTCGCCTCTTTGGTTTCCTTCTGTTCCTCTCCTCCTTCTGCCTCTACATACTCTCCCTCTCATCCTCCCTGCTCCCATTCCTCATTCCATTCTCTCCTTGCTTGCCTCCCTCCCCTCCCCCTCTCTCTCTCTCTCTCTCTCTCTCTCTCTCTCACTCTCACTCTCACTCTCACTCTCACTCTCACTCTCACTCTCACTCTCACTCTCACTCTCACTCTCACTCTCACTCTCACTCTCACTCTCACTCTCACTCTCACTCTCTCTCTCTCTCTCTCTCTCTCTCTCTCTCTCTCTCTCTCTCTCTCTCTCTCTCTCTCTCTCTCTCTCTCTCTCTCTCTCTCTTTCTCTCTCTCTCTCTCTCTGTCTGTCTATTCTCTTCTATCTCTCTCTCTCTCTCTCTGTCTATTCTCTTCTATCTCTCTCCAACCTCTCCTACCTCATATATTTCCCTCTGTTCTCAGATCTCGTCAGTGGCCCAGCTGTGCCTGGACCCGTACTACCGAACCCTGGAAGGTTTCCGTGTGCTCGTCGAAAAGGAATGGCTCGCCTTCGGCCATCGGTTCTCACACCGCAGCAACCTGACGCAGGCGTCGATGGCCAGTGGATTTGCGCCCATCTTCCTCCAGTTTCTGGATGTGGTCCATCAGGTGGGTCAGGGAGAGGCGGTGTGGGTGGTGGAGGGTGGGGTTGAGGTATGCATTGGGACAGTTAGTTTCAGATAGGCTTAATTTGCGGGTTCGTCATATGGGAGAGCACGCTGCTTTTAAGGCCGTTTTTTCTTGTCGGTGTTCTTATTAATACGGTCGGATTAGAATTATGAATACGGTCGGACGAATGTGCCTCTCTAGTGAGTGTATTCCGGTGTCACTGCAGGCCTGTTTCTGGTGTCTTCTTGGGTTTTCGTTTGTAGTTGTGTTGTCGCAAAAGTATCGTTTATTTTGACACGCTGGCGTTGATAGGATGTTTGCAGGTGTTGCCTTTAATGAACAGACTCATAACACCGGTTACTTCACCTTAAGTTCTGCCAAACTGCAGTCAGTCTAACATTTCCGCGACACTGTTCCAGATCCAGCACCAGTTTCCGCTGTCGTTCGAGTTCAACTCGTACTACCTGCGCCTGGTGGCTTACCACACAGTCAGCTCCCGGTTCCGTACGTTCCTGCTCGACTCGGAGCTGGAGCGCGTCGAGACGGGGCTGATGGCTGCGGAGGACCGCTGTGGCAGCCTGAGTAGACACCTGCGCCGCTTCGACCCCAGCCAGCTGGACGAGGATGCCTTCCCTGGTAGGTCCTTCGCGCGGTGTGTGTGAGAGGGGGGGGATGTTAGGGAAGGAATGGTTACTGCGCCAGGTGTTGTCAGTCATGGCTTGGAGGCGCTTGTTGTTCATGCAGTATGTATATGTTTTTTGTTGAATGTTTATATGATGCTAATGCGCTACTCTTGTCTGATAGGTTTAGTGTTTTTCCTTATTCCCTAATGTAGTAGAATACGTTCTGGCTGAGGGTAGGATTTTCCACCAGCTGGTAAGTTATATCAGTACCTATGTCACATGTCTGTGTGGACTCGCTACTTGGTGTAATGTTACACTCTGCTGCATAATCTCGTATTATCCGGATTGTTTGATAATGCTGCTTGCATAACACATAACTCACCTAATATGCATGTGTCTGAGGTTTGTCCGCGAGTTGGCATGTTTTTCTCGTATGATGGATCTGGATCTCTAGAACTATAAATCATATTAGTACCTGCCGTGAGTGGCAGATGTAGCCGACCTCCGCCCTCCAAGTCTGCTCACCCCCGTCTCGGCGCGCCTTAAGCCCCAACAAACAACACCCCTGCCCGTCCGTCCCCAGGCGTGCCCAGCGGCCGGCCGGCCGGCGGTTCATCCTCGCACGGAGCCGGCGGAGCTCAGCAGACCCAGTCTGTATTCGACTACATCGACCGACACGCGGCGCGGTCACCCCTCTTCCACAACTTCTACTACGTGCCGGACACGGAGAACCCGGTGCTGCGGCCTTACTGCGCGCTCAGCAGCCTGCTGCTCTGGGACTACTACTGCGGGGAGACGCTGGCGCGAGGGCCGAGCTACGATCTGGAGGTGGTGGCGCTGGATGGGCAGCGCCAGGAGGAGACGGAGGCGGCGGACGGCAGCGCCAGCGCCAGCGGGAGGAGGACGCTCACCGCCGGGTGGGTACCGCGAGCGGGAGAGGGAGGGAGAGAGGAGGGAGGGACGAGGGAACGAGAGCACGGCAGGTTTGCTGTCGAAACTGCTGAGTACGATTGTAAATACCTGCGGAGTGTGCATGGAGTAACGGACGCCTACGATGAAGCCCTTTTGATGTAAGCAGCAACTGCAGCAATTCCTGTCTCACGTAGCATCCGGGCTCACGGCCACCTGCTTAACTATTCGGATTGAATTTCTGTAAACACGGATCTGTTGGTATCACAGTTAATGGTGGGAGATATTGACAGCTGAAGTCTTTACGATGACTACCTATTGTAAATTGTCCTTGCATGACATGAGTATACAGATTGCATAATGGCGGTTTTAGATGGCAGATCAGCTGGCATGTCAACCATTTGATCTGCCAATAGCCGAAGATTCGTCCGCCCTTGACTGAATTGAATATGTAAATTGTATCAGCTAGGCAGTCTTTTGATCTGCTACTTCGCGGAAGCACGGCTTCTTGGGCGCCTGAGTGGCTTTAATATTCTCCCAACTGAATTATAAGTTTAATAGCTGCGTGTCGTGCCACATGTAACGCATGTGCCCGGTGACTTGGGCCGACCCAAGAGGCCTGTTTGGGAATAATTGCCCTCCCTCAGTCTGATATCCACCTGTATGAATAACCCTCCTACTGACCCCTTTCCTGCTGGAGTGTCCCTCCTGCTTGCTTCATTTCCTCTCCTTCCCCTTCCTTCTTTCCTTTCCCTGTCCAGCTGCTTCTCCCCCCCCCCCCCCTCCTTGTCCTTCACGCCCCCCTGTTGTGCTCCCCTCCCTGCCTTCTGGAGGAACAGATAGTATGGTAGTAATCGTCTATCTGACAAATACTACCAACGTTAGATTACGTTGATTAGGTTTTGGTAGTTTTTTTATGACCGTCCTGCCTCGTCTCTCCCCTCAACTACGACCCTCCTCCTGACCCCCTCCCCCCCTCCAGGTACGACCCCCCGCATCAGCTGTCGGACGTGTTCTCCTATTATCTGGAGGAGATCCACCGGCTGGAGACGGAGCTGGGCCACCTACCGCAGCAGTGGAAGAACGTCTGGGACAAGATGGAGGTGCCCAACACCGACTCTCTGACGGTTAGTGGAACAGGACCGCCGGGATGGTGGGCGTACAGTGGTGGTGGTTGGAGTGTTGGATAGATAAAAGGAAGAGGGAGAGAGAGAGCAAATCAATCAGGTTAGAGACTGGAGAGAGGTAAAAAAAGATTGGAAAAAAGAATCAATAGTTGTGGAAGAAAATTAGAAGGGAAGCTAGGATAGATGGTCCCGTAGCTTAGTCGGTAGAACGTTGAACTCCGCGTGGTGAGAGCACGCGTTCCCGGTTGTAACAGTCCGGGTCCGAAGCGTGACGGGCGCTTGACGTTTATGGGCCTCCTGACAGGTATGGCTGCGGTTTGTGGCAGGCCGTAGCCAGGCGAAGTCAGTGAGTGGACCGGCCGTGCGCGGCTATGTGACTTCGGGCTCTAAATTCTGCCATAGAACCGGAATTGCGCGATCGGAGGGTAGAGGGCAGGGTCAACGCAACAAGCTTCGCTTAGCGGGGCTCTGTCCTTGTGAACCCTTCTAATGAAAAGGTTCGGACTAAATTTATTTATTTAAAAAAAAAATGTTCGCCGGTCAGTATTGTCACTATGCATGCGGCTTATCGTTTCCGCAGCACCAGCTACTGCGTGACTCAGTTCAGCGATAAGTCAAACGACTTGTTTGACCTGCATAAGCTGTCACATTTCGATTATTGCGTTTAAACTGAAATTGAAGCGTCTAATAGCACGGCTGTTGTGGAAAAGACTCGCGGAAAGTCCGTGCTGTTTGGGGTGCCTTCGCAATACTATAGCCTGATATTGAAGCTTGACATACGGAAGTTAGTCGGCACTAGAATTATACCAGCTCGTTGAGTTTCAATGCGAAGTCCTATTGATGATCAAGGCTTATGACGACAGTCTCAGAAATGACACTTATCTTTGTCGATCTTCGATCGTCACAAGCTGCAACGTAATAGCGTTCCAGGTAAAGGCTGAAAAGACTATTTCCGCAGTCAGGAAATCGCATGCGAGAGCCTACTCAAGTACATTAGCCCACGCTCGCATCAGTCTTACGCACCTCCCGCATGCGATTGATGCGGGAAGGATTATAATGTATTTGAAGAGGCTCTCGCATGCGGTTTCCTGACTACGGAAGGAGTTTGTTTCAGCTTTAATAAAAGAATAATTCGGGGTAGACGACAAAATCAGTGACTTGACTCGCGCCCCTTTAGGGATAAGTGACCGGTGTTCACGGTTGATGGAAGGGCCGATGCCCTCAGCTTCCTCTCGTCAATAATGTTGAGAGGTCTGCCAATCAAATGCAGATGTTTGGTTGGGGTTATCGTGAACGGATTTCACCATTCGACTATGCATATGGGCGCTACGCTGACTTTATCTTGCACCTGGTTTTACCGTGTCGTGCGGGCCGGTGGGACCGCCTTTCAACGGACTTCCAGAATACGTTGGCGATATTGTGAACTAAACAAACAAGCAAATAGACTGTGACCGTATACGCCTCTCCCCACAGCGTCAGGCGTCATTCAACACGCAGATGATACGTCACCACGGCCGTTACTTCCACAAGCGCTCCACCATCGACCTGATTCTGCGGGGTAAGATGGCCGGCGGTAGCGCGGCCGGCGCCGGCGCCGCGGCCGGTGTCGACTCTGCCCAGGTGTACTCGGCGCCGCATCGGTTCGAGAAGTGTAACTACACGACACCGACCTACTGCGACTACTGCAACCACGTCCTCTGGGGACTGGTCAAGGTGCGTCAGCGGGGAGTGTGGAGGGAAACGGTCCGGTCCATCGCAGGAGCGACCGGTCTCCTATGGGCGGCACCGCGACGTCAATAATTTATATATATTTGCACCGCAGCGCTTGTTTTCGGATTTATGGTTTCTGATTGCAGAAGCATTGCCTTTTTGTTAGTCTAATGCTGCGCTTTTATCGTGTTGAGATGTTGTTGGACTTTTTTGCGAGTTCTTAATCTGTATTTTTATCTTGTACTGCCTGTGTCGCTGCCTCTGTGGTAGTTCCCCGTCTCCTATACCGCAAAAAAAACATTTAAACGCAGAAAAAAATGTATTTATGTCGCAACCTTCTTCCAACCTTCTTCAAGAAGATTGAAACAGTTCAAAGAGCAGCTACAAGAAGAGTTGTGGGACTGCAAGGGTTAAATTATCCAGAGCGGCTGAGACAGCTTAAGCTTACCACCCTAGAAGAGAGAAGAGAACGGGGAGACTTACTTGAGACCCACAAAATCCTCCATCAGCTCCACGAGTGTGACCTCACCCAATTATTTAACGTTAGAAACCGAACAGAGCGAGATTACCTCAAACTGTACAAGCCCCACCACCGGACGTTGAAGAGAGGAAGATTTTTCTCACAAAGAGTTATAAATAAATGGAATTTGTTAAGCTCTCACACCAAGATGGCAAAAACATCTAACCAATTTAAGTCAAGATACGACAAACATCGGGCAGACAGACAAGACTGACCCAAGAGAAATCAAACTGATGTAGAAAAACGCGTGATTCAAAAAAGAAATGGGCTACAACATAGACCTCGACGTCTTCTTCCAGAGCCCAAACAACCTTGATTCTTGATTCTTGATTGATTCTTGATTCTTCCCTTCGTCACCCTTCAGACGGGCATGCGGTGCGTGGACTGCGGCTACAACTCTCACGAGAAGTGTGTCGACCACGTGGCCAAGAACTGCACCAAGTACAAGGCGGTGCCGGAGCCAGGTGGTACACCAGGTGGCAAGGACGGCAACTACGAGCGGACCAGCATCGGGTCTGGTGAGTCCTTCGGACGGCCGAGGGGGCTAGGAGGGGGGGGGGGGGGAATTAGCAACCCGTTGTCCGCGGCTTAGACATCGCCGTTGGAGGTTTATGTCAGCTCGCGGATAATCTCTCCTTAACAGAAAACACCCAATCACCGGACACAATTTTATGAGCATTCCTGGACCGATTAGCATCGCTAGCGATTCGGACTCGTCGGAATTTTTGTGCATTCGGTCACCCTGCCTGAGAATGCACTGCAGCCCTTGGATACGGGCCGGTTGATTGGAAGTTTCGATTAGATTTAGAATTGGTGTCAGCAGCATTCGCCTTTCTCAACTTCTGTCTTGATTTCTAGTATCGATTTCTTGTCCTTGCCACAGAATCAATAAGCTTTTCAGCTACAACTACCAATTTTATTATCCTGTGTACACAACAGCTTAACGACATCCCGGTTTTTAACGTCTGTCTTTCTTAAGCCAACCAACCACCTACCCACCTGTGCAGCTCGACCGATAACTACGCTGTTCTAACACTCTCCTGTCACGCTTCAATTCCAGCGGTGGCCTCCCATCACCATCAGACACCGTCGCAGCAGTTCTACGACCAGTTCTCGTCAAACGTCGCCGAGAACCGCACGCACGAGGGCTACCTGTACAAGCGCGGCGTGCTGCTCAAGTCGTGGAAACAGCGCTGGTTTGTGCTGGACTCTATCAAACATGAGCTCAGGTGGGTCAGCCGGCGATGAGCGCTTGAATGAGACCCAATGGTTTAGAGAGTGCGTTGCCGAGTTATGCATCTTACCCGCGCCCCACTGGGGGGGGGGGGCTATTTATAGCCCCCCCCCTCCCGTTTTCTGCAATAACTTCTAAAGCACTTGACGTATCGACGCCAAACTTTCAGTACCTTCGACTGCATCAATTTGACACCTTGTATAAAAATTTGAACTTCGTAGCTACCATAGGTCGGCCGGAAATGACGTCAGAGTGACGTCATCTTCGGCCGATTTCGACGCAAAACATTGAACCACGGCAATCGCTCCCAAGAGCTCAGTTTTTGAGCTAGATCCAATTTCTTTGCATGAAAGCACTCAGAATTGACTGCGCTATCAAACTGCTATCTCGGATTTTCAAAATTTTGAAAATTTGGAAAAAAATTTTAAAATAATATTCAAAATTTATATTTTTATATTTTTCAAAAAGTTTTTGACTTTTAGAAGAAAAAAAAACTGGAATATATGTGACAGAACGCATGCTTATGACTATCTCTAGCAAGTTTTAGCTAAATATCTTCAAAAATGGCCAGGTTATACGCATTATTGCAAAAATTCACAATTATTAATTTTTCAAATCAATTTTTCAGTACGTATAGGGTGTTCACTAAAAATTGACACAAACTTTGAATGGCTGCATATCAAAAGTGAAGCAAGCTATTACGGTGCAACTTAGCATAGAGATAAAAGGAACTTTTGTCATCATATCGAGCATAAAATTTCACGGATGTAATGAAAACAGTCGCGCTGGAGGTCATTTTACAATAAGGGCCACCGAAAGCCCATTGGCAGGCTTTCCCAAAATAATACGTCAATGGGAGAGTTTCGCACGTACTAATACCTAATAAAAACTTAGAATGTCGAACTTAGTTTGCATACCGTATAGCGAAAAGAAAGTTCTAGTGGGTGTGAGAGTCGGAAAACCTGAAGTGGTGCAAATGTGAAGATACTGACCTCAGGAAAGGTCGGGGTCCCGAAAATGCACGTGGAGGGGCTTTTTGGCGCCTCACGGCGCAACGCTGCTGATCAGTAAGGTATTAACTGTGCCTACACGAAGAAGACATATCACACATGAGGCTAGGCTGGTTACAAATGGCGTAAATCATTTCTCGAAGCGACGGGGAACAACACAAGGCAATGGAAGCAAATATGCAATAGTCAAGAAAGGGCAAAAATTTCAGAAAAAGGTCGACCTAATTAAGGCAGAAAAATCAGGTTTTTAGTTAAAAGGCCACAATTGACTAGACAATGGAGTGTTCTGTAGTGATCCTATCGATGACACAAGAGCTAACGTCCATTTAAGTGTCAGTATGCAAGTTAACGCTGGATGCTATGGTGTATGTGTTATTTTAGAGCATATCATCAGTTCGACTTTATTCCTCCAGGCTGGTCCTTTATAATATGATACTTTCTGAGCCAAGTGTATTATTTAGCACTAGGGGTTCATACACAACAACGTAAGTAAGCAGAAGATGATCATCTGGTCCGATCTCGCGCCAGCACACTAACCAAGGGGCGCCTTGAGGGCCCCGGCCGATGTAAAAATTCCCATTGGAACGAGACCCGATAAGCAATTTTCCACGCCTGAAATTTAACAAATGAGTATCTGATGTGATTTGCCTAAGGCTATAACGTATGTTGGTGTCTTTCGATTTCATACAAAATATCAACTGGTTGCTCATTACCACCATCAACTGGCCAACATCACGGTCCACTGGTGCCAGAGCTTTTGACAACACTTCCAAGAAAATGTCCAAAAAATGGCCTATGGGGATCAGGCAAATCTGTTGACGCTCTACGGCTTGCAGCAGATGCAATGTGCATTACAACAATGCCTCGTTTGTTTAAATCGGTACATTTTTACCGAAGATACAGCCTGCTAAACTTTGTCTCAATTTTTAGTGAACACATATTATTTGACATCGTACACCAAAATAGATAGCACCATCGTGTTCCTGAGCTCAAACTGCATCCAATAGACACCTTTTTTGTTGAAAAAATTAAACTTCAAAATTTGACCTTTTTGACCTGACCTAAGCTAAATTCGACTCAAAATGACCTCGAATGACACAGACGACATCAAATTCGAAATCTATGGCCTAAATGGACCATAAAACATGTGTCACGTGACCGACGCATGATATAATATTTCCGTGACCTGTGATGACCTGACCCTGACCTGAAAATCAAAGTACAAGTTTGGTACTCTCAAGGTATCTAGAGCATCTGTTCACGAGTGTGTAAACCCAAAATGAGCCTGATCTGACTTGTAAGACGGCGGCCAGAGCCCAAAATGTGAACAAGCCGAAATGCTAATAATTTTTACTTTGACCTGACCTGTGATGTCATCGGTGACCTTGAGGTCAATGAAATTAGGTTTCGCTCGACAGTTTTTCCGGAACTATCAGACGCCGTTTGAATTTTGACAATCGGCCCAGTAGTTTCGGAGTTAGGAGGGGGGCTATGGAGAGCCCCCCAGTAGGGCGTGTTATATGCAGACCCCAGTGCAGTGGGGCGCGGGTAAAGTCTGATGGGGCTTGGAAATGGTTTTAGCGTTCTCAGCGGTCGGTAAATGCGAGGAAATGTATGGGATCGGCGTATGCGCATTTATCATCCAGTCACATTACTAGTGATGCGTTTGCGTTGAGATTTACATTAGTAGCGATGCGTTCGCATCTGCCGTTTCTGAGATACGAGATTACCAATTCGAATAGTTTAGGTTTACATATGAGGCTTTAATGTGACGTTCTTGAAATCCCGTGTCAGTGATGAAGGCTAGATGTCCATTGCTCAATGGCTCATTCCCATACATCCCTGACCTGTGGGCGGTTGCATTCATTGACCAGATCGCTCCAGTTTACATGGTCGTAATCAGCCCATCTGGAATCAGACCCGATAGATAACACCGCCTGCCTGCTATGTGATTGACAGGTATTACGATGCGATGGAGGACAGCCACTGTAAGGGCACGGTTAACCTAGCTGAGGTCGAGTCGGTGTCACTCGTTCCGCCGGCGCCCGGAGCACCAAAGAAAGTCGATGACAAGGCCTTTTTCGAGGTAAGTGGTCTGGGAGTTCTGTTTGCTGTGAGTTCTCGGAAACTGAAACTGGAAACCGATGAGACGATTACATGTGGATGCCCTGACCGCACTAAAAAGGTACTGACGTCGGCATCGGCGCCCAGAGGTGCGGGTATTCCCCTAACGGTTTTTGCGTTGACGAAACTGTGCTTGCCGGCTGATGAACGGGATTAGCTGGTCGCTTGGTGATGGATGGCTGAGGGTTGGAATATAAACTGGTGCGCTATTGCGGGCTGATCTATCCGGAGGTTGAGAGATATATCCGCAAGTGCCGCGAGTTGCAGCCTATTTGCGGCACGTAGCTGGGATTGGGTTACGTAAGCTTTCAACTGAACTCCAACTAGTGGACGATCGATGTGAACTGCGTGAATCGAGAGAGCCTGGGGAGATTAGGGGAGGCTGGGATTGAATTGGCTCAGCTTAACTACTGCGAAGCACCGCCAGGGGACGCCTGTAGATGTTCAAAACTGGTCTCTTATCAGGTATGGAATGTTGGTATCCTTTAACCACAACGCGATGGGTGTTCTCAATTATGGCAAACGGGACAGTGACGACACATTACGTCAGTCGAATCTGACTACATGCGTAAAAACACTAGGCATTCAGTAAGCCCGTGACTCGTTTCCGTACCAAAATCCGTGGTCTGGCTTTATCTGACGAGGTCTTCTGTCCTCCCCAGCTGCGCACTACAAAGCGGTTCTACAGCTTTTGCGCCAACGATGGGCCGTCAGCGCAGGAGTGGATCGAAAAGATCCAGGCCTGTCTACAGTAGCTGGGCGTGTGATCTGGACGGCACTGGTCTCTGGAGGTTCGGCCGGCTGGTCCGGTCTGGTCTGGTCTGGTCTGGTCTGGTCTCTGACCGGCGCTTTTGACCGGGCTCGGACTGATGGACCGAAACCGGGGACTTCCACCCGAAGTCAGGAATGTCCCTGGTTGAGTCTGAACCCGAACTTCCTACCGGACCCGGCCGTCATAGAGCGACTAGCGCAATTACATGTATAGACCAATGACCCCGCTGTACAGAGAGTATATAGCGCGTGTTGTACATATAGTCGCGGCGCGGCGCTGGCCGTCGCCCACACATATCTTCGGGACCTGTCCGTCAACACGGAGCCTATCGCTGAGAGTGCTGTCTATCGCATGTGTATGTAACTGCATTGGCTGTACGTACTGTGTATGTATTGTACGTGAACGGCCGCCTATGTGTGTGTACCTGCGGTTGTGTACGCTGTTGTGCTGAGCTGCGGCTTGTTCTGCTCCTGTTGGGTCGGTCTGGGACGAGTTGGTAGTGTCCCTGACCGAATCATCGCCTAATGTATGTGCTATGGCTATTAATGCGTGTATTGCGGCTACGTTGATCGCTAGTGAAGGCCGACTGTCTGTCGACTGAAGGAGACTGTTCGGCTGCGCCCTGCAGAGATATTAATACGGTCTTCCGCCGTGACCACTGACCTTGTGTGACGTGGAAGTGAACAACGCCGATCGAGACTTGCCTGCGGTGGGACGCCGACTGCTGGGTTTTCCGCTGTGAAAGGCATGTTTCAAAAAGGTATTCCCCGTGAGGCCTGCGATCTGTACATGTTCTAAAAGTAGCCGGATTTGTAAAAACCTGCGGGTGAGATCTACGCGGTTATCTGTCTGGCATTACGGCAGTCTTTGCGTCACCGCAGAGCGAGGCCCTGTCGGCGTTCGGGCGGCGTTGCTCTCCGGTCGGCCGCTTAGCTCAGTACCCGGGCCGGGGATATGATCGAGTCAGTGCCTGCAGCCGCCCGTCACACGCACAGCGTCCGCAGACAGACATACTGACAGAGCGGCCCCAGTGGGCTGGCGGCGGGCCGAGGCTGTGCTGCGACCACGGGACGGGATCTCGGGCGGACGGGGGGAGACGGATAGACGGACGGCTTAGTGACATGACGGAGAAAGTTACAAACGGACGAATGGATGAACATTGAACAGACGTGCGGACGGATGGAAACGGTCGCAGACGGATATACTGCCTGGTGACACGGACTGAGACAGTTACAAACTGGATGATAGACATACACACGGCGATTTAGGCAAACGGTGGGGTTGGTTGCAGACGTATAGTCAAACGGAAACAGGACATGAAAGCGGTTACAGTCCGATAAACGGGACAAACTGGGTTACCGACTTAGACTGAGAAAGTTGCAGACGATTGGACAGATGAACGAACGGAAGCAGATGAAAATGACGACAAAACAAACAAATTTGAAACGGACGGACGTAGGAAACCGGGGGATGAATGCCTGGCGGGCAGACCAGGCAGAATCCTGACAAAGGTGAGACAGATGGACAGACGAACAGACTGACAGAGGATAACGTAGCCGTCTCATCTCCCGCAGTACTGCCCACCTAATGATGACAATGGTGATTATGCCGGTGAATGTGTTGTCAGTCGCTGCCTGGTCATGTGGTAAATGCAGTGTTTTATTGCTACTTGTGGTTTTTATCGATGGTGAAAACACCGAAAGCCGGTGGTTCGTTTCGAATAATGTTGATAATGTTTGGCTGGTAGCATCAGCTTATGTCGTGGAGAAGAAGGAATTTCTACAAGCCAAGCCTTTTTAGCACGCAGTACCTGTCTTTATATGGACAGATGCCCTTTCACAACTTGGCAGGGTGATTGGGTACAGGGAGGTGACGCAAAAGCATAATTTTGTTATTTGTCGTACCGTGCAGAATTCGCGCATACTTAGTAACAGATAGATACTGAAGGCAGGTGACAGAGAAACAGGGAATACGGTGCAGCCATATATTTTGTTATGAACATGAACAAAGAGAAGTTTATATCAATGGGTGATGCACACACACACACACACACACACAGAATGTTTATTAATCAACACGTATTACCAAAAAGAGAAACGTAAGTAGAAAACAAATAGTTATACAAGGCGTTTCGAAAAAATAATAGCAGATTGGTGCAAAAGCGCCAAGCGCTTAATTCTAGGCACCTCTCTGTAAAGGAAATGAAATTAATTGCTGCTAATCACACCGCCGCCGCCAACCCGGTCACCGATGAGCGGTTGGGATGAATGCAGACCGCGCGCCGGCCCGCGGGGACAGCACCAAGGTCACAGATTGAAAATCAATGAAAAACTAGGGTTGATTTTAAAGAAAGTGTTATTGTTGACTAAATCTATTTGAGTTAATCAAGAATCTTTGGAAGTTTGGATGCACGCATCGTCGACTACATTCATTGATGATAGGTAGCAACAATCTCATCAGTCACTTCAGTGGTGACGTTAACGGTTGGTAAGCCTCGCTTCAACATACGAATGGCAGCAATGGTAGCAGCGTTTGCTTTTCGTGGGCGCCCGTGTGGACAGCATTAGAGGAAGAATTTGCGTCAGAAGACTCGGCTGAGGTCCCCTATGGAACCTAGGTATAAAGGGTTTTGAATGGAACACTGCTGGACGCAGTGTATTGTGAGCCGATCGGCGTAATTTCTTTACCGGGTGGTTTGGTGTTACGTCACTAAAGACACTCGCAGAGGGGCGGGGGCTTATGGTGAACGTTCGCAACCAGCTGGTCGGTTGCCCTTTCGCCCCTAACCCAACGACAGCAGGGCCTTGGCTGTACCGAAGTTGCAGCTTCACGTGCTCCCTATTCATATTGCGCCGAGCCCTTTAGCCGCAGAAATTGGTCATTCCAAACCAGACATTTTTTAATTACGGGCCAGAACTAATTCACTCGTTGGAATCTAAGACCAAATAGCCTACATCGAACGTTTGGGCTCAATGGCGTTACCCTCGTCGGCTATATCCTAGGAGCCCAATTCGATTATCGTGCCTGCACAATATGCATATCATCATTTAATAATCTCGCCTACGCTTTCCCGCCGTCATCTGACGGCTACAGCCGTCGAACTGCGCCGTGCATGTGTCTGAACCGCTGCATCGGAGACGAAATTGCGACGCAGCTGGCTCAAATGATTAGTTTGATGTGTCAAACGGGTGTGGGCGGCGGTCGGCGGAGATTACGGCACGTCTGCCGGCGGCTGTGGTGGGATGAAGTTCCGTCGATGTGGGGAGGAGAGATGCCTCCATCGACAGCGGATATTGCGGCCCGAGGTTGTCGGCGCGTTGGTAGAGACTGTGCGAGGTTGATGACCGTGGCTGCTGTAGACATTGCGTGGTCCTGGGGCCGATACAGACAGAGATTGGACAGCTCCGGGTAACGCTGACAGCTGGACTGCTGCGGAGTGCGTCAGAAGGTTCATTGGACGTTCCGGGACCGCCATTAGACATTAGCTCCAGCCCGCTACTGACGTTGAGCAGCTTCAGGGCAGCTATAGACATTAGCCGAATCAGGAGCTACTACAAATACTGGCCGGGGCAATGTGGGCCTTGGTCAGTATGGGCTTAGATCCGTGGGCTTGGGTTGGGTTGGGTTGGGTGTGGGCTTGGGTTGGGTCAGTGCAGGCTTGGGCCTGCTGAAGACGTCAGTGGGATCTTCTCAGGACTGGTCGGGTCTTCCACGAACGTCGGTCTGGATCGGCTGAGTTTGCCGGGTCTGTCAATCGGTCACTAATGTTCTGTCACGGACGATCGAGTCTGGTTTATCGGGTGGTGTCTGTTCTGGCCTGGTCTGGTCTGGGTCTGTGCTGGTCTTCCACGGACTTCGGCAGTGTCAAAATGTCTCGTGTTTGTACGGCCCTCGGGTCTGCTCCGGGCGTCGTTGGGGTCTCCTCAGGTCTGTTCGTTCGGGCCTGCTACCGACTTCAATCGGGTCGGTCATAATATGTCGAGTCTGCTCGGGTCTATCCCGGGTGTCGGTCGGGTCTGCTCGGTTCTGTTCGGCTCTGCTGCCAACATTGACCGTTCTGCGGCGTGCTCTCTGTGGCTACGGCGGCAGCGCGGCGGAACGGCGGTAATACGGCCGCTACGGCACGACGGTAACAGTACCTACCGGCTACCGCGGCAGAGAGCGCCGTATTGATCGACCGCCGGGGAGCAGGAGACCCGAGTTGAGTGCCGTCGACCCACGCTGCTGACACGGCTCCGGTCGGACCACGCCCGCTCCGGCTTCGTATGCAGGACTGTAATGTGGGCTGAAAGCCGGTGGAACAGAGATCAAAGCTTAACCCGCGCGGGGCTGGGGGGGGGGTAAATTTTACCCCCCCCCCTCGCGAATTTTTGCAATATCTCAAAAACGGCGGCGCGCAGCGCCGCTAAACTTTCAGTACCTTTTCTTACATCAATTTGACACGTTCCCTGAAACTTTGAGCGAAATCCGTCGGAATTTTTTTGAGAAATTGACGTTTTAGTGACGTCATGTTCGCCATTTTCGCCTCAAAAACGGCAAAATTTCAAACGCCGCTAACATCTTCATTTTTAAAGGAATTAAGACGTAACAAAAAAGGTTATACGTAATTCTACTTTGTCTATCAAATGGCTATCTCGGTTTTTTGAAAATTTTGGATTTTGGCCTATTTTTTCTTCAAAAAACTGACTTTTTTGGGAAAATGATTATAAAATCCAAAATTTTGAGTCTATCGAAAAAAACGGAATATATGTCAGCGAAGTGGTCTATGTGCACCTACATACCAAATTTTAGAAGAATCGGTTGAAAAATATGGGAGTTATTCAAAATTTTATGACGTCACGACACACAAATTTTTTGAAAAATGACTTTTTTGGAAGTTCTAGACCTCGCACGGAAACAAAAATAGCACCATTCGATTCGCCGTGAAAAACTGCATCAGATAGACACCTTTTTAGACCTTAACAACCAACTTCAAAATTTGACCTCACTTGACCTGACCTTTACCTGACCTCGACCTGAAATTCATCCAGAGGTGGTCCATATCACTTATTGAGTGTGCCTATTGAATTCTATGAGTAAAATGACCCATAAAACATGTGTCGCACATGCCCTTTTCTATATTTTGTTTTTTGGTGACCTGACCTGACCTGACCTTGACCTTGACCTCTGAATGATATTGTATGCAACGAATATTGTCTTGGTAGCCTAAGAACACGTTTTGGGCGATCAGTCTCAGTCAATGACTCCATTCTTCGGCAATTACGGTGCAAGGCCGATACTGTAGAAACTTGCAATTTGTACCCTTGACCTGACTTTGACCTTGACCTCAAACTTTAAATGAAGTACATGTTTTTAGTTGTTCGTGATGAGAGCTTTCGATTGGCGTTTGAATTTTCCAAATCGGACCATTAGTTCAAGAGATAACAGGGGGGGGGGTAAAATTTACCCCCCCCCCCCAGCCCCGCGCGTTCGGCTGGAGACCCCAGCCCCGCGCGGGTTAAAAGCGGACTTACGCTGTCCAATGGCCCAAACGACGCATGTGCTCTTATTTCTTCGTTGAATTTGCCGAATGTCAACGGCACCAACAGTGCTAAGTGTTTACAGCTTCGGTTTTCGCTGTACCTAAGCATATCGTTTTCAGTTGTCATCCCTGCTGCGCTGAAATATCAATAATAACGGCTCTGATCATTGACGATTTCCACCAAATTACAAAAAAAAAACACTGAAAACGTTTACTAAATGCTACATTGCAGAAGATTGGACATTGTTATTTGTTATCAAGGGATGTGTGAGCGCAGCGCCAGCCTTTGTACCGTAATAGATGGGCAATTTGCATGTCTAATTGTTCCCTTGGGATCGTACATTGTTAAGCATTGTTCGTAATTAGAGGGCGTAGGGACGACTATTAAACGAAATTGTTTTCAAATTCATTTCCCACCACCGAGGCTGCCGCTGCCCACTTTGCTAAAATGTCTCGTCTCTTGCCATTCTCTTGGTGAGTGGTGATAACCTGGCTATCAAACCGAGGAAAGGGCGAAAAGGGGTAGGGTAGCCTGGGGCAAGACGCCCCAGATAATTTATTTTGCTACATAACTTTTGTCCCACATCAACTGGAAGGCCAAATTTGTGCTCAATGCGTTCTTTGGACATTTTACTTTAAATTCCACCCCTCAAATTCATTCACTTATGATCGGACTCCTAGCTAGGAAGTGATTTGTGAAGCAACTGCAAATGGGGCATTTTGCCCCAACCCCAGGGCAAAACGCCCCACCGCCTGGGGCAAGAAGCCCCATGCTCTAGATTAAAGATTAAACATGCTAGTTGACTTAAATCGTATATGAGAGGTCTGTTAGACTTTGGGAAGCACGGCACTGAAGTTAGCTCCTTCCACCCTATCAGGTGTTCAGCTATGACACTATTGTATGAGCAGGTTTTTCACCTGCCTCATAAGGCCAAATAATAAATTATTGCAATGGAAATGTTAACAAAATACTTCCTTTGCCATCCAGTTGCTGAGAAGAGTACATAGGGTAGACCGGGGCAAGTCGCCCCGCCGAGGTAAAACGCCTCACCGATGTTTCTCGGAAGTGGCAGATTTCTGGGGAAACATCCTCTCTTCTATAAAACGTGCACTATATGATCATTATATGAGCAGACTGGAAAGAAATTGTGTTGACTCTTTCGGGCGATATAGCCAAAAATGTGTTTTTTGAGTGATTTTTATGTTTTGTTGTCAGATTATGCATCATGGCGTTCTTTTACGGTCCACATCAGGTTAACGACTTTTATGTATTTTGAACAACTATTGTTTAACGCTTATCATGCCGGGTTGGTTCGTGTTAAATTATGTCTTGCTGGAGTGCAAAGCGTTGTTCTCTGACCGAACTACGTGATGGGGTAAAACGCCCCAGTAGGTCGCGGGGCAAAAAGCCCCATGGGGCGTTTTACCCCATGTGTTGTTCGGGCTACCCACTTTCTAATGTTCGGTAGCTGGCGAACAGTAAGTTTCTATGCCTTTATGTGTATTTTTCTCAGCAACTGGATGGCAAAGGAAGCATTCTGTAAACATTTGCATTGCAATAATTTATTATTTGGTTCTTTGAGGCAGGTGAAAAACCTGCTCATACAATAGTGTCATAGATGAACACCTGACAGGATGGAATGTGCTAACTTCAGTGCCGTGCCTCCAGAGGTCTAACGGACCTCTCATATAAGATTTAGCCAACTACCATGTTTAATCTTTAATCTAGAGTATGGGGCTTCTTGCCCCAGGCCGTGGGGCGTTTTGCCCTGGGGCTGGGGCAAAATGCCCCATTTGCAGTTGCTTCACAAATCGCTTGCTAGCTGGGAGTCCGATCATAGGTGAAATAATTTGAGGGGTGGAATTTAAAGTAAAATGTCCAAAGAACGCATTGAGCACAAATTTAGCCCTCCAGGTCATGTGGGACAAAAGTTATGTAGCAAAATAAATTATCTGGGGCGTCTTGCCCCAGGCTACCCTATAAATGCATAGAAACTTACTGTTAGCCAGCTACCGAACATTAGGAAGTGGGTAGTCCGAACAACACATGAGGTAAAACGCCCCATGGGGCGTTTTGCCCCGCGACCTACTGGGGCGTTTTACCCCATCACGTAGTTCGGTCAGAGAACAACGCCTTGCACTCCAGCAAGGCATAATTTAACACGAACCAAGCCGGCATTATAAGCGTTAGATAGAGTTGTTCAAAATACATAAAAGTCGTTAAACTGATGTGGACCATAAAAGAACGCCATGATGCATAAGCTGACAACAAAACATAAAAATCACTCCAAAAACACATTTTTGGCTATATCTCCCTAAAGAGTCATCACAATTTATTTCCAGTCTGCTCATATAATGATCATATAGTGCACGTTTTATAGAAGAGATGATGTTTCTCCAGAACCTTGCCAGTTCCGAGAAACATCGGTGAGGCGTTTTACCTCGGCGGGGCGACTTGCCCCGGTCTACCCTACCACATTATAATCCACTGCAGGCATTTTAAGACTTTTCATAGCTAAAATAAATGTTATACATATATCAAAGAAAACAATTAATATTTCGAATACAATGAGTAAACGTAGTTAACAGTTTCTGATTTCTTAAAATAACAATTTGGTGAAATGTTTTTATTACCTTTACCATTTGTATCGCCGATAATTTGTCTAAAAATAACTGTTATTAAACGGAGCAGTTTGATCCACCACATGCTCGTCTCATATCGCCACATTTCGATCCAAAGAACATCGAAGCCGGAAGCATTACAAAATATTTTAATACGGTTTAGGTATGTCTCTATTGGGCAAATCATGCAACGTAAAACAGTTCAAAATAAAGTTTTTGTTAGAAAAGACATTAGCTGAAATAACGTTTGAAAATGGCCATATACCAAACATGTTTGGCGTCGGAGTCCGGAGAAGACGTTTTCTCGCTATAAATTCAGCAGTCAATCCTAACAACAACCACAAATAGGTACCATCCTTCACAGCTGAGATCAACGGGAGGACACTGCGCCTCTGCGCAACATTTAGGAACACTGGCTAGTGTCTACAAACCAACACTGTCTCATTTAATTCTGTCATCGGCCAGGCACCCTACACCAGCAGCTCAAGCTCAACAACATTCCCGCTGGTCTAAATGCCACCGATCTTAGTCACATCTTTAGTCACATCAGTTTCAGACACATCAGCTCTTCCCTATTTTGATTGTGAGCCTGGACCCGGGTTTATCCCGATCAATGTCATTGACTTCGCCAGCGAGTCTCAGCACCATCCCGCATTTGGAGGGCCATTTCTGCGCCACAGTTCGGGCGTCGTTTCGACGCTCCCGGTCTCTGAGCGAGTTAACGTGGGAGGTAAGCAACTCCGAGGAGACACGTTCACTCGCAGGCCAGCTTGTTGTCGAAGCTGCTGAGCACGATGGCGAACGCCTGCAGCGCGCACATGGGGTAGCGGAAGTCCATGGTGAATACGTCCTCGGCCACCCGGCCGAACTGCAGGATTATGTACTCCACTGCCGGTAAACAAACGGAATAGTAATTAGTCATAAGTAGGCAAACTTCATAATTTCGTACCTACTTGGTATCAGCAAGGTAACAGCCACGGTGGAAAATATGTACATCCGTTTCAAACTGCTGTTCATCTTTTGCTAGGCTCAGAGAACAATGCATTCTTGACGGCCGTGGACATGTACAAGAAAAATACCAAATCTAATTGCCAAAAGGCACAGTGCATATATTCATTCGCACAGCTAGACTATCACAGGGTCACTCACAATCTTGAGGCTGGAAGTAATAACACTGAACTACATAAATAATGGCATCTGTCCGATATATGTAGGTACTATAAAAACATTAGAGTTTCGTAAATGGAGTCGTCGTCATGCTGCGGCCACTTAACCCGCGCGGGGCTGGGGTCTCCAGCCGAACGCGCGGGGCTGGGGGGGGGGTAAATTTTACCCCCCCCCTGTTATCTCCCGAACTAATGGTCCGATTTGGAAAATTCAAACGCCAATCGAAAGCTCTCATCACGAACTACTAAAAACATGTACTTAATTTAAAGTTTGAGGTCAAAAACAAGGTCAGGTCAAGGGTACAAATTGCAAGTTTCTACAGTATCGGCCTTGCACCGTAGTTGCCGAAGAATGGAGTCATGGACTGAGACTGATCGCCCAAAACGTGTTCTTAGGCTACCAAGACAATATTCGTTGCATACAATATCATTCAGAGGTCAAGGTCAAGGTCAGGTCAGGTCAGGTCAGGTCACCAAAAAACAAAATATAGAAAAGGGCATGTGCGACACATGTTTTATGGGTCATTTTACTCATAGAATTCAATAGGCACACTCAATAAGTGATATGGACCACCTCTGGATGAATTTCAGGTCGAGGTCAGGTCAAGGTCAGGTCAAGTGAGGTCAAATTTTGAAGTTGGTTGTTAAGGCCTAAAAAGGTGTCTATCTGATGCAGTTTTTCACGGCGAATCGAATGGTGCTATTTTTGTTTCCGTACGAGGTCTAGAACTTCCAAAAAAGTCATTTTTCAAAAAAAATGTGTGTCGTGACGTCATAAAATTTTGAATAACTCCCACATTTTTGAACCGATTCTTCTAAAATTTGGTATGTAGGTGCACATAGACCACTTCTCTGACATATATTCCGGTTTTTTCGATAGACTCAAAATTTTGGATTTTATAATGATTTTCCCAAAAAAGTCAGTTTTTTGAAAAAATTTAGGCCAAAATCCAAAATTTTCAAAAAAACTGAGATAGCCATTTGATAGACAAAGTAAAATTACGTATAAACTTTTTGTTACGACTTGATTCCTTTAAAAATGAAGATGTTAACGGCGTTTGAACTTTTGCCGTTTTTGAGGCGAAAATGGCGAACATGACGTCACTAAAACGTCAATTTCTCAAAAATTTTCCGACGGATTTCGCTCAAATTTTCAGGGAACGTGTCAAATTGATGTAAGAAAAGGTACTGAAAGTTTGGCGGCGCTGCGCGCCGCCGTTTTTGAGATATCGCAAAAATTCGCGAGGGGGGTAAAATTTACCCCCCCCAGCCCCGCGCGGGTTAAGTCGAATAATTGAGGGTGCTTACGGTCGTTGTCGTGTACGATCTGGAAGTTTTTCACGGACGCCTGAGTGACTCGTCCGTGAAAGTTGAGCACGTACGACTGGCTCTCCTCGCACCAGACCGGGGATTTGTTGTGGAGCTCCAGCAGGTTCTCCATCATGTTCATCCGCCAGCGCTCTGAAATAGAGCCGATGATGAGTTAGAGGAGTGCATTGATCCTGATGGGTTCTGCTCCTAGAGAGAATCTCTCGTGTCAACAGCAACAGTTATGTCCATGAACGATGATGATGCCTAAATGAATAATGAGTTCGTACTGAAAAGTCTCCCGCTATATGAAGGATCGTCGTTGATTGCACGTTGCACTATCAGTAAAGAAACAGAGTGTCTGATTTATCCCGAGCCTTCATGGCACTTTGCACCGGATGTTTCTTTGGCGAGAAAGGAAGACAGCGGAGCAATATCACACCCAGCACATCGATCGCTGATATGACAACACTGTCCCTAGAGACTAGACAACATCAGTCAAGATATGCCCCAGTCATGACCCATCGTATCCCCCAGCGACGCCCAGCCTCCGCGCCCCGCGGCTCTGAGCGCTCCGACGCGCTGTGTTCTGTTCCTATATCATCACCGGCAGCTCTGCTGAGGGGGCGGAACAGAGCGCAGCGAGGGAGGAGAGGAGGGGGAGTGGCGGTGGCTGCAGCAGCTCAGACCATCGATCGGGCCGCGGGCAGACTGAGATGAACACTGCCCCCGCCGACCCCGCTGGCCGGGCCGACCGCCCACCGCCTGTTCGTCGAGACCGACAGTGAGTCCCGTCGGGACCGACAGCGCTCCCGCTGACCCGGTGACCTCTCACCGACGGGGAAATGAAACGAAATACGAGAGCGAAATTCACTTGCAGACTGGGCCACTTGGGAGTGAGGGCATTTATAAGCTTCGAAATGGTTGCTGTGAGAGTGAATGTGGCGCTGAGCATTGCATCGACCTTCTCCCTGGCATGCGTGGGAGGGAGTCGTTTTGGTCGCACTCGAGAGGTGACCAGGTTTTGTTATCCTACCTCTTAATGTGGCCCGCGATCGTTCCACTTCTGAGGTAATTTAAAAGACGTTTATACAATCATGGGTTTATGCAATCAGAGTCGGGAACGTTTCTTTTTTTGTGGGGTTCACCCAGTGCTTGTGTTTTCCTTTTTTTGCGTACCGAGCAAGGGTATGTAAAGTTATAAACTATTCCTCATAACGTGCCGAGCAGGGTGCCCGCCGGGCAGATGTATGTACCCCCGTTATAACGTACCGAGGAGGGTTCCCGCCGGGCAGATGTACCCCCGTAACGTACCGAGCAGGGTGCCCGCCGGGCTGGAGGAGGGAAGCTGAATCCGCGTGTGGTCCACAGTCATCGCCGGCACAATCACCGTCATCTTCCGTGGGCCGCGGAAACCCATCACGTTAGTCTCCTGGCAGTGGAAGTCGTGGGTTAGGCAGTGATTTTTCACATGAAAAATCGATGTAGAAAAAAAGGCCTGTTTAGACCGTAAAAATAACGTGACCTGTGTATTTGCATTCATTCAATCATGAATGAATGAATGAATGAATGAATATCTGGTAGAAATAGTTGCCTTATATGCTGTCCTCCAATAAGAAATTATAGCGAACAAAACATAGCCAGTAGCCAGTCCAGTTGCTATGATACGGCTCGTGATGGTCTTGCCATGCTAAGGGCCAATAACGGTTTCTACTTTGACGCAGCCTGTCTCATTCAGCCAGCGTGTCTCTCGCGGGACTCACGTAGCAGATGGCGGCGATCTCCTGGCGTTCGGAGTGCAGTGGTCGGGCCAACTGCCGTGCCTTGGGTGACACCCCGCTATCGTACACCGTGAACTGGGTGCCCACCAGATTCGAGCGCACCTTGCCTGGAAAATGAACGTACATTTGTGAGTAGGCGAAGGCGTTGTCGTGGTGGCGTGAGGCGTACATTTGTGGATGAAATGTATGCTACATTTGTGGAGGAATGTAGAGGAGCATCATCAGAAGAAAGCAGAAGTGATGCTTTTAGTAGCTCACCAACAAATGCTTCCGCTCCTCTCGACAGGTCCGTGGGATCCGTTGACAAAAGATAATTGCTGGTCGCACTTTTCTTTCGCTTTCTTCCTGCTAATAAAAACACCTGTAAAATCAACATTTAAGTACAGATCACAGGTGTTTCATGTGCAGGTGCCAGTATCAGGGCAATAGTTTCAGTCGGTTGTCTGCCACCGGGAGTATGCAGCTTAGTTGGAAAATACCATATTTACGTTACTTCATTTTCTTACGCATTTGACGCTTTTCACAGACAAGTAACTACCTCCTGAATGCCAAAACATAAAATGTCATGTCATACCCACTTCAGTATTCCAAACATAAGAAATCCTAGAACAACAGCCGCTTTGAGAATTAACAACCCTTGCTACAACCTAAATGATTGAGTAGTGGGCGCCGGGCCATGCTAATCCCTTTATACATAGAACCCAACGGTCGCAAGCAATACCTGCCTTTTTACCGTCGTCTTTCTCCATGTGCAGGAAGTAAGTGGGATAGAAGCCTCTATCCATGCCCCTTCGGTCTCGAGTGACGCGGCATTTGACCAAGACACCCTGGGCGGCCGGCTCCATCACAAATTGTTCCACGCTGTCCATCTAAAAACAGCAAATGACACGTTTGTCACTGTAGCTGCAAACATGCATCCACCTGACAAACATGCATCTGACAAATAGCAAGAACGTCTGTCAAGTTATCTGTCGACAAACTTTGATGATAGCTTGCACTTTGGATTATTTGAGAAAAAATGCGCTTGTGAGTTACGGCAGAACGCACGAGAGGGCAGTGTCCTTTTCCTTAACCCGGCGGCCGCTGGGCCTCCGCGCCACCCGCCGGCCGCTGGGGGGGGGGGCATAAAGTTGCCCCCCCTTTACTTCTGCGACGATATCGTCGCAACGCGAAGAGATAAAGAAGCGAAACTTTGCACACATCTTCCTGAATACCTAGCCGAGGTTGTGTCCAAATTTGGTGTCGATCCGATTTGAAATGACGTCACAGTGACGTCATAAGTGAAATTATAGATTTGCGACTCTCATATTCCTCACGATACATCACATATATGGGACCGAATATAAAGGGCCGATTATTGGTCAGAAACTATATGGAAGTGTAGCAAGATGTTTTAGGATGACAGCAGGTGCTGTCTAGTTCATTTACAGTCGAGTTTCATGCTCAGCGTCATCAGAAACGGTCCATAGCGGAAAACGACAAAACTTTATGACGTCACTGTGACGTCATCTTAGGTGCTACAACCACCAAACTTTCCTCAAACATTGCCTAGGTATTCATTTGAAGCTATGCCAAGTTTCACGTTCGTAGCTCATCAGGTTTCGGAGATATTTCACAAAACGTAAAGGGGGGGCAACTTTATGCCCCCCCCAGCGGCTCGTGGGTTAACCCGCGCGGGGCTGGGGTCCCCAGCCGAACGCGCGGGGCTGGGGGGGGGGTAAATTTTACCCCCCCCCTGTTATCTCCCGAACTAATGGTCCGATTTGGAAAATTCAAACGCCAATCGAAAGCTCTCATCACGAACTACTAAAAACATGTACTTAATTTAAAGTTTGAGGTCAAGGTCAAGGTCAGGTCAAGGGTACAAATTGCAAGTTTCTACAGTATCGGCCTTGCACCGTAGTTGCCGAAGGATGGAGTCATGGACTGAGACTGATCGCCCAAAACGTGTTCTTAGGCTACCAAGACAATATTAGTTGCATACAATATCATTCAGAGGTCAAGGTCAAGGTCAGGTCAGGTCAGGTCAGGTCACCAAAAAACAAAATATAGAAAAGGGCATGTGCGACACATGTTTTATGGGTCATTTTACTCATAGAATTCAATAGGCACACTCAATAAGTGATATGGACCACCTCTGGATGAATTTCAGGTCGAGGTCAGGTCAAGGTCAGGTCAAGTGAGGTCAAATTTTGAAGTTGGTTTTTAAGGCCTAAAAAGGTGTCTATCTGATGCAGTTTTTCACGGCGAATCGAATGGTGCTATTTTTGTTTCCGTACGAGGTCTAGAACTTCCAAAAAAGTCATTTTTCAAAAATTTTGTGTGTCGTGACGTCATAAAATTTTGAATAACTCCCACATTTTTGAACCGATTCTTCTCAAATTTGGTATGTAGGTGCACATAGACCACTTCTCTGACATATATTCCGGTTTTTTCGATAGACTCAAAATTTTGGATTTTATAATGATTTTCCCCAAAAAATCAGTTTTTTGAAAAAAATTAGGCCAAAATCCAAAATTTTCAAAAAACCGAGATAGCCATTTGATAGACAAAGTAAAATTACGTATAACCTTTTTTGTTACGTCTTGATTCCTTTAAAAATGAAGATGTTAGCGGCGTTTGAACTTTTGCCGTTTTTGAGGCGAAAATGGCGAACATGACGTCACTAAAACGTCAATTTCTCAAAAATTTTCCGACGGATTTCGCTCAAATTTTCAGGGAAGGTGTCAAATTGATGTAAGAAAAGGTACTGAAAGTTTGGCGGCGCTGCGCGCCGCCGTTTTTGAGATATCGCAAAAATTCGCGAGGGGGGGTAAAATTTACCCCCCCCCAGCCCCGCGCGGGTTAAATCACTTTCTTGATTGATTTTGAGGCCCCATCGCGCCCGTTTGCTTAGTGGCCAGTCTCATCAGTTTGTGTCAGGCCCTACCGGTCTGTGTTTGGTCCCACTAGTCTGTGTAAGGTCCCACCGTGCCCCACTAGTCTGTGTTAGATCCCACTGTGCTCCGCCAATCTGCATTAGGTCCCACTGGTCTGTGTTAGGCCCCCAACGGTCTGTGTCAGGTCCCACCGATCTTTACTAGGTCCCACCGTGACCCACCGGTCGGGGGCTGATGGCCGGCTCTGTCGGCCACTCGCTCGGTCGTGCCGGCGGCGGCCAGCTCCGGTCAGAAGCCGGCGCTGTGCTCAGAGGGCTCTCGGGCTGTCCCAGCAGGATGGGCGTCTCCTCCTGCCACCGTTCCTCCTCCAGCAGCCGCTGCCGGTGCCGCCAGCGCCGGCCCTTCTCTGTCCAACAGAGGCCCTACGGTCAGTCACATAACTCGCCTCCCTCCTCAGCCAGCCGGCGCTGCCGGTGACGCCAGCGCCGGCCCTTCTCTGCGCCAAGCAGACCCGATGGTCAGTCCCAGCGGCCATCACCCACCCTTCTTTGACCACAAGTCCCGGCGTTGGCCCTCTCTGTGAGAAACCGACGGTCAGATCCAAACCGACGCACACCCTTCTCCGTCTAATATAAGGCCTCAGCGTAGTTCAGCAGTCTCATCACAGACCCTTCTGTGTTAGGACAGGCTTTGGGACCTCAGAACCGGCCCCTCGCTGCCTTACTACAAACCGTACTTTATTTGCTCAAAACAGGCCTCAGGGGGCTCAGCAGTAGGTATCACCACATACCCTTATGTGTTGAGACAGGCCAGAGGCCTCGAGTCCGAACACTGGACCTTCCTTCTCTGTCAAAACAGATTATCACAAGTCGCCAGTGAAGAACAGACCCATGAGAGTCCCAGCGGCGGTTCTTCCTTGTTCGCTACAGACTCAGAGTTGTTTCTCTACCCAACACATATTCTCTTTGCCAGTCACTTTATCCTTCCAGGCGGTGGGGGGGGGTATTTTTTGCCCCCCCCCCCTTTAGTTTTTTCGATATATCTCGAGAACCGTTGCGCCGATCGTCACCAAACTTTCAGTACCCTCCCGTGAATAGCTATTGCACTTTGTGACCAAAAATTTTTCCAAAGGCTATGATAGGTTGACGTCAGAGTGACGTCTTTTCTGCCCTTTTCGACCAAAAAACAAAGGTTTTGCGAGAAGAGCTGTCAGGCCTACAGCTTTAGAGATACAGAAAAATGTTTCGGACACAAAAGGTGAAGAATTGAGAGGGCTACAAAATTTCTATCTCGCATTTTTGAAAGTTTAGGATTTTGACCCCCAAAAATTAAAAAATAGATTTTTTGAATATAATAGCCGAAAAATCCAAAAAGTTTTTTTGAATTTCGAAAAAACGGAAGATATGTGATAGTACCCACCGCCTTCTATCTACATACCAAATTTGAGATCGATACCTCTTTTTTGGCCGAGTTATAGCGAAAAAACTGTTCAAAGTTGATGACGTCAAATTTTCGAACTCAATTTTTTGCAATTCTAGACCTCGTGGCGCCAAACGAAGACCACCGTTAGACTCCCCGTGACGAGCTGCATCGAATCAATACCCATTTTATGCAAAAAGTATCAACTTTGAAATTTGACCTTTTTGACCTGACCTTGACCTGACCTCCACCAGAAAGTGACCTAAACCGTACCTGATGGTCTTATAACCAACACCATTGAGTTGGAAATGAAAAACTGGCCTTAAAACATGCATCGCACAACCTTAGTAAAGTTGGGTTCATGTGGTGACCCTTGGTGACCTTTGGTGACCTGACCTGTGACCTGACCTGGTATGACCAGTGACGTTTAATAGCATTATATGTACTAGATAACTGACGCCCTATCGCTAATTTTCGACAAAATGCGTTTTACTCGGTGTTATAGCGCTTTCCCTAGAAGCCCCGTGAACGATGAAACATTTTATCTTTGACCTGACCTGTGACGTCATCGGTGACCCCGAGGTCAATGAAATTTGGTTTCCGTCGACAAATTTGACAGAGCTATCGAACGCCGTTTGAATTTTTCGGATCCGTCCAGTAGTTTCGGAGATATGGGGGGCAAAAAATGCCCCCCCCCCCCCACCGCGCGGAAGGTGGCCGGGAGGCGTATTCGCCAATTGTATTACACGAATCGGCCCATCAACTAGCGACATCTCTAGTGCGACGTCATAGCCATCCGCCGCGACAATGCATGCATTGAGGCTAGATTTGAGTTGAGACTATTTTTGCATTGTATATGGCTATCAGACATGTATGTGTCGCCGTAGCCGAGTGGTTAGAGTCTCGGTGTGATGGACGACAGGTCGGTGGATCGATTCTTGCTTCAGCGGTTCTTTTCTCTTAAAAAGAAGTCGGTCGTAGACGCGCATTTTTGGCCCCTACGTTCGCACGCCAATATCGTACGCCCAATAAATCTCTGACAAGTGCTCATCTGATTAAGGAATAAGTTGCAAAAGAACTGCAGTTGCAGTCTATACCTTAACTACCAATTTTGTTACGGCACTGTCGATATTCGTCAAAGTCGGAAGAGCTATTATGAAACACACTCGAATGACAACGGATTCCTGTATTATTTCATCGATCAGATAAGACATGTATAGATATAAATTGATGACAGCCCGCCGTGAGCATGCAACTTAACAACCAGTCCCAAGTTATCTTCATAAACGTCTAATATAAATCTTTTGACTTTAACTAGATTCCAAGTAAGAGGACTTAGGTATCCCCCTGGCGGCTGAAATGTAAAAGTTATAGTTAGGGCATAGCTCCTATAGATGACGCTCTGACGGCTGGAAACTGATTATCTCGTCCCGTGATTACGCTAACAGCTATGCCGAACTTTTTTTGTGCATGGTGATTCTTACACGAAAAGCTATCTAATAGCCTGCTTACCAGCGTGCGATTTTTACTTTTCATCTTAGGTCTCGCTACTTTTAGGTACTTTACCTTGCCAAGTGCCCACCTACTTTCAAAAGGTCAGCGCCGCCCCTGTCAATGCTGCGTGCTATCACCCATTGGCAGTGAGAAATATTGATCAATGAATGGCCATCGCCCAGCACCATTTGTCTTTCCATTGGCTACGTTCGCATAGTATGCACTATGCATTAGTGATGTCAATCACAGAAAATCAGAACACCGCTACCAAACCAAATACAAACAAAGACCATTGGAAAATACCGAAACCGAACCAATCGGTTGGACTGCAAATATCTATCTTATGCAACATATTCATTAGAAAAAAAGCCTACGTCTGATTTCTTAGGTGCACGCCGTTACAAATGTATAAAAAACGCACAATGACAGATGACACGAAAATCGAAGTCGCCGAGTGGATTCGAACCACCTACCTCTGAATCACCAGTCCGATACTCTAACCACTTCGCCACGGCGATAATGTACCCCATGTAGCTTAAATGTCAATAAGTTAAAACCTAGCTTCAATAGACGCCACCAGGGCGAGGACCGAAAGTATGACGCCACGCTGACGTCACTCAGGAGGCAAGCTATTGGTTGGCCGATTCGTGTAATACAATTCGCGAATACGCGGCCGGGAGGCCCACCACCTGCCGGATTATGCCAGGCACATAACAACTACCGACAATCCTACAGTCTCAGGGCAGGTTTAGGACGTGGCCGGGATAGTCGTCCCAAGATTGACACAAACGATCGAGATCTTTGAGCGATGCAGTTCCCTGGTCAGTCCCAGGGCTGACTTTTTCTGCCATCGAACTCGTCTCCCCCCCCCCCCGCATCCCCCGGCCCGATATAAGCCTGCACCCTGAGTCGCTGACACGGCATTTATTTAGCTCGGTCCAGTACAATATGATGACATGGATTGCTCTTCATTACCCCAGCTGGAACAACCACCACCGTCGTCGATTTGAAAGGTTCAATCACACCGAGACACCAGATTTTCTACCCCGCCAATGTCGGATACACGGTCTGGCGGGGGCAGGAACTGTGACGAGGTCGTCCCCGGGGCAGGGACTGTGACGGGGTCGTCCCCGGGGCAGGGACTGTGACGGGGTCGTCTCCGGGGCAGGAACTGTGACGGGGTCGTCTCCGGGGCAGGGACTGTGACGGGGTCGTCCCCGGGGCAGTGACTGTGACGGGGTCGTCTCGAGTTGTATCGACCGTGCTCTGATATCCCAGGGGGCAGGGGAGGAGGGAGGAGAGAAGTCGGTAGGTCGAGAGGAGCGCATCCCAGCGACACCGCGTCGCCGCTGCTGCGGTGAATGATTCAGAGGTGTTTTCAGCGTTTGAGGCACTGACTGGACGACTTGATTTGTCGGATGACTTGAATGTGGAAAGATATGTTTATAGGTGTTCTACATTTCTCAGCAAGAAACCAAAGCTTGTCTTTTTGTAAACGAGTTACCCACCTAAGAGGTAAATAAGCAATTAACTAAACGCAGTTACGCTTTAACTAGTTATCGTTTGAAATGAAGCTGTCACATCTCGGTTTATAGCAATTAGCCTAAATCATCAGCCATCGTATAACAATGTTTTGGGGGCACCAGCTGTAGGGGGCAACTCTTTGCAGCACATCTGCCAGTTTCAACTAACTAAATAGATAATTTTAATATTTTCGGCACATGTGTACCTAAATCACGCAGGTGGCGCAAAGAGTCCTTTCAGACGCTTTCCCACGATAGGAAAACAGTGTGCCGATCACGGTGCGGTGACAGTCATAAGACTGGCCGGTGTTTCCCCCAATGCACGTTCCACCGCCCTCACACGGGCTAGAGCTCACCTCTGACCGCCTTCATACCAGCACGTGCACACGGTGTGAACAACGTTAGCAGCCCCGACTGCTACCGACTGACTGAGGCAGCGGTCTGTGCCGAGACTGCTCCCCTCTCACGGCCAGTGATCTCGTCACCATGGAAATGTCTCAACACACACCAATATCCCGCGACACACACACACACCTACACATACACAGAGTCGTGCGCTAATTTAAGTCTAGGAATGTTGTTATGAGAGAGAAAGAGAAAGGAAATGAGGGGAAGAGAGAGAGAGAGAGAGAGAGAGAGAGAGAGAGAGAGAGAGAGAGAGAGAGAGAGAGAGAGAGAGAGAGAGAGAGAGAGAGAGAGAGAGAGAGAGAGAGAGAGAAAACGATACCTAGTAAACCAATTTGACTGTAACCCAATGCTGCGTTATTACAAATCATTATAACAATATTAGGTTCTTTTATTAAAACTATTTTATGTGTATAAGGGAGTATCTGGCACGCAACAGGCTGCCCACAAATCTTCCCTCCCTCTCTCTCTCTCTCTCTCTCCCTCCCTCCCTCCCTCCCTCCTCTCTCTCTCTCTCTCTCTCTCTCTCTCTCTCTCTCTCTCTCTCTCTCTCTCTCTCTCTCTCTCTCTCTCTCTCTCTCCCTCCATCCCCTTCCTCTCTGACGCACTAAACCTCAAGCACACACGCAGGCAGCCACAAATAGAACCTGACCGGCCGCGTTGGTCTGGCGCAGTGACGGTTAGTAACACGCTGTTGGCTTACGGCCGGAAACTAGCCCGGGCCAGAAGATACAGAAGACACAAACACGGTGGTTTTCTCACCACGATAGAGACCTGACCTGACCGTTGCTTTGTAACCTACACTCTGCTCTGTTTGCTCCCCATGTAGTGAGTAACAAATATACCTATGTGGTGTCGGGCGGATTGCCAGTGGGGTATTTACACACCTGGGCGTAAAATGGACGCGCATGATGCGACAAAGCGCACTCACGTCTGCGTTTTCGTGTCACTGACATGCAGAAGCTCAACAGATTTTCTGGATAGACACCAAAGAAATGGTAATCGATCGTGCGTGTTACGTGAATAGTAGCGTCGGCTGATGGAAGTTTTTTTTCGTCCTAATTATAAATAAGCGTCATACACTTTTTAACTTGTATAAAAAGAGACGCTGGTGTCCTTTAATTAAAAAAGAATCTTAAATAGGCATCAATGTACACCGATGATAAACTTCAAGCTGATGATTGGTGTTCCGATCATTTAAAAACACATACACATTTCCCATCAAGTCTTATTTTTCCTTCACTTTATTAAGTGTTTTGGGTTTAACATCATCGTCGAAATAAGAATACATGCGTCATCCGTCTCCGTTACCAAAATTCTTATTTTTATTCAAAGTAGCAGTGATATCCTTATTGATCACGACTTATGATCGGTCCTCTCCTCACCCAGGGTCCTCCGTAGCCGACGTCTGAGGCCGAGCCGCGAGCCGCGCTGGAGCCCAGCCGACCCACCAGCTCTGTCCGAGGCCACCGTTTTCGGTCCGCGGGTCGCACACACCACCACCCCCCCGTCGACGGGCTCGGACTGACCCGGGCGTGCCGCCGAAACCGACGGAGCACGCCGCCCGGCGCACTGCCGCCACTCGAGGAGAGAGAGAGAGAGAGAGAGAGAGAGAGAGAGAGAGAGAGAGAGAGAGAGAGAGAGAGAGAGAGAGAGAGAGAGAGAGAGAGAGGAGAGGAGAGGAGAGAGAGAAAGAGAGAGAGAGTGAGAGAGACAGAGAGAGAGAGGGAGGGAGAGGGAGAGAGAGAGAGAGAGAGAGAGAGAGAGAGAGAGAGAGAGAGAGAGAGAGGAGAGAGAGAGAGGAGAGAGAGAGAGAGAGAGAGAGAGAGAGGGAGAGCCTGAGCTGTACAAATCGTATCATCGTGAACTGGCCTGAAGACTTGAAAACGCGGTTGGCGTCACAAGATCCAGCTTGAATAGAATATAAGGAATTTCAACTTTCAGCCATATCACTTACGTGTTATGAGCAATCGCAAAAAAAAGAACGTCAGGGTCCAGCTGGGTGGCACCAACTTTCGGCCGAGGAGGGATGAAAAACGTGTTTCCGTGCATGGTAACCACCACATGCGATTATTGGGCGTGTTTACTACATCGCTGTGCGTCAGCATTCCGTATCCGTAGTATGTATGTATAAGTATATGCTTGCGGGTACCGATGGTTATGTCTGACATAGTGAAGGCCGGTCTAATAAAATGGCGTTGCTCACTATCCGTGCTCATTCCAGATGAGCTTACTCATAAAATCGGCTTTTCGCAGTAGCAGGTTATTTCCTTGCTCAAAGTGATGTCATGCCGAAATATCGTATAGAAGAAGCTCATATGTAGAAAACTTACTTAGTATCTGCCCACCAAGGCTTCAAGAGTGAATTTACGTTTTGCGAATGAAATTCTTACAACACGTTTTCTGCGCGAATGCGCTGAGAGCATTACCTCCCTGAGCTAATCCTCGGTTTTTGCTGGATAAGTTCCACCATGCTTTAATCGAAAAGGATGCTTTTGTGATTTCCAGGGAGCCCTCGACAAGTGGCCACTGGCTCGAGTCGCCGAGATGTGGAAACAGCCGCGGAATTCCGCGTAAAACATCAGGGGACTTCCGTATAGCTACACTGTATTAACCAGGTGTATTACCAGGTGGGGCATTCCACGTCAAATCAAACACCGAAATCCGTCATCCCCTTCGATTTTTCTGAAAATTTGTAGGCAGACTGGGCATGGTTCAAAACTGAGTTACGGATAATATTTTCGAAATTTGATGACGTATCGCTGAGATATAGGTCATCGAATATAGCCAGAAATGCCAGACATCAATTTTTTAAATGTCTATAACTCTGGTTTCTTTTCTGGTATCAAAATGATATTAACAGGGTCTTGTAGGCAATTGATAAGGCTTTGATTTTATTTATAAAATTAAATTGGAGTGACCTTGAAATGCATTTGACGTTGAATTAAAACAGAAAAATTTAAATAGCAAAAAACACGTCTCCTTCGATTTGGGTAATTTTAACATATTATGTCCGTCACAATGTTCCTAACCATCTGTGAAAAAATTGGAGTGGGCCATTTATAACTTTCGCGGCAAACGCCGTTTTCATGCATCAACATCACGCAACCGCGCGTGACCTTGAAAGACAGAGTCAAGACATGCTTGCTTGTGTACACTTTCTGAAATGAATGGTTGCTGATTAGTGATTTCCCAAACTCTGCGAGAATGGAAATGCATAGTTATCGTAGTCAAGCATTCACGTTCCATAGTAAAAGTGTCTCAGGCAAACGGTATTTTGCGGTGAATTTTGAGCTGTGTGGAAATGCATCATGAAGTAAATTCAACGAAAACATTATCACGCAACGATATCTTCACGTCTTTTTATCCTCACTTTACGAAAGAACATACATTTTTGAGCATGGATGGGGAATTTCTAGTTAATCCAATAATAAATATGGCAGTTAGAGGCCTGCTAAGAGTAACATGTCGCCGACTGAGGCGGGATCGGCCGACGCGGGAAACGCAGCAATCACAATTTTGTGTTTACACGTTCATGTTTCAATTGTTTACCACCTGATTTTCAAAATTCTTTCACCATGAGCTTGCCTGTACATTTCTTAGTCTTCTCACAAAATTTGACGCGAATCGAACGTAATCAGCGGTAAGGAGCGCGATGTAAAGACGGAACCGTTCCGTTCCGTCCCGGCACAGTCTACAATTCAGGCGGCGCGTAGCGGTCGGCGCCGGCTGCCGAGTCGCCGCGTCGCCGCGGCGACAGGATGTTCACTTTACACCGCTATTACTAGAACAGTTGTGAACCGATTTTCTTATTGCTTGCACGATAAGATGTGCAATTCAATTCTGGACAGGTAGCCATAATTAATTTCGCATTAATATTATGAGATATTGGCGAAAAACAGGAGGGGTGGGGCGAAATTCGCTCTTCCCCCTCCACTGCGAATGCTAACATACGTTTGCATATGTGCCATTTTCTTCAAAACTTATGAATGGCCCACTCTAATTTTTTTCACAGGTTGTTAAAAATATGGTAGGCAATGAAATATATGAAAATGAGCCAAATCGAAGGTGACGTGTTTTTTGCTATTTCAATTTTTGTGCTTAAGAACAGAGTTAAGCAAATTTCAAGGTCATACATCTAAGTAGGTGCAATTCTAAACAAATGCTTAAGAAATTACCTAAACAGTAAGGTTTATTTCATTCAAATCAAACAAGTATAACCAAAGTTATGGTCGTTCAAAAATATAAAGATGCAACATTTTGTAAAAATTTGATGCCCTATATTTAGAAGACCTGTGGTCAGAATGTGCAAAAAACATCAATGTAATGTCCGGGGCGACACAGGAACTCGCTCACAAATTTATAATGAAATCGCTGATGGTAAGGTGCAAAACAACCGATTTTTGTTCGATTTGACGTGGAATGCCCCAGGTGTATTACGTCATGACAAGGTGCATTCTGATTCAAGGCCCTGATATGGCGCGGGCGGTCTACTTCTACTTGCAACTGGTTCTGATTGGTCGGTCCGCCCCGGCAGCGTGCGATGATTGGTCTAGACAGAACCAATAGTAATGTGCCAAACGGTGTAGGGTGCCCAGCAATTTCTTATAACTGGTTTAACATCTGCAATGCGGTCACGCAAGTTGCGAAACAGCCTTACCGTAATTGCAGACTGCAGAGTGCTACATATATCTTTTTCATCTCTTACCAGCATGTTTTGGAATTGTTCTAGGGAAGTACCTGTAATACGCTCGTTGGAATTGCGACGAACCAAGTTATCCGTGTATAATGACGTCAGTAGGAAAGTCAGCGCATGACGCCATACCACTCTAAGGGGAAGTTGGGGCAAGAAAGACATCAGAAGCCTCTTACGCCAAACTACTTCAGCTAGATACAAGGAATCGGCAGATTATATCCGTAGAAACTTGCCTGCGGCGGCAAGTAGGAGGGGAGAACCGTCTAAGACGCCCCCTTAACCCACGCCCCGCTGGAGGTCCACGCCCTGCTGGCGGGGGGGGGGGGGGTTTGAACACCTTCCAACTCGGCTCCTGGGACACGTAGCGATACGGGGAAGGCGGCGCTCGAAAGAGCGTCAAAAATAAGGACGAAAACACTTAAGCACTTTTTTTGGTCAGGTCAAAGGTCAGGTCACCAGAGGTCATTGAAGGCAAAATTTAGACGATTTTCAGGTTGCATGTCGACAATTTTCAAGAGCCCAACGGATAACTCGGAAACTGATAGAGCTACAGCGTGCCGGAAAAGCGCATTTAATAGCCTATTAACGCCCTTTCTGAATATTTCTCTTAGAGTTGACCTAGTGTCAACGGTTTTGCCTGCAGGGGGCAAGAACTGTAAAATAACCGATTTTTGTGGAAACAGATTTTCTGCAATAAGTTTTGACTCGACGTTACTTTTGCCAGCATCGTGTTCCTCTCGTCAAGACATTCAAGACGTTAAGACGTCAATTCATTCAGCGCTTAAGCGCAAACTGAGGGGCTATCTCCGGCAGCTAGAGCGCGCCGACTGAATTCCCGTGTGTCCAGGATGCGATGCGCGGACTGTATGATTGGGGTAGCATTGGGGGTGCCCGGACACACATAAAAATATACAAATCGACACCTATGGATGTCATAAATGAACCTCTGCACGGGTTTCAGATGTCGCAACTTCGAACTCGGTGCCAGAGGAGCTTTCACTGTACAGGACCTAGTATCCTCTAGAGGTCTCACAACTTGTATAACTCGGATTTTTCCTAAAGGTCACATGAGGTCAGGTCGGTCACCACCATTATTAGTCAATGGGGAAAATGAAAACTGCTATTTTGGCGCCGGGAACGATCTCAGGCTATCTCAACCACACAGAATTGTGATTTCATGCACTCCTTGCAAGTTCCGATGCTTCACTTTTTTGCATTGTTGACCTTCATTTATGACACGTCACAAGGGTCATATGAGTTTTTCGTCAATAACTCCTGATCAAATTGAGCTAGCAATCCGGGAAAGCCACCAATGGACTCGGGAAGACCTGCCGAATCGAATGATATGCGACATGACCTCCTGCGACCAACTTCGTGACTGAGGGCTCTCCTGACCGTTTCCCGAGGTCTTAACACCTCAAGTTGACCTCACCCAAACAAAAAGTATACTATTCGACGCTCATGAGCGAGGCAAACACGATGCTGGCAAACTTGCGACTCTGCGGCCGTTTTTTGCGAAGTTATTTACCAAAAACCGAACCCATGCATGGAGCCACTTGACCTGACCTCCAGAGGTCACCGGTGGACTTGAGACCTTAAAATCGGGTACCCGTCGCTGCGTCTCGTAACGGTGCACACGCTCCCTTTTTCCGCGACGTTCTCTCGTGTAAATTTGTGTAACTGTAGTCTGTAGTTTAATTTTCCGCTCGCTCGAAAATGTAATTTATCGTTGGCATACAGTATAATGCATACCAAACTTAGCCGGCAATAAATTTTCAAGACATCAGTCCATACGTCCACATCAGACCTCACTGGTTTTTGAACTCGGCCTCTGGCTCGCTAAAAAATCCAGTAAGGACTTCGGTTTTGAAAAAGGTGCTTACACCGGCCTCCTTCGGTATAATGCAGACCCATAGACCTCTGCATCACCGAGGCATACAGAGGTATATGATTGAACTGGTTAAACGCCGTGCAGTTTTTCATTTACACTTGATAAATCAGCCTCGGCTAGTAAGAAAACAGAATTTTTCATAATATCACACAAGTTAAAATGGCATCGTAACAGGTTACTGCAAAATTCCCCATATTATCCGGTAATTCCATGCCCTTGCCCACGAAGTGTGGAATTAAGGACCTTTACCCATTGCGTTATAAGCCTTGGAGCGGCGCCAAGGTAAGATATTCCGCGGAGGGTGCTCGGGCGCTCGGGTGCTCGGTGATCAGATCTCGCCCAGCCGCTGACCGGGCAGCATCCACCCTCGTGAGCCTCCCCCGCTGCGTGCGCGCGGGACCATCAGCGCGTGCTGTGATCTACGACTGCGGGACCCGAGAGACTGGTGAGAATGCAGCCTAGAGTTCTTGGGCTGCTTTTTCATGGGAAGCATTGGGCCTTGTCTTAACCCGCGCCGGGCCGGGGGTGTCTGAACACCCTCCTTCTAACTCGGCTCCTGGGCCACGTATACGCGGTAAGCGGCAATCGAAAGAACGTCCAAAATAAGGACGAAAACACTCTAGTCATTTTTTGGGTCAGGTCAAAGGTCAGGTCACCAGAGGTCACCAAAGGTCAAATGTTGGCTATTTCAACATTTTGTAAACATGCCAACGGCTAGCTCGTGGACCGATAGAGCTACAGCGTCGCGGAAAAAGCGCATTCGATAGCTCTTTTAACGCTCTTTCGCCAACATGTCCTCAGATTTGATCTCAAGTCAACGGTTTAGTTAGCCTCCAGAGGGCAAAAACTAAAAAAAAGCCGTTTTTACGAGACGTGTTTTTTCGACAATTACTTTTGACTCAAAAGAGCCACGACATTACTTTTGCGAGCATCGTGTTCCTCTCCTCAAGCCGCGTCGAATGAACTATAATTTTATCTTAAAAGGTCAAATTGAAAATTTGACCTCAGGTCGAGGTCATGACCTGACTGGAAAAGGTCATGTTGCATTCAGTCGATCCGCATCGTCGAGCCGAACACATCTAAAGCGTTTTCATCGCTCTAGCATGCATCTATCAGAAGTTATTAGCGAAAAACTGTTGATACTACATATTCGTGACATGAGATGACCTCGGGGACATAACGAGGGGTCACAGGTGCCATTTTCCGGTTCAGGGTGTCAATTTTACCTGCATCCCCGATGTTTGAGATTGTCTGGCATGGCGTTCGTGCAAAAGAGACGCTTTTCAATTTTCTCCCATTGATTTATAATGGAGAGGCCGCAAAATTGACCTGACATTAGGCCACCGACATAAAAATTCCGAGATATACGTTTTAGATACGTTTTTTGTTACTCTTATCAATGGCTGAAAGTTTCAAGGCATTCGTTCACTCGGTGTAGCTATGACGAACATTCTAACATGTTCTGAGGTGAGGTCACTTGGCGCGGCCTGGTGACCTGACCTTGAGCGATATGGGTCTGTAATTTTCGAAACATGTGCGAAAAAATACACAAACAAGTGTGCCAAAAACGAAACGAAAGAAGATGCATGTATGCATGAATATTGCATAATGCACATCCTTCCAAGCATGGGTAATACGTAATGCATGATGCACCGGCAGATCAGTCATCAGATAGTCTGTCACGTAATGAAATAAAGGGTTGGGGAAGCCCGGCAAACCCGTTCTCGGCCAGTTTGTTTAAACAACTCAACTGTTTGTTCTTTCAATGAGGCAGCTCTGAGAATGGTGGCGCAAGAAGATAGGTAACCATTTCTAGGATCAATTCGTCTATGCAACTAATTGATCGCCTTAGTCGTGGTTGAGAATTTCACTTGTTATACAATTTGTAGGGACTGGGCATATGCTGATAATTTCTAAATTTTGATGCTATACCCTGATGTGATGTTTTCCCCGGAAGCTGTTTCTAGTCTCGCAAGTCCGTTGCATTAAATTACTCATCAGGAAGGCTGACGTCGTTAGGGGCTGGCACCATTGAATTGTTCAATCATTTTTTTTCTTTCACAACGTCACTAACTTCCATCGGCGTTTCTGCCATTATTTCCAAATGCAGCCCGAGTTACCGGCTTCAGCCGGATGATGCCGTAATCCGACGGCGTAGAGATCGGGCACTCTGACGTCACAGGATCTCTCTATAACCGGTTTGCGATGACCTCAAACACTACCGCGAAAATAGCGAACGTTTCACAGACAACTGTGCGCTCTTATTTTCTTCGAAACTAAAACTTGAATGCACTTTACTCCACAGAGCTATTATAGTTTCTCTTTACCCAGCGTCTAACAAATCACAGACAGGGTTAGGAAGTTAATACATGGTTTAGCCTCGATGTAACGAGTAGCATTGGAAGCATTAAAGTGGACGTGTCACGTTAAATATGACGCTTGATAAATGAATGTTGTGATGGGTATAAAATACTCACTGTTGTCTCAGCTCACCCGTCATGCTGCCGCAATTATTTATCATTTCTTCTGTTCCAGAACGCCTGATCGGTCCGGCAGCCCACCATCATCATACTGCAGCAATTACCTATCGGAGGGTTCGTCCTTCTATACTCGTTCAGCCTCGGAACTAAAACTTCAGCAGGACTTGAATAAATTTGACCATGAATACTCCTGAGGTCAAAATGTCAGAGCCGTGTTATTTAGTTAGTCATAGGCCCGAGGGGGTCCTTCAAACACACGTGGCCATCACGCCGACCCTGGAGACCCCTGAGCTCGCTCATACTGTGAAGGAGCCGGTGACGCTGCACGACTCTGGGGACCACCATGATGGACTGACCGGCTGTCAGCTGCTGCGACAGGTGGGTCTTCTCCTCGTCTCTTCCCGTCCTATATCGAGTGACACCTCCTCTTCTGTGATTATTTTGAGCAATAACAATAGACAGATCATTCCTTTTTGTATTGATAACTTAGTAATATTCATTACAGTAGCTCACTCCACCTTATCGTCACATCGTGCCTTCGAGTATTTATCAGCCTCAATAAATGCAACGCAAGTCTTATATGAACTTCTCTGTGAATACGGCTGCGGGCGCCGCTTCATAAATCACCATTTTTCGAATGTCCGATATAGGTAGTTTAGGAACCGTGTAGCGGCTGGTCAAAGTATGCGTTACTGGTTTATTTTCAGGTCGTCATCGGCGTTATCGTTGCGATGGTCACCGTGTCGGTTGCCGCCAACAACGCCGCCTCTGTGATGTTACCGCAACTGATGTCCAACGGGTCCGACATCACACTCACTGCGACGCAGGTCACTTGGTTCGGTAGGTGTTTGTTATATTATCACGCAATGCTCTATAGTTTATAAATGTACGTTCATACTTAGCGGATACATGACCAACGGCAATCGTCGGCATAGTAATATGAATATTATCGATAAAGCGAATGCAACGTTTAGCCTAAGAAGATCACTTCAATATTTCGGTAGGCTGAATGCATTGTTGGATAGCTATTCGTACTTCATTATCCTTCCAGGCGGTGGGGGGGGGGGCAATTTTTTGCCCCCCCCTTTAGTTTTTTCGATATATCTCGAGAACCGCTGCGCCGATCGTCACCAAACTTTCAGTACCCTCCCGGGAGCAGCTAGCGCACATGGTGACCAAAAATTTTTCCAAAGGCTATGATAGGTTGGCCGCTAATGACGTCAGAGTGACGTCATTTTTGCCGTTTTCGACCCAAAAAAAGGTTTCGCGGGAAGAGCTGTCAGGCCTACAGCTTTAGAGATACAGAAAAATGTTTAGGACATAAAAGGTGGGGAATCAAAAGGGCTACAAAACTGCTATTTCGGTTTTTCGAATTTTTCGGATTTTGACCCCAAAAAATCAAAAAATAGATTTTTTGAATATAATAGCCAAAAAATCCAAAAAGTTTTTTGAATTTCGAAAAAACCGGAATATATGTGATAGCCCCTACCGCCTTCTGTCTACATACCAAATTTGAGATCGATACCTCTTTTTTTGGCCAAGTTATAGGGGAGATTGGGGTGGGTTGTATCAGTTTTTACTCCGAGACCCATAACCTCGTAACTATCCGTGATAAACTCATTATTTCCATACCATCCCCTTCCTTGATTCTTCTGCTTTTTTGTGCTAAGTAACTTTTCCGCTACCTCTACCAGTTTTTCTTCTACGGTCTCCCGAATAGAACAATGTTTTTGATACAACTTGCCCCATGGCTTGGGTGAGTTGTATCACATGGTGGGGTAATTTGTATCACTATTTCACGTTTCAGGGAGTGTGCTTGCTACTGGTTTTGAACATAACAACAACATTAAATGGGGTTAATACAATGTATAGGTATGCTCAAAGGCTTCACTTTATTAGACCAAACTTTGGTCAATGCAATCCGAACGAAACATCAACAGACTAGACGCAAAAGTGGCCCGTTAAGAGCAAAGAAGCCAACACATTGTGCCGAAATGGAACGAGCATTGACTAGCTACCTACAAACGCGAGCCAGGGCTTAGCTTTCGCGATCAAAAGCAACATACCCATACATACATACATACATACATACATGTTACAACATACCCCACCCGGCTCTGATACAACATGTACCTAGCCGCCATCTTGGAAAAAACATCCTCGTGCTAAAAAAACAGCGGACAGCTGGAGAAATCCGTTTTCACTCACGCAGCCTTAGAACCTACCCTCACCACCGCTACGGAGATCTTTCAAATTCGTGCACATCTAAATGCCCAGAACACACATTTTCTTGCAACTTGTTTTTTTAGAATGACATTAAAAAAACATAAAATCGGCTCTCACCTCGAGACGCGTCCACTCAGCCACAAGACAGAACAGGGAAAGATGGCGCCCGGAAAACCTCGTCGGCTGGTCGTGTCGCGAGCGCCATCCATTGGATAAGTTTGGCGCAATTCGCCCTGATACAACTTGGACATGATACAACTCTCCCCGCTCTCCCCTAGCGAAAAAACTGTTCAAAATTGATGACGTCAAATTTTCAAACTTAATTTTTAGCAATTCTAGACCTCGTAGCGCAAAACAAAGACCACCATTAGACTCCCCGTGACGAGCTGCATCGAATCAATACCCATTTTTATGCAAAAATATCAACTTTGAAATTTGACCTTTTTTGACCTGACCTTGACCTGACCTCCACCAGAAAGTGACCTAAACCGTATCTGATGGTCTTATAACCAACACCATTGAGTTGGAAATGAAAAAACTGGCTATAAAACATGCATCGCATAACCCTAGTAAAGTTGGGCTCATGTGGTGACCCTTGGTGACCTTTGGTGACCTGACCTGTGACCTGACCTGGTATGACCAGTGACCTCTAATAGCAACATATGTACTAGACAACTGACGCCTTATCGCTGATTTTCGACAAAATGCGTTTTACTCGGTGTTATAGCGCTTTCCCTTGAAGCCCCGTGAACGGTGAAACATTTTATCTTTGACCTGACCTGTGACGTCATCGGTGACCCCGAGGTCAATGAAATTTGGTTTGCTTCGACAAATTTGACAGGGCTATCGAACGCCGTTTGAATTTTCCGGATCCGTCCAGTAGTTTCGGAGATACGGGGGGGCAAAAAAGTCCCCCCCCCCCCCCATCGCGCGGAAGGTGGCTGGTAGGCCCACCGCCTGCCGGGTTATCCTTTCTATATACAATTACAATGTCTACTGTCCATGTTGAAAGCCTGCCAAACGCGTTTTAAAGGGACCCTCCCACCTTCAAAAAAGTTAATGAATAGGCATGAAAGTGATGTCGCTCGGTTCAGAAAGAGCAAAAACGAATATCTACCAAATTTCATCGAAAAATATTCACCGGTTTTCAAGATATTAGACTTTTACTTTTGTTTACTTTTTGGGATCTCCGCTGTTCCTAGCGACTTTATTTGAAAGTGCGGCATTTGTTGCGCGCAAAGCAGCATATACCACCGCGTGCTACAAAACGTTTTAGTCAAACATTTAACGGACGTTCGAAAGCCTGATGACGTCATCAGATTCCCGTAATGGTTAAGAGATAGGGACCACGCTGGTCCCACCCTGCAAGTAAAGGGAAGAAATTTCTTGAACACCATAAAGCTGCGGGGGTTGCGACCAGGATAAATGGTGGTTTCTGAGCCTGGCCGCAAACTTGGCTATCTCAACTCAAAACTAATGTTAAGGTGGGAGGGTCCCTTTAAGGGAATGCTCGGACGATGACAGTTTTTATTCCTTTGTGTTTTACATGTAGCTAGCGTGAATTCGCTGGCTGCGGCCGCGGGTTCGACCATGGGTGGCATGGCGGTGCACCACCTGGGACCTCGGAGGGTGCTGCTGCTGCAGGCCCTGCCGACCATCGCCGGATGGCTGATGCAGGCCCTCGCCAACGGATTTCCTGTGCTGTTCATCGGACGCTGCCTGGTGGGAGCCTGCACCGGTCTATCAATGAGCGCAGGACAGGTGAGAAAAACCCTTCGGAAGCGTGTGGTCGTCAGAAAACGAAAATAATTTTAAAAAGGCATGACCCGGTCAAAAGTGATCAATGATCATAGCTAGTACCACTGGTTGGATTCATTTGTTGCCTCACCTGTAGACCAGTTCAGAGCTGTGGAATAAGAGAAATAAAGAAAACTCCTTGGAGGACGGCCAATCCTTGACTATGACCTATTAGGTCGACTCAAGATCTGGTAGGTGCAGGCCAATCGAAAGGCCAGCGGTATGGCGTGCAGGCACAGATGGCGCTCGTTTCACCACTGTGCGTCTCATTTCAGGTGTATCGAGCCGAGATGTCTTCCCCGCAGATCCGCGGACGACTGGTCTGTCTCGCAGGACTCTTCGACAACGTGGGAGCTATCCTAAGCTACGTCATCGGGTACCTCCTGCCGTGGCGTTGGGTGCCGGCCGCATTCGTCATCGTGTTTCTGGTGCCCAGCGCGCTGGGAATGCTGCTGGTACCTGAGTCGCCCTACTGGCTGATGGGCAAACAGAGACCCGAAGACGCCCGACGCAGTCTGCTGACGCTGCGTGGAGACCCGGCAGTGGCTGACAAAGACCTGGCGATCATCACTGAAGCGTGCAAGAGTCGTCAGAAGGCGCTGACACCTCGCGAACTGGCAAAGGAGATGTCTAAACTGTGCGTGCTGGCGCCGTTCCTCACTGTTCTGGCGTTGTTTGCTTTGGGCGCCTTGGCGGGGCTTTCGATGTTGACTTACCTTGTGGTTATCTTCAAGGAGACTGGTTCGTCACTAGATGCGCACCAAGCATCTATCTTGTTTGGCTGTGTACGCACTTGCAACATGTTCCTCGTGCTGTACATGAGTGACCACTTCGGCCGGCGGCCGCTGCTCATATTCTCCAGCGTCGGTTGTACGCTGACCACTCTGAGCATGGCGGCATTTCTGTTCGGCCGAGACCAGGTACCTGAATGGGCCGGGTGGCGGCAACTCTCGTGGCTACCGCTGGCGCTCATGCTGTTCTACATCATCGCCTTCGACTTCGGCTTCGGACGCACCACGTGGGTGGTGCATGCCGAACTCCTGCCGAACCGCGTGCGATCGGCGCTGTCAGGTTTCGGTGTTCTCATGCACTTCGGCAGCGCGTCTGTTTCCATATTTGCGTTCCCATTCATCCGCGATGCATTCACGCTTGCTGGGGCGTTCTGTTTCTTCGCGCTGTTTAGCTTTTTGGGTCTTCTGCTCACGGTATTTCTGATCCCTGAAACAAAAAACCAGAGGCTGGAGGCCATCGAGGCATTCTACGTTCATCGTTTTCATCCCGAAAGAAAGTGACAGTTCTGTAATTTGCTTACTCAGCGACGATTACACGAATGACATCGTAATTTCATTAGCACATGGTTTACTATTGTGAGCGAGGTTTTTAACCCTCGCCCCGTTGGGGGAAGTACCTTCCCGGGCATCAATTTGACACCTTCACACAAAATTTCAAGACTTAGGTCACCTTAGGTCAGGAGTTATTTAGGTCAAACTGAGGTCATGTTCGAGCAAAAATGAGCAAAAAACATGCAATCTTGAAACGCTCACCAAATCTAGGTACAGTTACCAAGCAATTTCAAAGTTATTCATATGGTCATGTAGACGAAAGGCGGCGCTACAAAACTGCTATCTCGGATTTTCAAAATTTTGGGTTTTTGAACCCCAAAAATTAAAAAAAAATTGACTTAAAAGAAAAACTAAAAAAAACTAAAAATCCGAATTTCGAAAAAAAAACTGGAATATATGTGATAGTCCCTGCGCTCTTCTATATACATACCAAATTTCAGATCGTTTTAGCCAAGTTATAGCGAAAAAAACTTCAATGATGATGACTTCAAATGATGACGTCAAATTTTTGAACTCAATTTTTAGCGATCGTAGACCGCGTAGGGCAAAACAAAGACCACCATTGAACTCCCCGTGACGAGCTACATCGAATCAATACCCATTTTATGCAAAATATCAACTTTGAAATTTGATATAATTTGACCTGACCTTGACCTGACCTTGACCTGACCTTGACCTGACCTTGACCTGACCTTGACCTGACCTTCACCAGAACATAATCTTAACTGACCCCAAAGGCTGCCTGACCCACATAATCGTATTTGGCATATGAAATGGACCATAATACATGCATCACATGATATTTTCATATTGTGACCCTCAGTGGGTCACAATTGTGACCCTTTGTGACCTGACCTGGTATCAGTGACCTCAAATAGCAAAATATGTGTTTGAAGAACATTTCCCCATCGATGATTTTCAATAAAATGCATTTTACTCGATTTTACAACGCATTTATTGAAATGCCTGTAAACGGTGAAAATTCGAACTTTGACCTGACCTGTGACGTCATCGGTTTGACCTAGGTCAATAAAATTGGGTCACAAGGTAGTTCCCTGATGGGGCTATCCAACATCGTTTGCCGCTTGTCGCTAGGTTGCGTGGTTCTCGAGATCTTGGGGGTGCAAATTGCCCCCCCCCCCCCCAACAGGGCGCGTTGCTCGGCAGAGGCCAACGGGGCGCGGGTTAACATAGCAAATCGTCGATAGGCTAGACAGTTCAAGAAACACTAAGCACGCCACTTCAGATTCAAAACGTCCTCTACGAATTGAGCGCTTTGTGGCACACTGCTATGTGTAATTATGTTCATTTCCGAAATGCATAAGTGCTGACTTTGCGAAATGAGCGTTTGGTTGAAATTGAGCGAGTTTTTTTGTGACCCTAGCTTCAGTTTTAAATGTCATGTTCCGTCTGTTGGTATACCGACTCCCTGGCCCATGCGTTTCAGCACTTCGCATGTGGCCTAGAGCCGATGTGTGATTAATTCGAGGTAATTTACACCAAAAAGAGGTGTCTGGAGCTTGTGCAATGGTATGTTATAAGATGATATTGAGGCAATGATTTGATTTTACTATATGTTTGTGTTTTCCTCGTTTCTTCTGTTGTAACGTTTGCTGAACTTTGTTGTGTGCGTGTGCATTAAAAAGTCCATTTATGTAAAAGGTGATTTTTGCATATCAATTGACGAAAGTTAAGTGATGAACTGAACATAGTTAACACACTCAGTGCCTACCACTTATACATATATCTGTACTCGTAGGTAATACTAGTACCATAGACGTAGGTACGTAGACGAGACGTATGGTAGTATGGTCGTCTACGTAGACGTAGACGTAGGTATAGACGCATGGTACCATAGACGGCGGAACGGGGAGGGCACCGGGGCACTGTGCCCCCCTTTGATTTTGGCATTTTAACATTAGCCCTATGGGCGTTGCATGGAAAGAATGGGACCAAAAGTCGGCAGTGCCCCCCCCCCTTAACCCGCGCCCCGCTGGGCTATTCAGCCATACGCGCCCTGCTGGGGGGGGGGGGGCAGATTCTGCCCCCCCCCTGTCTAACTTCCGAACCGATGGTCGTAGAAAGACGGGAAAAACGGCAATCGAAAGCTCTCAACAAGGCGGATCTTAAGAGCCCAAATTTTTTTGCTTAAGTAGGTCAGAGGTCAGGTCAAGGTCAGGTCAAGGGTACAAGATGCAAGTTTCTACAGTATCGGCCTTGCACCGTAGTTGCCGAACAATGGACTGAGACTGATTGCCCAAAACGTGTTCTTAGACTACCAAGACAATATTCGTTGCATACAATGTCATTTAAAGGTCAAGGTCAAGGTCAGGTCAGGTCATGTCAGGTCACCAAAAACAAAATATAGAAAAGGGCATGTGCGACACATGTTTTATGGGTCATTTTACTCATAGAATTCAATAGGCACACTCAATAAGTGATATGGACCACCTCTGGATAAATTTCAGGTCGAGGTCAGGTCAAGGTCAGGTCAAGTGAGGTCAAATTTTGAAGTTGGTTGTTAAGGCCTAAAAAGGTGTCTATCTGATGCAGTTTTTCACGGCGAATCGAATGGTGCTATTTTTGTTTCCGTACGAGGTCTAGAACTTCCAAAAAAAATCATTTTTCAAAATTTGTGTGTGTCGTGACGTCATAAAATTTTGAATAACTTCCACATTTTTGAACCGATTCTTCTAAAAATTGGTATGTAGGTGCACATAGACCAGTTCTTTGACATATATTCCGGTTTTTTCGATACACTCAAAATTTTGGATTTTATAAATATTTTCCCCAAAAAGTCGGTTTTTTGAAAAATTTTGGGCCAAAATCCAAAATTTTCAAAAAACCGAGATAGCCATTTGATAGACAAAGTAGAATCACGTATAACCTTTTTTGTTACGTCTTGATTCCTTTAAAAATGAAGATGTTAGCGGCGTTTGAAATTTTGCCATTTTTGAGGCGAAAATGGCGAACATGACGTCACTAAAACGTCATTTTCTCAAAAAATTTCCGACGGATTTCGCTCAAATTTTCAGGGAACGTGTCAAATTAATGTATGATAAGGTACTGAAAGTTTGACGTCGCTGGCGTAACGCGTTTAGAAGTTATTGGCGAAAAACGGGAGGGGGGGCAGATTCTGCCCCCCCCCCAGCGGGGCGCGGGTTAATTGAAGGTATTCCGCCGCTACTGGGTAATACCAGGGAATATTGACTTGCAGGTAATACTTCACCTCCCTATTGTATGAAGCGTTTACCTGCCCTTTGTCTTGGACAAGACGTACCACCTGACGACCCGCTTGAGAGTTGTTATTTGGCTCATGTCTGAGGTTCAATGTTCGCTCGTCTCGTTCGTATTCACATGTGAACATGTGTTTACCATTATAAACCGTTTAGACTTTTTAGTGGATGATCTTCAAACTGAGGAGCTTCGTATGTGGCAAGGCGATGAAAGCAACTTTGATATCGTCTTACAATAGCAAGGACACGAGCTAGTCTCGGTTTAGTGTCGGACACGTGTTTAGGATTTATCGCAAGAAAACGAGAGATGGTGGCAAAATAACCAGGTCATGATCTAGTCAGGAATATGGGAAGGGGTTAGGAGAGCACTTGAATCCCTGCAGGGCTGGAACCTTCTGGAACCCTGAATACCGGCTGGAACCCTGAATAGTGTAGAAATGCATTAACCCACGTTCGTCGGGTGGATGAAGAAACGGCAAAAAAACTGTGGTATTGTTTTAAGCTGACGGCTGACCTGTGTAAAAACTGGTGACAGATAGCCCTTATATCGCGTGGGTGAGAGGTTTGGAGTTTTGTCATCTCTGTCCGAAGCCATTGTCAGAAAAAAATGTTGAAGACGTTTCATGGCCTAAGATGACCTCAAGGGCATACAAGGGGTCACGGGTGCAGTTTTCCGATTCAGGTGTTATATTTACCTGTATCCCGATGTTTCAGGGCATTTTTGTTCAAAAGAAGCGCATTTCAGTTTTCATTCTCCATTAACTTATAATTGGGAGATATACCTAAATTGACCTGGCCTTAGGTCACTGACATCAAAATCCCGAAATAAACAAATTGTTGGCCCTGATTCCCTCATACCAAAGCACGAGTTTCAAACATCTATAGGATGTAAATTGTAGGAATGACAGAACCACAAAGTTTTTAGAGGCATGGCCATTCAACTTGACTTGGTGACCTGGCCTTATGCGACTTGGAGTCAAAAATTTCACACACGATGCGAAAATGATGTATCATAAAGCATACCAAGTTTCGTGGCGCTACGAGCCGCGGTTGTTGTCTCACACGCAAAAAAAACAAAATATTGGCAGGTATGGCTAAAAACGCCCCCAACAGGGCGAAAGTTAATGTTTCTTGAATTCTTGCCCGCCCCTAAGCCACCATTCTGAAGGACGTTTTTTGGTGGAAGACGAGCCATCTGCGCAATCAGCAGCTGACAGGCACTACATATATGTCTTGTTGCCGGCGGTGCCACAGCTGTGCTTTTTGTTGTCTACGAGTATAAACAAATGATGGATTACTGCCAGTCGCATTGCGCCAAAGGCGCCTGGTGATAATGGATTATTCAATTAGGTGTTGTCGAGGCATGGATCTTCTGAGAACTCAACGAGGATGGTGCCTTGAACCCGTCATTGGCCCAGGAAAGGAAGCGCATAACGCTACCACATGGCCCTTGCAATGATTTATTAACTGAAATGCTATAGGTACGATTGACAACTTCACGTGATAATTTCTCCTTTGGTGACATCTAGTGAGTTCTGCAATGACCTAATCGGAAAATGATCTGTATGATTCGGAAAGATCATATTACGAGCTATTTCTTCCTTTTCCAGAGTCCCTCTAACTTTACGTTTCGAGATAATCGGATGGACCAAATACAGCCCCCCCCCCCCCACCTTGGTGGCTGTGACCCTGATCTCCAGGGCGCAGATTCAGAGATGTTGCCCTCGTACCTGTGTAATGTGTATATTATTAAAGATCGCCCCTAGAAATGAGTATGTAAGTGCTCGCCTAGAACAATTTTAAAACATTGCCTTGAAATATGCGTTTCCTTCAACGACATTTCCCAGGGAGATAATATGCTGCGGTTTTGTCTAACGACGAGCTGTCATCATCAGCGGCTTAGCTGCTGGGTGATATGAACGTTCAAACATGTGAAATGATGCTGGTCCCATGCATTACAGTGGGCAATATACGAATACAATACATGAGCAATATATGCTCTTCGTGGGCAAGAGCATTACTGCGAGAGCGATTTCGCAGTCGCTGCGAAATATATCCAGTCTTACATTTTGCGCGTGTAGTCGTATGAAGAAAATACACTTAACGTAAGTAAAATACGTAAGAGAGAGAGAGAGAGAGAGAGAGAGAGAGAGAGAGAGAGAGAGAGAGAGAGAGAGAGAGAGAGAGAGAGAGAGAGAGAGAGAGAGAGAGAGAGAGAGAGAGAGAGAGAGAGAGAGAGAGAGAGAGAGAGAGAGAGAGAGAGAGAGAGAGAGAGAGAGAGAGAGAGAGAGAGAGAGAGAGAGAGAGAGAGAGAGAGAGAGAGAGAGAGAGAGAGAGAGAGAGAGAGAGAGAGAGAGAGAGAGAGAGAGAGAGAGAGAGAGAGAGAGAGAGAGAGAGAGAGAGAGAGAGAGAGAGAGAGAGAGAGAGAGAGAGAGAGAGAGAGAGAGAGAGAGAGAGAGGAGAGAGAGAGAGAGAGAGAGAGAGAGAGAGAGAGAGAGAGAGAGAGAGAGAGAGAGAGAGAGAGAGAGAGAGAGAGAGAGAGAGAGAGAGAGAGAGAGAGAGAGAGAGAGAGAGAGAGAGAGAGAGAGAGAGAGAGAGAGAGAGAGAGAGAGAGAGAGAGAGAGAGAGAGAGAGAGAGAGAGAGAGAGAGAGAGAGAGAGAGAGAGAGAGAGAGAGAGAGAGAGAGAGAGAGAGAGAGAGAGAGAGAGAGAGAGAGAGAGAGAGAGAGAGAGAGAGAGAGAGAGAGAGAGAGAGAGAGAGAGAGAGAGAGAGAGAGAGAGAGAGAGAGAGAGAGAGAGAGAGAGAGAGAGAGAGAGAGAGAGAGAGAGAGAGAGAGAGAGAGAGAGAGAGAGAGAGAGAGAGAGAGAGAGAGAGAGAGAGAGAGAGAGGAGAGAGAGAGAGAGAGAGAGAGAGAGAGAGAGAGAGAGAGAGAGAGAGAGAGAGAGAGAGAGAGAGAGAGAGAGAGAGAGAGAGAGAGAGAGAGAGAGAGAGAGAGAGAGAGAGAGAGAGAGAGAGAGAGAAAGCGATTTGGGTGAGTTCAAACGGATGAGCAGCAAGAAAAGCCCCAGAAAAACAACGTCAGGTTTGAAAAATGAAAATCTCTTCAGCACTCGCAGTAATTAATGAGCAAAAGTCAAAGGGCAATCAAGCTTGAATTGATAAAAAAATAGCCAGAAAAAATGCGGAGCAAACCATTCACGTTCTACCAACCATCTATCTATTTGATGAAAAAAGGCAAAGGGCAATCAAGCTTGATTTGATAAAAGATGAATTAGGTAATTAGAAAAAACACAGGCACATCAAGCCCTCCATATTCCATACAATATCTAACGACTATTCCAAACTCCAAACCACGCATCCATGGGCGGCTTCATTACGCAATACACCGTATATAGTACTTGTCAGCAATGGGAAAACTACCCGGTCATCTGGGCGACATCCTAGGCGTCTGCGCGGCCCCTGACGTCGTGTTGGAACATAGCCAAAGGTCGGCTGGTGTGGGGCGTCACGGGGCCTCGGGCCAGACCGCCTGCGGCCACAGACCGGCCAGGAACTGCGGGGATCGCCGGCGGTGGCACCGACGCGACGACGCGGCGTGCTGGGGAGGAAGTGACGGAGGACGCCGCCTGACGGATCTTCGGACACATCAGGTGGGTGCTGAGTAGGTATCGATTGCCTCTGTTTGATTCGCTCTTTTAGTGCATGAAGTTTGCGTGATATCGTAGGCTGTCGTCGTGTGGCAGGCGGCAGCGCTTACGAACAACACAGGTTTTCCAACACAGAACGTAATCAGCTAAAAACATCGGCAGCCCCAGCTAGGGGTGGTTGAGGGTGGTGCGGTTGGGAGGGGGGAGGGATGCGCCGAAATTGACAGCCGGAAGTCTGTTTATTTCCTCGCACTGACCTAGCCGCTAGTCGCAATGGCAAAAATCGAGACGGGCCAGCGTCCCTTTCCCGGCGGACGCCAACATAATCAAATCGGCTCTCAGGTCAAACGGTATTTAGGGCCTTGGGTCAAACGGTCACCTCATGTCAACTCACATTCTTGATTCATTCAAGTGAGCAGCAATTTGCAATCCTGGACGACTAGATCGACTGTTCAAAAGTCAACCACGACGCATGAGTGATTAGCTGTAAATGATGGGACATTGCAAACAAACAGCCCGGATGGACCATTAACCGAGGTTAGTGATGTTGCATAACATTTCAAATGTAACTCATTCTGCATCCCGATTGGTTTAATCGCTGATCCCAACTAAACCCGACGATCTGGTAGCTAGATGTAGAAGCAAGTGCTCCGCAACCCACTATTGGGAACATTTTAGCTTTGACATTTTTATTTAAAAATATTATATTTAATCGTTGTTTTCTTTTTCACAATCCATCATTCGTTGACCCTTTTCTGGATGTCGGCTTTAAAAACAATTTGTATAACGCGCTCCTCGTGTCGTCTTAGGTAGACTGAGTTTTTCCAAGAAAGCTGAATCAATCAGCTTAACACAAATCAGTGCATATGAAGAAAGGTTACATTATACACTGCGCAGGTTTCGCCCCGACGTTAAAAGGAAAAGTCAAAGTCACGTCCGGCTGATTTCACCGGTGAATGTGCTGAATGTGCATTTATTCAAGTGTAAACAGTTCGAACGGAGAGCAGACTGGTCTCTGTTTCCTGAGATGCGGGGACCCATGCTTTTCTAAACAAACGTCAAAAGAGCTCGAGAAACTTCATTATGTAAGTGATCACGTCACTGAGGGCCATGTTCTGATTTGTCACTGTGAACGGGGACTGTGCCTGATAATAAAGTCACAATCCCTCATAGTAACACAGGCCAGGCGCAATGGCCTTTGACCTCCGCGTTTAAGCAGTTGCCCCCTCCCTCCAGCCCAGGCTGAGGCCGGCCTAAATCTGACCTTGTAAGGTCACACCATCGCTCTGCGCTGAAGGTTTTTTTAATGTGTCTGTGTAAACAAACGCCAATGGTAAACAATCGGCCACCATTTTCAGGACACGGAGACGAAAGCATGGCTGGCTCTGAGCAAGTTTCGGAGAAGTCTGTCGCAACAGAGGATCGCACCAACGAAACGGAGATGGGGCCAGTGGTCCCTGCGGTTCTCACAAGTCCCGCACAAGCTACTGAGAAAGTTAACGAAGTACCAGATAACCATGATGGTCTCGCCGGTTTCCAGCTGCTTCGTCAGGTCAGAAGAGAACAGAAAGGATTCACTTTGTTGCTTTATCAGACTGACAAACGTGACTTAGAAGACTACATAAAGATACCTTGTCCCGTTTCGTTATGCAATGCCGATGTATTTCACCTGACAGCTCAACGGTTAATGTTAATTACGTGTTCCAGGTTTTGGTGGGTGTCATGGTGGCCATGATCACGGTCTCCACGAGTGCCAACAGCGCGGCGGCCGTAATGCTGCCGCAGCTGCTGTCAAACGCGTCCGACATTCCTATCACGGCCGAACAGGGCATATGGTTCGGTAGGTACACTCGGGGGCAGATTGATGTTCTACAACTCTTTATCCACCGGGTTCCTATGGCTCAGCGTTGGCAGCAGCCGCCTGGTACCGGTAGACTGTGCCGCTTCACTTACTTGTCAAGCGGCACAGCCTATCCACCCGTATGACACCGGTCTGGGTCGGTGGCTGGAAGGTGATGTGGGCCGCCTGTGACGTCAGCGCAGCGGTGAGGGCCGAGCCCGGAGGCATGGCTCGGGTCGGCGCGGCGCAGCGGCTGGCGAGGGCTGGGGAGTGAGGTGGGGTGGGAGCACGGACATCGCGCGGCTGAGCGAGTGTAGTTAACTTTCGCGTCTCAAGGCGGCAATTATTCTACCTAACAATTGTGCTAAAGCAGTTGTTTAAATGTCCTATCCCCAAGACAGCGCCTATCATCATACTTGCAATGCACATTACGACACACTTAGCGTGGCAATGGGACAGCCGATAGAACTTATGTCACTCGTGCATCGAGGTGTGGAACTATATATTGTATAACATATTAGTATTAAGGCCTTGATTGAGCAAATTGGTGTCTATTGTTTCGCACGGCAATCGTCCAGAGACGTGGGAACTGGGGTTATGAGTAGTGCCGCAGTCAACGCCCCAATTTAAAGCGATTATTACTGTTGCTCTAATATGTGGTCGCAGCCCCCAATAGCAAACCGTTCCAACTAGGAGCCAAAAAGTCGGCCACTCAGAGGGGTTCGAACCGGGCTTCTCCCACCGGCCAATTCACGACACAAGCGTTCCTCCACTGAGCTGCCGAGAATAGTCCTCGTCTGCACAAAACAAAATGACATTCACCCGCTGACCGCCAATGACAGTATTGTGACATTTGATCGCGTTTGACCGCGGCGGGTGGTCGCTGGTTTCGGCAGCTCAGTGGATACGCGCTAGCGTCGTAGGGTGACCGGTTGGAGAGACCCGGTTCGAACCGTCCCAGGTGCGTGACTTATTTGTTCCTAGATGGAACGGTTTGCTATTGGTGGCTGCGACCACACATTAGAGGAACAGTAAGAGTTGCTTAAAGTTGGGACGCCGCGCTATCCAAAAACCCCAGTTCCCACGTCTCTGGACGATTGCTGTGCGAAATGATAGACACCAATGAGCTCAATCAAGGCCTTAATACTTATCTGTTAAAAACAATGTAGCTCCGCAACTCGATGCACGTGTGATATAAATTCTATCGGCTGTCCCAATGCCACGTTTAAGTGTGTCGTATATGTGCATGGCAAGTATGATGATAGGCGCTGTCTTGGGGATAGGACATTTTAACAACTGCTTTAGCACAATTGTTAGGTATAATAATTGGCGCCTTGAGACGCGAAAGTTAACTACACTCGCTCAGCCGCGCGATGGTCCGTGCTCCCACCCCACCTCACTCCCCAGCCCTCGCCAGCCGCCGCGCCACGCCGACCCGAGCCATGCCTCCGGGCTCGGCCCTCACCGCTGCGCTGACGTCACAGGCGGCCCACATCGCCTTCCAGCCACCGACCCAGACCGGTGGCATACGGTGTGGGTAGGCTGTGCCGCTTGACGAGTAAGTGAAGCGACACAGTCTACCAGTACCAGGCGGCTGCTGCCAATGCTGAGCCATAGGAACCCGGTGGATAAAGAGTTGTAGAACATCATTCTGCCCCCGAGTGTACATACGCTTCAGGGCACTAAAGAGTCTTGAACTTTTCATCCCAAAAATGGAAATAAACATGTTGTAGCTATCTTTTAACATACTTTATATGTGGATGCCCACACTACGAGACCTTGAAAAACGAGTGCGAGTGCGAAAAGTCGCATTTTAACACGGAACCCTATGGGCTAGTAGGAAAAGTCACGCCCATGCTGTCATATGACTTTGGAGAGGGCTGATACGCTTCACATTGATATAATACCTGTTCCAACCGTCAGAGTGCAGGGCAAATGCACTCACTTTCTCAGTGTTAAAAAACCAATTTCGGGTCCCTGTAGGTAAATACAATGTGCATTATTAAGTAGCTGGGGGTCACTGTGTATGTGTACTTTTATGATTACTGTAATGGCCGATCCCGTCTCCCGTCATCTAGCGAGTGCCCATACCCTGTCTGCGGCCGTATGCTCCACCATGGGCGGCATGGCGGTTCACCACCTGGGACCTCGGAGGGTGCTGCTGCTGCAGGCCCTGCCGACCATCGCCGGATGGCTGATGCAGGCCCTCGCCAACGGCTACCCCCTGCTGCTCGTTGGGCGCTGTCTGGTGGGCGGCGTCACTGGGTTTTCACTCAGCGCTGGCCAGGTGAGGGGAAGTGACAGCACTCGGCAACCTTGCCACTTAAACAGGTTGCAATGTCATGGTGAAAATATCCAGTGAATTTTCACGTACACTCTCGACTTTCATGATAAATCGGGGCTTGAGAAACGTTTTTTTTTTTTTCTAGGTTCAAAGGTGGAACGGGTCCTAACTACTTATTCATTTGAAAGTTGGATTCCCATCTAAGTGAAAATTGTATGAGTTGTCAAAACGTGCGCCCATTTCCAGGTATACCTGGGAGAGTCATCATCGCCCCAGATCCGCGGGCGGCTGGTGTGCATCATCGGCTTCTTCAACAACCTGGGCAGCATTATTTGCTACGTCGTCGGCTACCTCCTGCCCTGGCGCTGGGTGCCTGCGGCGTACATCATTGTGTTCCTTCTGCCGAGCAGTGTGGGAATGCTGCTGGTACCCGAGTCGCCCTACTGGCTGCTGGGCAAACAGAAACATCAGCGGGCCCGTCGCAGCCTGCGGTCCCTGCGCGGAGACCCAACTGTGGCCGACAGAGACATGGAAATCATCACAGAAGCCTCCAAAAGTCGTCACAGGGCGCTAACACTACGCGAGCTGGCGAAAGAGATGAAGAAAGTTTCGGTGCTAGCGCCTTTCTTGACAATCACAGCGTTATTTGTTCTGCGAATAATGGCAGGCATCATGACTGTTCTCACATATACGGTTGTAATTTTCCAAGAAACGGGCTCGGCGCTTAACGCCTACCAGTCTTCCATCGTGCTCGGCTGCGTGCGAATGTTCAACTCGGTGTGCTGTGTGATATACGTGAGTGACCGTTTCGGCAGACGTCCGCTGCTCATGTTTTCGGGGATCGGCTGTACGCTGACGTCGCTCGGCATGGCGGCGTTCCTGTTTGCCAGGGACCAGACGCCCGAGTGGACCGGATGGCGCCACATCTCGTGGCTGCCCCTGCCGCTAATCCTGTCGTATGTTGTCGCGTTCGACTTCGGGTTTGCCCGTACCGGGTGGGTGGTGCACGCCGAGATTTTCCCAAACCGGGTCCGCTCGGCACTGGCAGGATTCGGTGTCCTGGTTCACTTTGTCACGTCTTTTGTGTCAATTTTGGCATTCCCGTACATCAGAGACGCGTTCACACTAGCGGGAGCCTTCTTTTCCTTTGCTTTCTTTAGCTTCCTTGGGCTGCTGCTCACGATGTTTTTCATACCCGAGACGAAAAATCAGCGCTTAGAAACGATAGAGGCATTTTTTGTGAGACGTTTTGGTGGTCATCAAACAGACAATGCAAAAAACGGCGAAAGTTAGATACGAATTGAACAAGTCACCTTGATTCACATACATATATATGCTATGGATATCTCAATAAATGGAAATGTGATTAATTTGTATCTGACGGTCTTTATATTTTACGGAAATTTGAGAGTATAGACTATGCGTGAATAACACGTTATTTGCCTGGAATCAGAATATGGGCCATGGAAAGACAATAACAAGAAGACCTGACCACATCACTACATTCTTTACCTTGAAGAACTTTTAAAATGTAGGTGTAGAGTCAGACTATCGTTCACCTTTTCGTTTTTCATTTCATCAGTATGGAGAAATGTATGATTTTTTATTATTACGCAGATCCAAGCAGGGGGTACGCTCCAGCCTTTTTCATAGTATTCGAAAGCGTGACAGACACTCGTATAGGGCTGACTACACCTTCTGTTCAGCGATGTATCCGCGTGCAGCATCCGCGAGCTAGCGGCCAATCAGTGCTCGGCAATGGGCGATGCAGATAAGACCGTGAAAATCTTCGATAACGCCTCCCACTTCTTAATATGCTCTGCAATCTTTCGCTCATCGTAATCGTCTTGCATTGCACCAGTGCGTCGGCCTCCGAGAGGAACACCAGCACGGTCGGCATGGCACCTGCTCCCGGTCAGCCTGTTTCGGCAAGTACCGCCCAAGCACTGCTTAGGCTTACTCCATCTAATGGTGTGAACCCGTCCGATTCAGCAATTGCTGACTTGACGGCCTTATTGCCGACTTGGAGACCTCCTTGTTGGGTTTGGCTGTGCAGATTACAGGAGCCTTCACCCGGCAACGCATTAATATCCGGCTATTAAGGACCACGGCCCTGAAAAACCTAGCCAAACTTACATTACCTCATCAAGTGTTTCCCCACGGTATATAGAGAACTGTGTGTTTCCCTATGAACAATGAATATGCTTATTTCATACTTAATGCTATTATACGTGGACCGTCACAGTTCACACTAAGGTACTCTGCAGCCTCCAGGGCCCAGAAATGCGCATTCAAACGGATTTACTATACCAATAATGAACCAAACTCCGTTAGTTCTACCTATTTGCTTCTCAAAGGTTTCTCAAAGCTGTCTATGTAGTAAGTACACTACCTACCTATATAATAAAATTTCGGAGAAGCCGACATAAAAGTATAGTCGAGTGTTGAGCTAGGATTTCGGTATGCGTACAATCGATCGAGGTGCAAGGGACGTGACCAGACAGATATTACAGAGATGTTTAGAAGCATTGCCTTGTTGGACCTGGTGACGTGATGGATTATTCAGTGTTGTCAAAATGTGACATGATCAATTCGAGACACGAGCAGCACAACACGACGCGTCGTGTTGAAATACCATATTATTCCAGAGTATCCACACGGTCGTTTTAAGTTGTGTTTCGGGTGTTTCGGGTGTTGTCCGATATTACATGTAGAGGAAGGTGGATGAGGGCTGAGGCCCCTATCCGAAGTTACTCATCCTAAATTTGCCTACTTTTAAATGGTGCGTCCCAAAACTAATTCCGTGCGCTACGCACAAAGTCAAGCGGAGAGAATCAAATAGAAAGGTAGGCCTTATAATAATTAATCTATAGGTAATTCCACATATGGGATTATAGATAAATTATTAAAGTACTTTTCTTTTTAAAATAATATTGTTAAACTATAGTTTTAACAAAGGCTAGATAATTCTAGAAACACTTAGGTACGTTGCGAGATAACGTGGTGAGAGGTGAGAGGTTTGTGTTCACGGATATACAGGGTGATCCAAAAAAATTGGAACCCCTAACTTAAAATGTCTGTAAGTCAGAAAATCTTCACTTCATTGACAAATTGCAAACACCATTAGAAAGAGCGTTCAATTCTCTATAAAACCAAGTTGATTGAAGTTAATTATTACTATAAATATTGCCCTAGATATATGCCTATAAAATTTGTGTCACGAAACTCAGTGAAACGGTTATTACATTATGCGCAAATCAATGATTGACGGTTTCCTGTTCTGAACATGTCGCTTGGTGGAGGTTCATAAATAAAAATAGCTCATTCACGTGCTATTGTAAGGAAAGGAAAGGCTGACGGCCTGCTGGGACCAGTTGTCCCAGAGACTGCTGGCCCGCGCAGTCGGAGCCGTCCCCAAGCTGAAGCAACTGCAGGCCTGTGTGACGGCCCACGGAGCTCGCGTTGAGCCCATGCTGGGATGAACAGCGGAAGCTAGGACGCGTGTATCTGTTCTACTGTGTGCTTCTGTGTAAGCTTTTATGTAATAAAATTGAATTTGGATGTGGTGTTATTCGCAAAAAGACAACAGATAGAGTGCTAACGGATTTCAGCGCATTGTTAACATTTGGCGATTTCGTTTCACTCAGTTTTCTGACGCTCATTCCAAAAGCTAATAGTGCGCCAATGCTTTACAAACATACATGCACCAATTTGACGTGATTTTATAGAGAATTTAATGCTCTTTCTAATGGTGTTCGCAATTTGTCAATAATGTGAATACTTTCGGACTTATAGACATTTTAAGTTAGGGGTTCCAAATTTTTTGGATCACCCTGTATTTGAGGCAATATAAAGGCACGTGGATCAATTGCAGTTGGGCTTTACCTAAATCCGTTTTTTCTTAGGTTTGTCCAGACTATAGTTGTTATAGTTGTTTTCCTGAACAGCCCGTTGGTTTTGCGTTTTCACATATCTGCTACATTGCATGATTGAATCAAGACATTCAGGCATTTAAACGGCACGTGCGCTGTACCACACTTTTCAAAGCTTAACCCGCGTCGGGCTGGTGGCCCGTGTTTTCCGTGTCGCGCTTGGGGGGGGGGGGTGTTCACGCCCTTTCTAACTTGGCTCCTGGGCCACGTAGGGACACGAGGTAAACGGCAATCGAAAGAGCGCCAAAAATAATGACGGAAACACTCCGGTCATTTTTTAGGTGAGGTTAAAGGTCAGGTCACCAGATATTATCAAAGGTCAAATTTAGTCCACTTCAACAATTTTGGAAACTGCCAACGGCTAACTCAGGAACCAATAGAGCTGCAGCGCCGCAGAAAAGCGCATTCGATAGCCCTTTCAGACCTTTCTGGTTATTGTTATCAGATTTGACCTCAGGTCAACGGTTTAGCCTCCAGCCAGAGGACAAAAACTGTAAAAATAGCCATTTTCGCGAAAACTGTTTTTCGGCATTCACTTTTGACGCAAGAGAGCCATAACATTACTTTTAGGCTTTGGCAGCATCGTGTTCCTCTCGTCAAGATGCGTCGAATGAATTAGTTGCTGACCTTGAAAGGTCATTTTGACAAGTTGACCTCAGGTCGAGGTCATGACCTGACCGGAAAGTGCCAAGTTGCGTATCAGTCGATCCGAATCGTCGAGCTGAACACATTTCACGCGTTTTCACCGCTATAGCACGCTTCTATCAAAAGTTATAGCAAAAAAAAACTGCTTGTGACCTTTCATGACCTGAGATGACCACAGGAGCACGCAGAGGGGTTACATGAGCATTTTCCGATTCAGTGTGTCATGTTTACCTATGAACCGATGTTTGAGAGGGTTTTGAACGACATTCGTCCAAAAGAGGTGCATCTCAATTTTCGATGTCGCAAAATTGACCCGACCTAAGGTCCCAGATATCAAAATTCCGAGATTTACATTTTATGCATACTGTTACTCATATCAATCGCTGAAGGTTTCAAAGTGATCGTTCAGTCAGTGTAGCTACAGCGAGCCTTTGAACGTTTTTGAGGTAAGGTCACTTGATGTGACCTGGTGACCTGACCTTGAACTACCCGGGTCTGAAATTTTCACACAACATGTGCGGAAATGATGTATGAACAGGTGTAATAGAAACGGCGGTTGAGCTATACGCAAAAACCTGAGAGGGGGCGAACGCCCCCCCCCCCCCCCCAGCACGGCGCGGGTTAAAATGCAATGTTTTAATATTACAAGCCGTGTGGTTCAAAGGGTGTGGTAAAACACGTTAAGCCACACGGCTGCTGACGTCACTATCATACTTATGTGAGCCCTTGGCACTGGCAGCTATGGGAAACACCTTCCAGCCCTAGGCCGGGAATTCAATAAATGTCACCTCGCTTTTTTAGCAAAAACACCTCGGGCCTAACGGCCCTCGGAGCATTCCACCAAAACCTCGGTGACAGTTATTGAATCATCCCGGTCCCGGGCAGGAATATATGTATTTTGTTGCTCGCTGCGTGGCTACTGGGAGCGTGGCGCCACGCTAATCCGTACAGAGCAATGTCGACAGTGTGTTGGTATGGGATGTGCAAAGCAACAGCCAATCAACCTGAGCACCACTTCTTCAGTGCTCCACTAGACCGTGCTAGGTAAGGCTAAACGGAATCTAAAAAGGAGCTAGGTAAAAGAAAAAATAATTATTTGAGCAATGTATTAGTCAAAATATGTTGTTAATGTGCACAAATTTAAATCTTATGTTTTGTCTCAAATACACCACTATAATCGAATATTGCCGAAATCACACCTCACTTTTTGTGAGGTGTGATTTCGTTGTGCCAACTGTGAACTGGGACTTGGAAGCATATTGTTGTAGTGGTTTTGGCAACGTCGTACAACCTGGCGCGTATATACCTACAACGTAGCACAACCTAAGGCTTAAACTACTTTTCCAGCCCTTTTCAATAAACACTGATTCAGAGTTTCACCGCGCAAACTGGGTAACAATGCATGGAGCGCAGGACACAACCGCATCGCAACCACACGATCACTCTTACGACTATAACGGCCTAAATCGAGCTAAGTTCGCTGTCTATCCCTTGCCTTTATGCTGGTGCCCGCCAAAACGCTGTGTGTAAAATGCCTCAATTGTTTCTAACCTTTTGTTCTTTGTTTCCGGAATACAGAAGATAGTTATCAGGAGACCAATGAAGCTGAAGAAGGCAAATGTGCAGAAAACTCCCCCAAGCCCGAACGCCTCCCGTATGTAGGGAAATGTCAGAACAGATATAAAGGCGCTGATGAAATGGACGAGGACTATGAAGAGTGATAGTCCCGAGCGCACACGGTTCGGGAGAAGCTCCGCGTGCACAATCCAGCCCGTGCGGGCGAATCCGAAGTCGAAGAAGACGATGTACATAAGGATAAGTGGCAGAGGCACCCACGAGATCTGCTGCCATCCAGCCCAGTCCGGCATCGCGTCTCTGCAGAATAGAAACACCGCCATGCACAGAGTAGTTGCCGCACATCCAATCCCAGAGAGCATCAGAAGCGGACGTCTGCCGAAGCGGTCACTGACGTACAACGCACTGCACACGGAGTTGAACATCCGCACACAGCCGAGCAAGATGGACGACTGGTAGGCGTCCAGTGCCGAGCCCGTTTCTCGGAAGATCACCACCATGTACGTCAGCACGGTTATGATCCCGGCCATCGTCCGGACAAAGAACAGCGCAGTGACAGTGAGGAACGGTGCCAGCACCGAGGGCTTCTTCATCTCCCTCGCCAGTTCGCGAGGTGTCAGCGCCTTCTGGCGACTCTTGCAGGATTCGGTGATGATCGCAAGGTCCCTCTCGGCCACTGCCGGGTCTCCCCGCAGCGTCAGCAGACTGCGTCGGGCGTCTTCGGGCCTCTGTTTGCCCATCAGCCAGTAGGGCGACTCAGGTACCAGCAGCATTCCCAGCGCGCTGGGCACCAGAAACACGATGAGGAAGGTGGCCGGCACCCAGCGCCACGGCAGGAGGTAGCCGACCACAAAGCAGAGGACGCTCGCGATGTTAGAGAACAGCCCTCCGAGACAGACCAGTCGTCCCCGGATCTGCGGGGACGCCATCTCGCCACGGTACACCTGAAACGATCAAACACACTCTGAGCCGCCAAGAAGGCAATGCAATAAGACTACCTACAGCACATATTTAATCATGTAGGTAAACAATAGTGAGACTAAAGACATCTGTGAATAGAGCGGCACAGCGGCAGAGCATATGACCAACGGTGTCGCAATCGGTCACAGATGTCGCCTCATGCGTCCACGGCCCACTTCGCATGTGAATGGCCCTGGCAGCATCCACTGCACTGGAATTGTGGCTGTGATGAGGACCAATCAAGTTTCAAATGGTAGGTGGCAGTGCATACAACTACAGAGTACAGCTGTAATATAATTTTACTTGGTTACTTGGTAACACATGACCAAGGGACATGGGACAATGCCGTAACGTCTAGTTAATATATTTTCTTTTTCACCTGCCCTGCGCCCAATGAGAGTCCGGTGCAGGCGCCAACCAGACAGCGTCCAATGAGAAGCATGGGGAATCCGTTAGCGAGGGCCTGCATCAGCCACCCGGCGATGGTCGGCAGGGCCTGCAGCAGCAGCACCCTCCGAGGTCCCAGGTGGTGAACCGCCGTGCCGCCCAGCGTTAGGCCCACGGTGCCGGACAGAGTGTGAGCGGTGGCTGTAACATTTGAAAATTGACAAGACACGAATGAATGTGCGGAAGCTTTGGAGTGGAATAGCATTAACATCTAACAATCATCAGTATTCGCATTGTATCCAAGTTAGGTATATCCGCGTTCTTTTGTTTTAGCTAACATCAGTAGCGGCGGAACAACTTCAATTAAGGGGGAGGGGGGGGGGGGGCACTGCCGACTTTTGGTCCCATTCTTTCCCTGCAACGCCAATAGGGCTTATGTTAAAATGCCAAAATCAAAGGGGGCACGGTGCCCCGTTGCCCTCCCCGTTCCGCCGCCTATGGCTAACATTACGCCTACGTTATTAGTTATATGCCGAATGCCGATATCATTGTAATGTGTATCCTCGGTTCATGTTTGGGCCTTATAAGCGTACCAACTATGAATTACTTTGTACCGGAATGTAGCGCATTGCTTAGTCTAGGAAGGTGATAGGTATTTGCAAATCTCTGAAGCATATTTACCAAACCAGGTGCCCTGCAGCGTCGTCAGAGTGATATCCGATTCGTTGGACATTAGCTGAGGCAGCATGGAGGCAGCGGCGCTACTGGAGCTGACCGATATGCTGATCATGGCCACCATCACCCCGGCAAACACCTGTCAGAATGTTCATCAATGTTAGTGTTGTGTCTGGTTTTCTCGCCGAATGCGACATCAGAGACACTGCTGAAGACTACCAATCTACTGTCCGACTGGCTTGGAGACAAGCGAGAGTGCCCACAGAGCACGAATCCTGCATCGTTGCGCCGTTGTTGTCACTGGGACACAAACGAGGCACATCACGAACGACACAGCACAGTTCCCTCTACGTATACAAACAAACGTCTCATCCGTCAGTACTCAACATACGTAAATAACTTTTACTTAAATTGATACACATCTACATGACAATGCTACTACCAACTGCATACCTAATTATAAACCTTTACCACCTGCACAAGCTTCCCAAGGTAAGCCTCACGACTCACGAGAAACACTCGCTGCGGACAGGTAACAAGCGACACACAGCCACCACTCATTTTACACACGACCAGTCGGGCAAGCTCGCGACGAGTGCGCTGTGCGAGACAAGCGACGTAAAGACGGAACACCAGCATGAGGGCCTACCGCTGTCGGCAACGACTCGACGACGACGCCCCGCACATCACGCTCAAAGTGTAAGGTATGCCAAACAGTGATCGAATGGTGCCTATCTCGTGCAGTTTTTAAATGTGCGAAGACGTCAGTCAGTCTGTCGACATGTATATTTATCGTCTGCCCCCTCTGTCTCGTCGGTCTGTCTGTCTGACACTGGTGGATCCAGAATGGTGGTATTGGATCCTGCGGGGGCATATCCCCTCCAATTTCCAAAAACTCATCGGATTTCGATTCCTTACGCACTGCTGTGCATTTTAAAACAAACTTTCCCTAATAAGTGATGTTTCGTTTTCATTCCCGAAAAAATTACATCGATTTCGGGGGCGCCGCAAAGGGGGGGGGGGGCGCCAAAGCATTTGCTCCAAATGCCCGCCCCCCCCCCCCCCCTCCCTTGATCCGCCAGTGATGTCTGACCGTCTTGTCTGTCTGTCTATCTCTTCCCTCTCCCTCTCCCTCTCCCGCTCTCTCCCTTCCTCTCCCAGCTCCCTCTCTACTCTATCTCCCTCTCCCCCTCTCTCTCTCTCTCTCTCTCTGCTCTCTCTACTCTATCTCTCTCCCCCTGTCTCTCTTCGCGCGCGCGCGCGGCTCTCTCTCTCTCTCTCTCTCTCTCTCTCTCTCTCTTTCTCTCTCGTGCAAAGGTACTTTCTAAGACGCCTACATTTTCATGTTCAGATCGCCAACATGAGTACAATGAACGGACAGAAATGCGGGTGTGGACCCGGGTCTGCTTCCATGTGACACCTCATGATTTATCTTTGACATGATAGGTCATTTATTGCCAGACATCATCAGAGAACTGTTAGGGTGGGCGGGTCGACGCCATCCATCGTGTCACCGTTAGATATCGCACGACTTCAATGGCAGGGGTAGGAATGCTCAGCAGCACATGCAGAGTCATCCTGACCTAAACACAATAACACACCGACATGCCGTATCTTCTGACCTACAGTGCAAGCAGTAATGTGACACTTTCTCCCTATATACCTAAAGCGACCGGGTGACTATGTGGTTGGTGAAAGCGACTACTCGACTCCATTTGGTTTTGTTCAGTTTGTTGAACAAATATAAAATGCCTATATCTACCGGGTGGCTCAGAAAAAACGTTCCGAACTTTGGAGGCCTATATATCAAATTCGAGTTCAAATAACGAGCCAAAATTTTCATCAAGTTTGCGTCATTTCTTTGCGCATTGGTATGCCAAATTATAACACTATACCATCATTTTCAAGCTGGCAATCTTGAGTTGAATTAAGCAAGACGTTTTTGCTTTTTTTGCCGATGTCAAACGAATGTGATGATTGGGTTAGACGTCCCATGTTATAAAAAAAGAATATAAAATAGAGCACGTGAATAAAACCAATATGTATGTTTTTATTTTAAATATTTTTGTCCCACTTATGTGCCAAATATTCAAATACTGAGCCAAAATGGTGCTCATGGATGCCATTCGTTTCAACACCAAATCATGTTTCGAGCAGGAGTGGCACGGTGCATGGATTACTGCTGATTACCCTCCTTTCAGTAGATCAAACAGTAAATCGACCGGATAAGGAAAACAAACTAAAGCAGACTTGTTCCTGTGCCAGAAGATCACAGAAGAGCTTATGAAAAACAACATTGCCAGCAGATGACAAAAAAACTGGTTGAAAAGCTACCTTTTCCCAGGAATGTCAGCCATGGGAACGCATTTGAGCCACAAGATGGTTAGAAAACTGGAAACTTCTTCCGATGCCACTGGCACAGAGCCATCGTGGCTGCCTGAGGGAATGTGTCATCCTGAGAACCGAGCCATCAATGAGACTAGCTGCCAGTAGAATTGTCATGGCTCTAGGCCGCGGTGCCGAGGGGTGAAAGTGACCCGTTCACTCACATTCTTTAGTAAACATAGGAGCAAAAAAGTAATTTTTACATGGCATGCTTGAGACACGAACCGTTTAAAAAGTAATTTACTGAACACCATGAAAATCACACCATTTACTGAAAATGTATGCCGCATTGACTATTCGAAGTTTCAATGTTGTATCTTTATCACTTTCTGAGACATACTGATTTAAACTTGGGAACGTTTTTTCTGGGCCACCCGGTATACTTGCTTCTAGGAAACGTGGTTATCATTCAGATAAAATATGTGTGAACCTTATAAGAATTTTGTGCTAGTTATTAAATATGTTTTCAATAAACGGAACACGTACCAGACACATCCAGTCCCCAGCATGAATAACATCTGTAAAAATACTATTAGCATTCAATCAAAATGCTGGTCGAATCAAGCAAGCTTGTCGGTCCGAAACTCAGTTGGTAAAGCAGGTCAGACTCGGCGGTGGTAAGTGCGCTGGTTCGAGCCGCTCTAGCGCTCATTATGAAAATCCTACAGGGGATATTTGCGATTGGTATAGAGTAGCCACGGCCATTGGATATTGCTTGAATGGGACGGACTGTAATTGTATAGCATGTGCGACTTTGACGAACACGATGACCTTGGGCGTCGAAGATTCAGCCCGGAATTATTGTTATTATTATTATTTCATTTATTCTCACCAACTCCAGAAACGGTGTTACAGTGAAAATAGGCACGAGTTAGGTACAGTTCACCAAAATATTCACACACATGGCTCAGAATTTTGATGTTGGTGACCTAAGGTCAGGTAAATTTTGCGACCTCTCTATTAACTTAATGGGAGAATATCGAAAGGCGCCTCTCTTGGATAGCCCATTAGGACGGTAATGGTCGCGATATCCGCAACAAGCGTTGCTTGGTCATGTGTGGTCATACGGCTTGGTTAATACGTCCAACATAACATTCGAGCTAGACATACAATCTAGCACTAGCATTACATTTTTCTCTATCATCACGTTGGACATTGAATGCAGGGATGAAGGAACTTTAAATGAAGAACCCACCTGACGCAACAGCTGACAGCCGGTTAGGCCATCGTGGTTATCCTGGGCGTCATCTTCTTTTTCAACCTCCCTCCCGGCATCTTCAGCCGAAGTGACCTCACCTTCCGCAAAAGATGTCTCCGTTGCCCGCTGCTGGCTTGGTGGACAATCCACTGAACGTGTCATCTGAAAGAGGCTCGCTTTAGCGATGGTGTTGTCTTTTCTCATATTGCCATAAACGTAATGCTGAAAGTGGATCCTCTGTAGTCTGTATTGACGTTTGGCAGTTGGCAATAGAAGCTTGGAAGACTCACTATCGACTATGCTGATGCATGAATAGGCGATTAAACATGTGGCTGACATGCTATGAAACACTGATCGCAACTCACAGTTGCGTGTGCTTCATGGTGTGCATTTGTGCCAATAGGTTTGTGCGATTGTTTTAAGTATTTTTTTACGGTCGCCGATGACCTCGAAAGTCCGGGCATCCTAAAATCACATACCTATCATCATAATTATCGAAGTTTGTTCAACATGTGGGGCGTATTTCTTCTAGCACAGACACAAACAGCAGAAATCTAGCAGCACTGACAAGTGCATGCGTTTAAAGGTTTTAATGTTACTGTGTTTGTATTGTTATTATGCCTGGTTATATAGCATTTTGACGCGGCCTCAGCTCATTTATTTTGCGATAATTTCGATGTAATGCTCTCGGTAGATTTGAAGGCATCGTTTTGTAAATTGTAAAGAACCATTGGCATCTATTGCAGCATCACAGGCGGAGCTATAACCTTGCAACAATCCCTATGTAAACGCAGCTACCGTCTGCGATACAAGCAAACCAATGTCGAACTCTTCTATCCGTTGAACGTATATTGTATCGTTTATGCTGCGAACGCTTCTTTTCTGCTAAACAACCAGGGTAAACAACTACCATAATTAATAAGAAAACATTCCTGTTCGTAACATCTCAACTCAAGACGGGGACGAAGCTCAGGCTACTAACGTCCATGCCTATCGCTACTCGTTAGCAGAAACGTGGGACGGTAACATGCCACCAACACGTGACGGAACTAAACAATAAACTCACTCTAAGACAGTCAGGGCAGGGCGGCTGATCGTCTTCCTCGGTCACAAGCCAGAAGAACGGGGCTTGTCACAATGCTCCACTAAGGACCTCTCTTCCGCACAAAGCTCCCCGCTTGGGCGCGGCTGGTGATGTGCTGCGCCCAGGGGCTACGGGTGGTCTGGCCAGTCGCCCGCGGTCACCAACCGACCAGCCGACGCCCAAAGCGCTGTCAACCTTTGAACTCGACGCAGTACTGGGATGGAAGGTACCCGTTGTCTGGCACATGGTTGCTGGTTTGTTTGCGTTTCATGGAGTGACGCAACACAGAAAGATGCACAAACTTGTTCGTCATTGGCGTATAAGTAATGGGCGAAGAACTAACGTAGCAATTACAGTTACGAGGCAAGTGGTTCGGGCAAAGCTCTGTCTGAATGCTAGTAAAATCGTACTGATAGTGCATGCTGGCGGCATATACATGATAGTAAATAGGAACACATTATAATTTACCAAAGAGCAATTTGAGCGACTCTGTGCATTGTGCAATGGATCGCCCATATGAATCAATGATCGCCTCTTGAAGCGCTGTGAGAGGTAGCTGACATCGACTCTTCACTGTCGATGCACCACGGTTTCTCTGCCACACTCTGCTGCTCATCGTTTCCCTCCTCTTCCGCCCCCTCAGAGGGCTCTCTTTTTCTGACGCGCCTAGCCAGCCGCTTCACGAGCTTCTGCGCGTCTCCGAACAACGAGAGCAGCGATACACCAAGCAGAAGACCCAGGTAACCTCCGATGTCGGCCAAAAGGTCCTCCAGTCCATATGTTACCACCATCACCATAGTGCGACGCACACGACTCAACTTGATCGACACCTTGAAGCTCTCGTTGCTGCTCTTCGTGACATCTGACAGAGTAATGTAGCTAATACGATCTTGTACACATGCCTGAGGACATCCACACCGAGCTACTGGTGTGGCGGGATTATCGTCACGACCTCTCTGATTGAAGAACTGATAGAACATCCTCCGGTATAGAAAGAAATCGGACGCCATGCAGAGAGGCTTCGCGGGAGTTTCTCCGCCGTCAAGACTGCAGTTTATCCAATTCAAGAAGCAGCTACGCTGACACTTGATGGCGTCGTAGCGTGGATCCGCCTCGCACGGTTCTCTCCACAGATTCTGCTTTATCTCGCGGTTGATGACGACTTTGACATCACGGTGAAAGGAGACGTTCCTTATGGGTAGAAACACATGAAAATTGGTGTCGAACCTCCAGAAATCGGGTTCGCTGTGAAATATAATACAAAAGCAGTAAAGCGCTGATGTATCATACCGAACCTCGGCAGCGAACTTGGCATTGCGAGGTAACCGCAGAAAGAAGTGCGACGAAGAGGGTGCCAGCGTAGCCGACATGGCACCACTGCCTGTCACGATTCGTCTCCACATGCCGTCATCTGTCGCCAGAGTCTCTTCGGTCCTCCGTTCTTCCCTCTGATCCTCAGTCATGTTGGTGGTCCCTCCAAACTCGGCTAAAGCTAAGCCGTGCGAGCGGATGAAGTTGAGAAGAGTCTGATTGGCGAACAGTTGGCTGCGTTCGTCCTCCGAACCGTCGGTCACGATCTTGCCAATCGACTTTGACAGAGGTGAGGCCGCCTGGACGGTCACGAACGGAGGTCTGAAGCCGTGATCGAGACGAGAGCGCAGCGCTGTCGGCTCCGAAAGGAAGTGAGTAATCTTCAGGGCAGTGAGGCCCACCCAGGCCACCAGCAGAGTGACGCGGACTGCGTTCAGCAGTAGCTTGGAGATGCCACACGCCTTCAGCAACATCACTTCAACCAGATCAGGTCACGGTCACCGTAAGTAGCGGTTAGGTCTTCTCTGAGTTCAGCAGCTGCCGCTGCGACCACTGACCGAGGTTCACCGTCGTTCTGTTGTCCGTGGAGCTCGCTGGAGTCCCTCCCTCACCGTCACACCCTAAGACCAACTCTGACATACTGCCCTGACCTGCTGACATGTAGCTAACCGACCTGAGCACGCAACAGCTCCGGGGACACATTACTACCGACAGGACAATACATTACTGGTGCCTTGTCGTGACCAGTGACCACCGATGAAATTCACTGAATATGGTACAAAACATGGTGCCCGTCTAGCAATGACGATAATGAACATAAAATGGAAATACAGTGGACTCCGTTTAATAAATCCACCTTGGTGAAGAGGTGTTTTGGATTTATTAAGCGGTGGCTTTATTAACCGGAGTCATTCATTTTCATCAAAAAAGCATGTATCGCAGCTGCACGTTCCGTTCTCCCGCATTACAAGCGTATAGGCTAACATTTCTATGCCTTGCTTATTGCAATGAAGTGGCCACGGTCTCCGCCACTGGCATGGGGTCACGGGGGTCCGGACCCAAAATAATTCGACTTTTGTAATGCAGCCTAATGTATGAAGGCAGGTTTTAGGGTTGGATATGCCCCCGAACCTGCGACCGTAGAGACCGTAGTGCGGGAGCATACCCCCTGAAAGGGACCAGCGCACACTGCAAAGCTGTCGCAGCGATTAAGTCAACATTAAGTCATTAAGTCAATCCACGATCACGCCCCGTAATGCCTGCTATGCCGACGAAACAGTCGAACGTGCCTGCTTTGCGGGAACATTCCTCTGAAGTGCATAGTAATTGCGCTATTGATAGCCCTGAACTCCTGTTTTTAGAACTCCAACTGCTGCAGACAGCTGCTCCTGCACGGTTCTTAAGGAGCGGGCTGGATGCCACATTTCGAATGGGGAGACGTTACTGCGGTCTTCGGAACTCCCAAGTGGCTTTATTAAGCGGAGTACGTGGATTTATTAAGCGGATTTGTTTACTATAGGTAACTATGGGGAAAATCCGTCAGCAGCTCAAGTGGCCACAATAAGCGGCTGGATTTATTATCCGTGGATTTATTGAGCGGATTCCACTGTAACGTTAAAATTGGGAGTCATAACAACTTATTAGTTAAGTAACCTTCTCAGAAATTGACATGTTACATGGCGTTGTTATCTTCTCTTTACCCAATTAACTTATATGTCTCATAAGATGCTTTAAATGACTAGTAATTAGCTAAACTACAGAAATAGGCTTCCTGTGGGAACCTCAAATGACCAAAACACGATTACCCTAATTGCGGCGAGCAGTGATGAGCGTACAAAACGTATAAAGTATAATGTTGACCTCGTTTGACGTTATAGGTACACGAAGTCATTAAAGAAAATATACCACTTCCCTCAAATTTGCTTTTTTTTTGCTATAGCCTTCTGATTTTATGCTTAAAACGATCAAAATAGAAAATGATTAATGTTTTTTTTAACTTTTTTCATGTAGGAAGAGCTATATTCCATATCAAATAGTGTTTGCCGCGGAACCTTTTTACGCGTTGACATATCATATTGCGTAGTTCAAAGCCAGCTGCATGCTGATTGGCTGACACTGAGGTGGCTGCATTCTTGGCATACTTCTATAAGTCACCACATTCCTGCGTAACTCACCCATTTTGGAACGAAAAATGGAATATCTTTGCCTAGGGTGGTCGTTGGGCCGTGAAAGCTCCTGGTTTGTGCTAGTCACAGCTCACTGCTAGTCAGTGCTAGTCTCGACGAGATCTCGCGATTGGTGGTATATTTTTTGGTCCTAGGTCAACATTTGACCTACTTATGACCGGTCAAAGGTCAAATTTTCGGAAAAATCTAACTTTTTTCAGATTTCCGCGCCGATTGCGGCAAAACGGTAAGAGATATTGACTTGAAACCTTCACTATCGTGATCCTTGATCAATTCTCTATCGTTTGGTGTGTATTTCGATGTCATAACTGACCCTGACCCAAAATGAACTACAAGAAACAACCGACAATGCCTGAAATGGATAGTGGATAGCAAATTCGAATTCAGGGCATCAAAATACCCCGAAAAGGCATACAAGTGCAAAAAGTCATTACAGGTCAACCGAGGTCACTGACCTTACCTTGACCTTTAGTAACCTTCAAAATGTCAACGGACATTGTGCCAATGTCAAATCAGCCAGTTGTGATTCTAAAACAATCCATCAGTGTGTCAGGTCAGTCGGCATTTATACCAATGTGAAGCAATCTCCAATTTAGCGTAAATCTGGCCGGAGGTTGTTCCCTTTATGACGTCATAACTCCGTGACCTGACATGACCTTGACAAAAAAAAATTACCAAAAGTTGCGCAAAGGATGCCCCAAAGGGTACTGAAAATTTGAGCAGGCTATCTGAAACGGTTCGGCGTGTAGCTAAGAAAAACCTCAGGGGGGGGGGGTTGCACCAACCCCCCCCCCCCTACATGGGCGAGGGTTAAGCTAAAAAAAAACTCCTATTCTAGATCAAAATCCCATGTTTAGAGTGATATATTTCCTTTAGGGTCATCGCAGCTTTTCGCCAATAGCTTCTGATCAAATTGAGCTAACAAGTTGGGAAAGTCACTAAATGGACTCCGAAAGACATGTCGAATCGAAGGCTATTCAGTGTGACCTCAAGCGGTCAGCTTAATGAACTGAGTGGCTTTGACCTGACCTTGACCTGTGATCAACATCCAAAGTTGACCTCATTCAAGAGTCCTTTTCATTCGATGAGCCGGACTATGACAAAAACGATGGTGCCAAAGATGCGGTTTTGTGATCATTTTTGACAAAGTTATACACCAAGAGCCTGCCTTGGGGTGCTTGACCTGACCTAACGGGGTCAACGTTTGACCTGAGACCTTTACCAGACGCAGTTGCCGCGTCTCGAAACGGCGCACACGCTCGTTTTTTCTGCAGTGCTCTAGCTCACTCAGAGGTGAAACCGCGAGGGGGGCTCACTCACCCTCTCCCTCCGCCAGGGCGCACGTAGAAAACCGATAGGTCGGGCGGGTCAATTCGAACGCGAACCTTGCAAAGCTCCGTCGGCCGGCACCCCGGCAGCTCCGCCCTGAGCGCGCGCCTGGCACAGCCGCCGGCGGACGGCAGTGCGCAGGCGCGGCCGGCCGACCGAGGGCACGCCGCCGCCGGCCGCCGGGCGCCGGGCGGCACCTCGTGACGCGCTGTGTATGTACGCCGGGGCCGATAGTGACGTGGTGCCGTGAATTGGTCGGTGATGGCGGCGGTTCGAGTGATGTCGCGCGCCGGCGGACTGGCACGCACTCTGCTGCCGTACGCCAGCGCGAGAGCATCGTCCACGATGGCAGCTCCCGGCGATTTCTACGCCCTCGAGGCGACCGATCTGGATGGTGAGTTTGTCCGGTCACGTGACCATGCTGCTCTGCTGTGTGTCCGCCCTTTTCCTCACGATGCATTATGCAATAACGGAAAATAAGATCATACAACATTCTAAACATAACGTCTTCTAATTATAAACATTTTATAGTTAGCTGATAGCTCTGCAACTGCAGTGGTGTGAAATGTGACAGTGACGTGTACGCCACTGCCCAATGGGCTCGCCGATTATGCAACATTGCAGGTTGCATGATGCATGATCGACGGCAAAAAAAAAATGTTCACCGTGTTATTTTGCATCCAGCCTTACATGAGGTTTATGACGGCTTTGAGTTTATTGGCATCGAACCAGCCGCTGTGCTGGTTGCTACAGCACCTCCTGGCTCCTACGTCCTACCGTTTCTTTGCGACCACGTGGGTCTTGAGCGTCAGCCGTCACAAAAACCGGTCCAGTTCTGGCAAGGCTGTTGCCAGGGCAGCTAGGGAGGGGGTCCAATTGGCCGGTACGCCGGATGACTGGTTGGTGGGGTAGGACAGATTAGAACCGGCTACAAAGACTCCAGTCTTCACGGCGAGGATGCAAAGATGCGCCTCTCAATCCGACCGGGCTTGTCCATTTTTTGAATTGACGGCAACAAAAAATGCACTGCCGGCTGCAGCAATAACACCGAAGTTTGTTTTCACAGTACATTGGCGGGTGAAAAGAGGATGTTGGAGGCTTGCCGCTTGGCCACTTTGAGTTCTTGATTCTGGCGAATTGGAGGAAGGGAAGTGGTCACTTTCAGACGCAGACGGTCATGTAAATGTAATTGATTTGATCATAGGCGTAGGAACAGGGGGGGGGGGGGGGCAGGTGGGCAAGTGCCCACCCACTTTTCGAGGTGGGGGGGGGGGGCCAACCATGTGTTTTGGCCCACCCACTTTTTACTCGAGGCCCCTCGTCTCGATTTGAGAGGACGTCGTCACCTTCCAGAATAAACAAACTCGGTAAAAATAAGTTCCACGAATCCCCACGCACGAACTCCAAGGGGCCGTCATGGATCCAAGGAGGCCCTTCGCCTTGCGGCATCGAAGCCCCTGAGACTGATGGCCTGAGAGGCCCTAGTGGATCTGAGGAGGCCCCAATATCCACATTGGTCTGGGGAGGCCCCTGACACTGGCGGTCTGGGAGGCCCCTCTATCCACACTAGAGGGAGTATGGCCCCTCTATCCACACTAGAGTACTCTGATGATGCCGCAAGGCGAAATATCAGTATCATTTTAATATGTCCAATTTTGTGCATTATTTGAACATTAATATGAGCAAAGGCTACTACTTCTCGTATTACAAAGTCTGAGAGGCTCTTCTATTTATACTAACCAGAGGAGGCCCCTAGGATTGATGGTCTAACAGGCCCTTCTATTTATACTAGCCAGAGGAGGCCCATGAGACTGATGGTCTGAGAGGCCCTTCTATTCAAACTAGGCACATGAGGCCCCTGAGAATGATAGTCGGAAGAGCCATGCGGCGGCAACTGGCCGTGGCCATATTTCGGCTCGGTAGGGCCCCACAGAGCTCATGAGAGCACCTCAAGGGCTCCTAAGAAGACACGCTTATCCCCATAAGGGTGCCACGCCGGCTTCTGAAGGCTCCTTGTAGGCATCTAAGGGCCCTTTCCGGCCTCTAACGGCTCCACCCGCCTGTGATGGCTCCACACCAGTGTTTATGAGCGCCACACAGCGGCGTCTTTGAGGGTCATACTAGTGTCTCTTAGGGCCCTATATCGGTGGCTCTGGGGGCCCCACACCGGTGCCTCTGTGGGCCACCTCACCTGTGCATCTCAAGGCTCTATAGGTACATTTGAAGGACCCATACCGACACCTCTGAGGGCCCCACACCAGTATCTCGGAGCTCGGAAAGCCCCACACCGGTAACTCTGAAGACTCACCGGCTCCTGAGAGCACCATGTTGATGTCTAACGGCTCCACAAGGCCACTGAAGGCATCACACAAGCTCTCACTGAGCTATAATGTCAATGTACCGGCCTCTGAGGGATTTAAGCCAGCGCATTCATAGCTTCACACCAGCAATTGTAAGGGCTTCACACTGAAGTATCTGAGGGTTCCACACCGGTGTCTCTAAGGCCACATACCGGTATCTCTGAGGGCCCCATACCGGCGTCTCCGAGGGTCCACATCTGGCGGGCACCCATCAGCGACTGAAGGTCCCGCACTGTCGACTCCGAGAGCCCCATCTGCGTCTGGGAGCACCATGCCGTCTCTAAGAACCACAGCGACTCCTCCGTACGAAAGATGGGCGTCTGCATGCCAAAGGGGAGCGGTTCTGAGACAGTAGGGCACCTACGCACAATAGAGGGGCGCCTATGGAGCCCATAGGGGCGCCTCAATGCGAAAGAGGGGCGCCTCTGAGGCCTACATATATGGGCGTCCACATGCAATAGAGGTCTGCAAATTGCAATTGATCAATGCCATGGGGGTGCATTCATTAGAAACAGGGGCGCCGGCATGGCAAAGAGAGGCGCTTTCAAGTGTCCATAAAAGAGAGACGCCTATGATAAGCGCACATTGTATGCGACAACGGGGCGACTGCTGGGACATATAGGGATGTCTCTGATGACTATACATAGGGTGCTTATATGCCAAAGAGGGCGCCTATGAAGCTAATGGGGGCACCTGGGAAACGAGGAAGACATTTGTGTAAGGGTTTTCAGGGGTCGTGCGCCGTTTGCGGCAAATAGATTCTTTAAAAAAAATCGGAGGGGGAATAAGTTTTAAAAATGGTGCGGACTTTCCGCACTGTTCGCTTAAGCGGTTACGTCCCTGGGTACATCTGCCCGATCTCAGAAGCTAGCTTTGGAGGTCATACTTGAAAGCAGCCAGCAGGACCAGGCAAAAGTAGGAGGCCCCTGAAAATAGGAGGCCCCCTGGAAAAGGAGGCCCCTTGGCAGGGTGGCCCACCCACTTTTCATGACGTTCCTACGCCCGTGGATTTGATACTTTTTATTGCAACGCCAATGGCAATGCATTCGAAGGCGTCACAAGTTTGGCGGATACCTGATGTCTTCCGCTTTGGCATGGGTTCTTTGGGAGATGGGAAGTTTCGATTTGAGTGGATCTGTATGGGACTGAAGTCTCCATTTCGATGCGGAGAAAAGTCATTATATGAAGCAAACGATGAAAGAAATTCTGGAAAAAGTTATGAATTTTAATACTGATATGGTCACTTACCTAATCCACGCCCTGCGGTGGGGTCTGATTATAACGCGACATGGCTGTGGGGGGGGGGACTATTCCCCCCGTTCCTCCGGTACTGCTGGACGGACGTACAAAACTCGAACGTCGCTCGATAGCCCTGTAAAAAAACTGTTGTGTGTTCATTAATTTCATTGATCTCTGGTCACTGATCACGTCACAAATCAGGTCAAAGGTCGCATTTTTTATCGTTTACGGGCCCTCTAGGAAATGCGTTATAACATCTAGTAAAGGGCATGTTATCGAGTATCATCGATAAAGTGTCGGTTTTCTTTCCTGATACATATGCTGCATCTGCATGTTTATGAACAATTTAGCATTTTAAATTCAATGGTGTTGGTCAGACGTGTATTGGGGCCGGTTTAGGCTACGTTCTGGTGGAGGTCAGGTAAAAAAAGGTCAAATTCCAAAGTTGATATATTGCATAAGAAGTGTGTCTATGCGATGCAGATTATCACGGGGAATCGAATGGTGGTCTTTGTTTTACTCTACATGGTCTATAACAGCTGAAAATTGAGTTTGAAAATTAAACAAATTTTGAGCTGCCACATAACTTTGTTAAAAATAGAGCTATCGAGCTGAAATTTGTCATGTCGATAGCTGACCAACAGTTTTATAGCATATATTCCTTTGTTTTCAAAACTTTGGAGAATTTTGGATATTTTTATGGTATTATACCTATCCAAAAGATCACGTTTGATTTTTGGGGGTCAAAATACAAAGGAGAAAATCCTATTTCTTTTTTATGCTTTTTTCTTTTTGATTTCAGCATTTTCTCCGTCTTCAAAACTGTAGGCGTGACATCTCTTCCCGCAAAACTTTTTTTGTCGAAAATGCCAGAACATGCCGTCACAATGACGTCTTTTTCACCTGACCTAAGGTGGGCGTGAGCTAAAAGATCCGCAAGACTGTTATTCCGGGAAGCAGATCGCCTGACTGAACGAGCCTGGCTTGGGCTGCTTCTCAAAAGTTGTGTTGCCGTAATCTGTCCTTGATATCCTTGTAAGAGATGAATACTTACGGCTAGCTGCTCAGCTTGCTTTTTTATTATTAATGCCAATTTATGTTAGCATTGGATAAAGCGGACTATAGGTTAAACTATACGCAATATTTTTATTTTGCTTAGACATTTAACCGGCTTTGTGTTTTGCGAGTAAAAATGTAATGTAAGAATGCCATTATCTGTAAGAATGCCTCACCCTTCGCCACACTGAAATTCTTAATTTATTACTTCAAGGACCATGCTTTTTTTGCTCATTAAAATCAAAGGAGGACGCTTTTTACGGATGATAAGCATTCTGTATCTGTCATTACACGTGGAACAGTTCCTCTATCAGGAAGGACTCGTTCGGCTGAAGGATTCCAGAGGACCACACCACACCACGCGGTCGGAGATGGCCTTGGACGCAGGCGCCCCGCAGCCACGCTGAAAAAAAGTTATTTATCGTCATCTCCCGTGGAAGCTGCCACTAGCCTCTCCCAAGCGCCAGTACACTCTCCCCGGGGGCTGGTGGACCATTCCAAACACCGAGGAACCCCTGGTAGCACGGGGCTGTAATTTGAACTGGCCGCAGGGGGCGGTGTTGTGTTGCATAGTGCGTCGTTGGGATGCCTGAGCCCCAGCTGCAGCTCCGTCTGTTGACGGGAGCTGTACCGCGTGCAAACACTGCGCTCCGTTTGTTACCGAGTGGGCCGGCTGCGGGCCCTGCCGACACCCTCCTCCTCCCCCAGCCGGTCTCCCCATTCCCAGAAGCAGGGTGAC